CGGCAGCTAGAACGGCGGGAAGCTCAGCAAGGCCTCTCAGGACAAAACGAAACTACCCCATGCCGCATAATCGGGAACCGGAAGTGGGAAGCAACATGTACCGATGGGATAAGATCAGATGCTAGCCGCGGAGCCAAAAGTACATGTACATAGCCTCGGGGGCTCAGATGAGCAGACGGTGCTATGAGAGTACATGTACGGAGTACGAAACAGCCATTTCTGCATCATTCACGACTAGGTCAGGGTCAAAACGCAGCACTGCGCCTCAGAGTACAGAGCACGGAGTACGTGTTGTGCCTTGTAATTGTAAACGTGAAACGTGATGGCCGTCTCTCCTCGGGGCCAAGACCAAGACGTTAACGTCACAGATGAATGGTTTGGCAGGATGGTAACGGCCCGCCGTACTTGCTACACACGATACATCGGCAGGCCTGTCAGCCGTAATAAAGGACACCGTTGACAGGTCAGCGAACGGATATTGGGTCGGGACTCGGGAGCCATGGCAAACACGTGTCGAGGCATTGCCGCAGAGATCAAACTCACCAGACGGTTGGCTGCAGTGAGTCACCGACCGGGGAGAGGGAAAGAGGACAGCGAGGCAACTCTTGCCGACTGGCGATGGCCATGACAGGACCGGGATCTAGGTCCTCAATATTATTTCACGAGCAGGGAGCACTGCTCCGCGCTCTCTCTGCCGCATCGCATCTGCAGCGATTCAGCGATGCAGTCTCGGGTGCGCGTGCAGTGCTGTCACAGACGAGCTGCTGTCACAGACGACCCGTGCTTGGCTGCGCCGAGTGTTGTCGTTCAGAGTATCCAGGCGCTTAATGCGGCCTGGCCGTGGGAGAGGGAGTCGCGCTGCCCGTGGCATTGAGCTCGACCAAGACGTTTCTTGGTCGGCCAGGCCCCTACAATATGTGCAGCCACCATGTTGACTCGTCTGCCACTGTCAAATGCACTCTTGCTGAGGCATATATTCATGCTGCCAGCAGCCGGGGCGTGATCACCGGACCCTGAAATCAAACAGGTCCCGCACGATCCTATTCACGGAACGCTGTCGGCACGAGTCTGTTCGTCAATGCCTGCGTTGCCTGGGAGGAGCTTGGCAGGCATCAAATATCAAATTTGACACATGGGCTGTCCTGCCTCACGCTCATGGATGCTCGCGGAGATAGGGGGCCCGGCCATGCACCACTTAAGCCCAGTTGTTTTTCACCAGACCTGATTGTATTATTTTTATTTTTATTTTTCTTAGGTGAGGCGCTGCGAAAGAGGCTCACCTGCGAAAGGAACCATGACAAATACATATTGGCGTTTCCCCTGACACTACCGAGTATTGAGCAGCTAGGCATACATGACGATGTAGCGATAGAGACGAGTTCCCCACCTCGAACATGCAATAACTACGTATGAGAAGAAAGGCAAAATAATTCAATTCATTCATCAGTCTATGCAGCCGCAGTAGGGGATAAAAAAAAAGTTGAGTCAGAGACGCACAGAGTGGTTCCCCCCCACATGTGTGCACCAGACATGGACCAGTTGACTCCTATGCTCCCTTGGAGTTGCCAAGTGGGGCCCGCAGACACCAAAAAGAGCCAGACCTCTCTATTCAAGTCGTCTCCGGCTGGTCCTCGTCCGTTCCCCCCCGCACTTGGGCTATGGAACTTTAAAAATAATACTACGTATAACTTATACGTTGTGCTGGCGCGCGCAGGAAAATAATGCGTGCATGCATGCATGCAAGGAGGTACAAAGGCCCGTCTTCTGGATGACATTGAGCTTGCTTGACAGTCTACGTTGACGCAGGCATGCAGCATCAGCCGCAGCAGCGTGAGACATCTGGATGGGCGAGAGATGTTTTCACCACGCGGGTTCCAGAGCTGCAGCGGCGGCATGTGCGGAGACGAGCATGCAAATGGAAGGTAGAGGTAATTCCATTTATAATAATGATTATGTCAGTTATTCTCGAGGCCAGCCACGGCGTACACGCCGAAAAAGCATGTTTGTGCCAGCAGGCCATCATCCACAATCATGTGTACAATTATGTGCTCTGTACTCCGTACATCATGCCATGTTGGATGCCTACTGGGTGGCAGCCGAGCATAAACACTTGCCCTTGGCCGTTATGGCATCTCGAGCCCGTACGACAGAGGCAAACGGGCAGGCAGACGCAAATGGCGCCTGGGATGATGCATCATGGTCTCGAGCCTATGTCCAAGCTACCTAGGGAGTACTCCGTACTCAGGTATTACATCCATGGCCCTTGGGATTTGCTCCTTGTGGGCATGGACGGCTGTCTCCACCCCACGCGCAAAATAATACGTACTACTACTACTACTACGTTCTAACCTTGGAAGTTGTGAAGTCTCTTGACATGGCTTGTTCGGCCGCGAGCCATTGTGAAGAATTGAAAAATTCAAATTCTTCTCAGAGCCGAGCTGCCCTGCCCCGATTAAACTGTTGCCCGTCGATCCGCTTCGTCCAGTGATCGTGCACAGCATTACTACCACCTTCAACCCGTCAACCGGCCGTGCCCAACTCTCGGGCTCTTGATTATTCGTAGTAAAGCGTCAATCAAACCCTGTTCCCAGTGGTTCCAGGTGGCAGCAAGGATCGATATCAAACTTTAGAAATCAGGGTCACCTGGCCTCGACTAGCCGCTGGCTCACCTGAGACTCTCTGGCTGTGCCCTCGAAGAGTTCCAAGCAGGACCGCGCAGAGGCGCTGTTGAGAATGACGGTAGAGAGAGACATGTGCACAATTGCTTCAAGCATGACTGTAGTGGAAGACGGCGCGACGTCGGTCTTGACTGTGGAGAACCGCATCACTCATATGCATGTACTCCGTATGTATGTACAATACATATTACCGAGTACGATGCTCCGTCCTTGAGCATTACTCGGCGTACTTGCTTCACCCTACGAGGCCAGCAAGTGGGTGTGGTGCATCCTGGTGCATCCTGTCGCTGACAGGTCTGCAAATGGCCAAATGTAGAATCTTCAGGTCTCAATATTCCAAAGTCGTCAACTGGTCGGTTTCTGCCAGAACAATTTAATGTGCAGCCACCTCGGAGCCGTCCCATTGGCCCCGGCAGCCGCCCCTCCATGTTTTGGAGGCACCCAGCCAGGTACGTATCTGATCCCTCGGCAACTGCAGCCCATCGGTTGCACAAAAGGTGGCACGGCAAGTTGCGAGAGGAGGGGCTTTTACTTCAAGGGCTTCGTTTGCGGTGCTAGTACTCCCTCCCGTGGAGAGCAAGCAAACAGGCAACATTGCAACAGCCAGGGCGGCGGCCATATGCAAGTGGCTGAGTTCAACGTTGGTTTTTTTCTGCCGGACAAGGGCGTCCAATGTTCATCCCACCAGACCAGACGTTTGACTGCCCGGGCGCTCAAATGCTTTGTGCCCAAATGCCCCCCCTCCGGGCACTGGCCAGGCCCCAGACAGCATTGAAAGTACCAGACGCCAGACGTCCCGTAATTTGCATGTGTGCACTCTATGTGTGTACGGAGTACTCCTGCTCCGTGGTTGCTTCGTGCCACTTTTGCCATGGTCAGCGGCCCTGGACAGCAAGTCGTCGGTCGTTCGGCTTGGAACCACTTGGGACTTGGGCTTGGTGGACCTCTTCAACTGGCCTAGGCCGACGGCCAAAAAAAATTTATTGTCGACGGGTCGATTTGTTTGCGCACACTTGAGCACTTGGCCTTGGGCACACGCAAAAAATAACCTCCGGCTCCCATTTGCCCTGCCCGCTGCCCCGGTCCAGTCTCTTTCTCGTTCATCTAGTGTGCGAGTGTGCGAGCCAGAAACTTGAGTGTGTGTTTCCCATCCCATTCCAACATACCACAACATTCACCTCGCAGGGTCAATTCCATCCGGATTGACGTTGTAGCTGGCTGACTGTGGTTGCTTCCTGAGTCCTGAGTCTGGATCTCAGTTGAGAAGGTTCGTTTGGTCTTTTTTTTTCTTTTCCCCTTCTCAAGTTGGCCGCCCTTGAACGTGAGAGCATGACCTCTTCCTGCCACTTTTCCTCTCGCACTGCTCCTGCCTAGCCTGGTCGTTGTTTCGTCGTCATTTTTTTTTCCTTCTCCCATTACTGCTCACGGGCTACGACGGCTGGCGCTTCGACTGCGTCGAGCAACCGCACGGGTTTAAGCTGTTTGTTTCTGCTCGCACACGCTACGCCCTAACACCTGGTTAAATAGTGTTACTGACAAAGGAGCCCTTTTTCTCAGTCGCTGTTTGATTTTCCCCTTGGCCTCTCGCCCCCAACTCGACCTGCTTTCCCGAAGCCGAGCCTCCGGTGCTGCAATCTCCGCGTCCTCCCCTTGGGTTACCACTTGATTCTTTTCCTGTCGTTCCCCTACTGCGGCGCTGACGGCCTTGTACCGCGAGCACTGCCATCACCCCCGATCGGATCACAGCGATTTTCCGGTTTGGTTTACTGGGTCATCTTTTTTTTGTGCCTCCTCTGCCACCTTCCTCCATCAGTCGACTCCCGTCGAAGCAGAATTGTCTACCCTTCGCGGCCGACATCCCGACGCTCCGATCGAATTTTATTGCCTTTCGCTTGATCGTATTGCACGGTTGTGCCGTCGTCCGACCTCAGGTCAAAGGAGTCATTTCTCTCAGAAATAAAATTAAGAAAAAAAGCCGATAAAAAGAGGTCAATTTGGACCAAACCTTCGAATTCGTTGTTCAGGAGACGGACAATCGGCAACCCGCCATTTGCGACCGCATAGCCCTTTGAGAAAACAAGGAAATAGATTGCACAGTCTGCGGGAAGGCTGCCGCTTCCATCACTGTACAGAGTCCCCTGGAGTCGTGCTGACGACTTCTCTTCACACTTTTGCAGCAGATATTTTTGCTTCACCCCGGCTGGGGAGTGTGGGCACGGCACTTCGCCAGAGACAATACGAGATTTCTTTCTTCGTGTTGTGATCAGGCTTTCTTAAGTCGGTATTGGCATGATTTCTGCAGCCGAATTTAAGTCTAACGATATGGCGGCTTCTTCGACATTTTCTTACGCGCAAGCGGCTAAGGGACAGAGCGCGTCTCCATCTACCGCTTTACCGAATGTTGTATCGCAGCCTCAAGGTGCCGCGTCTCCCGTGACGCCCGATACTCCCGCCGAATCCTTGGACGCTTCACGCCCCACCGAATCCCGCATCGTTGTGGCAGTTGAGAAACAGGATGTTGACAGCAATATTGGTTCCGAGAGCGATCTGCGCTCCGAGACGACTAACGACAGACGCTCCGAATTGAGACGAGATGACGATTCCGGAAGACTAGACCGGCCTTGGAGGAGGACAGACAAGGGCACGAGATCCTCAAGCACAGCTACAGGGTCTGTTGACGAGCAGGAGTCAAGGAAACCTCGCAAGGGGAAGAAGTCCAAGGCATCATCAGACAAACAGTCCAATGATCAGGCACCAGCAGCCGATAAGGACAAGGAGACTGCACAGCAAGCTAGCAAGGCCGAGTTGTCCGAGGCACCCATTCCCTCAATCAACATTTGGCACCAGCGCAAGGAGCAACAATCCAAGGCCAAAGTGTCTCCTTCCGAGGGCATACCCAATGGTACTACCAGCCATGATGGTGAGGCAAAGAAGCCCGCCAAGGACTCTGTCTCTGCAAATTCAACAAAAGAAAACGCGCCCACCAACGGGGTCAAGTCAAATCGTAAGAATGGCGACTCTGCTCGTTCCGACCGAAACGGTAGCCGGGGCTCCCGGCTGGCCGAAAAGGATACCAAGACTGAGCTACCTCCGCCAGTGGAAGATGCGGCTTCCTGGCCTACACCTGAAATCGCCATCAAGGAGGAGCAGAAGAAGCCTGCTGCTACAAAGTCTGCCCCGGCTCAAGAAAAAGAGCCCCAAGATGATGCATCTCACAACAAGCGAACCAAGGAGAAGTGGGTTACCTATGACTATGTACCGTCAGTCAACTTCGAGACCCAGCTGCCGCAGATGCGCAACTCCAAGCCTCGCGGTGGTGCCCGCAGCGCCAACAGTGGCCGAACTGCTCCCAACGGTGCTCAGTCTGGCGACAAGACTTCCGCTTATGCTGCTCCTAGCAAGCCTGTCGAGTCTAAGGACCGGGCTAAGGATAATACTGCTGGTGCCAACAAAAATGCATCGCTTCCTCCGGCCTCTAAACGGGTTTCGGTGGACGTCAACACTACTGCGAAGGAGCAAAAGAAAACGACTGCCCAGTCGGGTAACGACAAGGCAAAAGATGTCGCAACTGCACAATCGGTAAGACTTGCTTTGTTTAATCCCGGACATAGTCTCACACCACGTCCGAGACCGCCACGCCAGAAGAATAACCACACTGACCTTTGACCAGCAGAACACTAATGCTCGCTCCGAGGGCAGAGCTGAACGAGGACGTGGCGGCTATCGCGGCCGAGGCGCTCATCACGCTGTCAATACTCACTCGCAACACCAGCACAGCGCCGCCGGTAACTTTTCCAACAACGGATCAGTGCCCGGAAGACCTCAGGGTCCTTACAGCCCTCCACCACGACAGGGCCCTCATGGCCAGGGTTACATGGCCCCTCCCCAGCGAGGTGGAAGAGGCCGCAATGGCGCTGGTAACAACTTCCACCGCATGTCTCTTCCCAACGGTACTACCCGCATTCCCCCCATTCAGACCCAGTTTGGCTCTTATGAGTACCCCATGGCTCCTTTGTCGGCCATGTCATTTCAACAAGCCGCCGTGTGGGACGCCGCCTTCATGGCTGTACTTAGGAGTCAGATCGAGTACTACTTTTCCATTGAAAACCTGTGCAAAGACATGTATCTGCGACAGCGCATGGACTCACAAGGCTTTGTCAATCTTCATTTCATTGCCGCCTTCAAGCGTATTCGGGAACTTACCCCGGATGTGGCTGTGGTTCGAGCCGCATGCGAAATATCTTCGGAGCTCGACTTTATTGTTGGCGAAGATGATATCGAGCGCTTGCGCCGCCGTAACGGCTGGCAGAGCTTCATCTTGCCGGTGGAAGACCGAGATGAGTTCGCTCGCAACCCCGGCCCGGTACAGGTAACCTTCAAGAACCGTCCTTACAACTATGTCCCCCAATATAACAGTGCTATGCCTGTGCCTTATGGAATAGCTCCCACGATGGGTTTCGCCCCGCAAGGTGATGCTACATTCCAGCAATTCGCAGAAAGCGTACCTTCCGGCCAGGCCGTAAATGGACTGGTAAATGGAAACTGCCACGCCCATGCCAGCAGCACCCAGCTATCCGCTGATGTCCCGGACTTTTCTCCTTCCGGTTTAGCAGGGCGAGCCTCTGATGCTCTGAACCATGCCTCTGAAGCAACCAACGGGCTGACCAATGGAATCCACGCCGAGTAATGCAATCAAGTCGAAAGACGAGTTGAAGAGGTGGGGTTCTGGGAAACGGGCCAAGGGCTATATGAAGCGGGTGTGCAGCGGAGTTGCACCCCGAAAACAGGCCCAAATTGTTGTTTTTGACAAGTCCGTGCGAGAGGCTTAACGGGATCTCATTGAGAGAGTCTCCCCAGCACAAGCTGAGTGACCGATGGCAGACCGGATTCATCAACACACTTCTAGTATATATTTCGGTACCAGTGTTGGTTTTTGTCTTCCGGCCTTGAGCATCCATCGGATCTGAGACTTTTCTTTTCCTTATTTGTTTGTTTTTGGTTTGTTGATACATGGAGGGTTTATCTGACTCACGGCATCCCCAGCTAGGGTTGGCAGTACTAGGCGTCTCGGCGCGCCTTGGTATAATGGAAGCTAGAGCCCAGCATGAACAAAGAGCCGACATGAGTCCGGCGACTCTGTCATTTCGGTGGTTTCTGGGAGGGTATGGCGTCGATTCGGCGCAAGTGTCGAGCTTTCAAATCTCCGTTCCTTTCTCTTCTTCTTTACGGCTTTTTGCATGGGAACATAGGCGATAGGAAGACTACGTGGCCACTTTTTGCTTTCGGCGGCCCACATTGATCGAGAGTCGCATGAGACTCTTTCAGTTTTCAATTTTATTTACGAGGACTTGGTCCGGAACTACGAGCACCTTGGGTTATGGGGGTTGATCGAGAGATCCTCCTTTATCAAATGAAATCAAGTCGACTTCTTACGCCGATGAGGATTTTGGTTTGGGATTTCATTTTTGGCTGGGGACCACAGATGTCTGATAATACTTTACGTCGGTTGGTTTCAGTAGAGATGCATTACAGTTCTATCTTCAAAGTATCGCGCCCGCACATTGTTCCTTGATTCAAGCTACCGTCCAGCACCTGGGCTAGAGGGCAGGATTCACAGGGTCCATCTAGGATGGGGTCTGGGGCGTGAGAAGAGAGGCTTTTTTGTCTCAGTCAGACCAGATTTTCACAGGGCCAGTGGGCGTTTCCGCGGACAGGAAAAAACGCATTACAAAAGTGTATACAGAAAAGAGCAAGTGGAATAGCACAAAACACCATAAGGGGGCATACAAAAAGGCACATGGAATTCATTTTCTTCTCATGTTTGCGCGCACGAAAGTGGACGAATTCTTTCACAACAAAATCAAATCCATTGCTTGTTTATTCGATGCATATTTATTTTTTACTGGCCTACATTCCGCTCTTGTTGTGTTTGTCACGAAGAGTGGATTGGAAGAAACCAGGGTTGTTTTGGGGAGAAGGGCCTCCTTGGTTGCATCTCTTGAGTTTCTTGGAGACGAGAGAGAAAGAGAGGTTGACCTCTATACAGCCTTTTTCCCCTGAGAGCAACTTTTTCTGCTCTTCTTTTCAATCCTTTTTCTTTTCAAGTTTTTCAAATCGGCATCTTTTTTTTTTTCTTGCACAAAACACATTTGATGCTGGACAGCGTGGGTATGATGTTGCTGCGGCACTAGTTGTATTGTATGATAGGATCAAGATAATGGAAAACCGAGCATTGAGTTTTGTACACAGCAGTAGTATGGCGAGATTAAAGGCGTGTACAATTTCATTGGTATATATATATATATATCTGCTATTGATGTGCGCGTGTTTCCCATATTATTATGTGGTCATGCTTGCGACCACTTTCAGGTACGACGAAGAATTAAATAGCCACAGCCAACCCAGCGAGAGCGATGACACCGGCGACGAGATTGCTTCCAAAGGCGGTAGGGGCGGCAGCCGGATTTGATGTGGTGCTAGGTGTGCCGGTGCTGGAACCGCTCCTCGTACCGGACTGCGAGGCACTTCCAGGAGCAGAGGATCCTGGGGCAGAAGATCCCGGGGCAGAAGATCCTGGAGCAGAAGATCCCGGGGCAGAGGAGGATCCCGGGGCGGAGGATCCTGGAGTGGTGACCTGTACTGAGGAAGTGATGGTTTGGGTGACGCCGCTATTCAATCAGTACAAAGACGATGCTGGCGTGCCGGGGAGGAAACATACCTAGTCGTTGGATCGGGCGTGATATGGCCCATGGTAGTAGGGGCGACCGTTCCGGAGGACTGGGAGGCTCCCGAGGAGTCTGGCCCCGAGGCCGAGCTCATAGAGACGGGGAGGATGGTGAAGACGGCGGTGGGAGTGGACTCATTGGGCGTTGGCTGGGACGGGACGGAAAAGAGGCGGGTGCTGTGTGGCCTGTCAGTAGCTCGACTCTACGGCGGGCGATGGGCGGAAGAAGCCCAATGACCCTGGACGGATGTTTGAATCCATCCCAGACAGTGATGGTGTTTTCGACGCCTCGGTGTGTTTTGTGTTTTGGGGGTGCTTAGGAGGGAAACATACTCTTGCCGACGGACGCCGTGTGCGCAGCCTAGGCCAGCGAGCAAAGTGACTGCTGCGACGGAGTACTTCATGTCGACTTGGATTCTTTCTTTTCAAATAGGTGTTGTACGTTGAATATCGGCTGTCTTTGGGGAGAAGGGAAAATTTGGCAGGAAAGGCCAGTCGAGGAAGCCGGGTTCCAGCGTCGCAGCAGTCTTATATAACCGCCTGTTCGGTGTGGGCGGCGAACATCGAGGTGACACGGGAGTCGTGTACCATTTAGGCAGCCGGGTTGTCAGACCCGAAACAAACAAACCACACGGGATGATCGAGGGCCCTGCGACGGGGACAAAGAAGAGATGGACAGAAAAGGCACCGATTGGCACTGCTTGATACGAGCTGCCCTCACGCATGGATGGCAGCCCCGGGCAGAGGGCCGGATTACGCACGCCGCATGTCGTGAGTCGCCCAGAAAAGAAGCTGGCTATTTCAGGGATTTGCGGGGGGGGCAGCAAATGAAATGGGATAGAGGTTGCTGGGTGCTCGTGTTTTGGAGGGGAGGCTTCATCTGCGACCTGCCCGGATGGGCTATGATGAGCGTGGGCTTGGGGCTTTTTGCATTGAGGAGAGACAGCGGTTGTGTGCTCTTGGCGTTTTGGGGGGCAGCAGTTCACCGAGTTGATGGGGTGCCATGGACTAGTTTTTTTGTATATGGAGTATATCATGTTGGATGGGTTTACGAGGTTGGTTCGTTAGGGTGCGAGGAGAGGTTGCTGCCTCTACTTGGGACGGCGTGGCTTGGCAGCAACGGGTTGTAGCTGTGAACTCAGGAAACATGCGTCCAGTCCGCCAGACGTGCTCCGCATCCTAGGGAGTGATTATTCAGCGATTTTCGTGCTGACACCAGGGCTCGTCAGACGGTGACATCACATTTGCGACCTCGTCAACTTGTGTGGCCAGCAGGCGGTGGTGGGCGGGGCGGCAGTTGGAGTCACGATGCCATGCATCAACTTGCATTTTTGGAGGCAGTGCTTGTGGCTGGGGCCGCGAAGGGCCGCGAAGAATGAATTACCGGACATATGCATGACCTGCCAACTGCTGTCTGAATTGTCCATATGTCCAGATGTCCCACAAGCAATGGCTGCCATGCCTTGCACGCCCCATGCAGAGATTGATTCTCAAATCCGTACTTTACTCATCTACTCCATACTTGGGCTTTGATTGATGTGAATGCATTCACTTGGGCTCAGGCCCGCCGCTCAGGGCAAGGATCAGGCAGCTCTCGAAAGTCCACTTGTTGGTGTTGGCGCGCTTTTCTCATGTCCAGTTCATCCTCTCATTTGCCCAGCCACCCGACCCTTGCTTGACTTGACGCAGACACTTTGGAGCCCCATTGGAATGGCCTCCACCTTTTTCCTTTGTTCCAAGCTTCTCCCGCCTTGCCATCAGGAAAGGCGAAGCTACTAGACCACATGTGCATGCTGTGACGGCGGCGGGCGGCCCCCAGGCACCCATGTGTAGGCTGTGTGCCCCTCTTCTCTGGTGGTCACAGATGTCCAGATGTCGCCTCCCACCACCTTCTTCAACTAGGGAACTGGTCCAAACTCCGTTGACACCGGACCGGCACTCCCACAACTACACCTGCGTCTTGTTTACGAGGCCGATTCGTTTTTGTTTCTGGGCAAGCGCATTCGTTTCCCTTAACCTCGTGTCGAGTCGCAAAGTGGCACTGAACAGCCAAGCAGGCGGCACTACATGACCCCTCAGCCCGCCGCCTTTGCCAAAAATTCACCCCGCCGCTGGAAATGGCCAGCTACGACGCCTACGAGCGGGATAATCCCCGCCGCGGATACGTACGAGAGGACCGACGCGACGACAGAGATGCACGCTTCGTCGACTCTCGTGATTATGCAAGGCCCGTGCCGTCGAGAGAGCTAGTTCCTCGGGCCAGAGAGGACAGTGAATTGTCGGTGGAGGAAATCCGCCGAGACTTTCCCCCGCCCACTGGACGAGACATTCGCAGAGCCCGCTCTGCAGACCATGACCGTCACTATTACTACGAAGATGACTACGACTATCGCCACGACCCTCGTCATGACAGATCTCGCGAGCATGACCGCCACTCGCGCCACGGGGGCTTCCACTACGAGGAGGAGGAACGCAGGTCCAAGCACAAGAGCATGTCCAAGCAGGACAAGATCATTGCTGCCGTCGCCGGTGCTGCCCTGCTTGCCGGCGGCAAGGAAATCTACGACCGCTACGAAGCGAAGCAGGAGGGACTTGAAGTGCACCGCAACCCCCTCTCATCCGTCGCCCTCGCCGGGTTTGGGGCCCTGGCTGGTTATCAGGGTGCCGAGTTCTACAGCAAGCAGCAGGCCAAGAAGGACCAAAAGACCAACTACATCCTCCACCGCGGCCGTGACGGGCAAATCAGCGAGTACTACTCTGAAGATGACGACGACAGGCACAAAAAGGGTCACAAGAACTTTCTCGAGAGTGCACTCGCCGCCACGGGCCTCGGGGCTGCTGTCAAGACCCTAACCGGCGGAGGCAAGGACGATGATAAACACTCTGACAATCGAAGCCGTGGTGGTAGCCCGTCGCGGTCCCGCGCCGGCTCGCCCCGCTCCCGTTCCAGCGGCGCTGGAGCCAACAAGATGCAAAAGGCTGCCATGGCGTCCCTACTGGCCGGCGCCACCGAAGCTTTCCGTGTGGCAAAGGAGCCCGGCGGCTGGAAAGGCGAGAAGACGAAGCGTATTCTCACCGCTGCTGCTGGCGCCGCTACTGTCGACGCTGCCCAGGGAGAAAAGCATGGCAAATTGGGTCTCGCCGAGTCGGTCATCGGCGGCCTGGTCGGCAACCGTCTCATCAATGGTTCCAAGAAGGACATTGAGGAAGACAAAGCGACGGGGCGAAGCCGATCCCGATCTCGGGCTCGCTCACAGAGCGGAGGCGGAGGCGGCGGCGGCGGTACCGGTCTTGCCGCCTTGGCTACTGCCGGCTTGGGTGCCCTGGGTGCAAAGGCAGCAATAGATCACCGATCCCGATCGCGAAGCCGTGCTGGTAGCCGGGACCGAAGCTACGATTCTAGGGATGGGTCACCCGACAGGAGGCACCGCAGTCGCAGTCGCAGTCGCAGCGTAGTCGACAAAGCTCGCAACAGCTTGGCCAAGCTGGGAATTGGTGGTGGAACTGTGGCTACCGCTGATGACCATCGACGCCGCGACCAAGACGACTTTGATGACCGAGCATCTTCACGACGGTCTCGAAGATACTCCGATGAATATAGCGACGACGGCCGATATGGAGGTGGCCGCGGCCGTGGAGGGGACGACTACGACTATGAGCGATCGCACCGCGGCGGCGGCCGGCGAGATTCGTCCCGTAGGCGAGGTGGGAGCCGGTACGGATCCGAGTCTGACCTGGGTGACTCGGATGAGGACGAGAGGAGGGCCAGAAAGATGAGAGGTAAGCAGGTCATTACTACTGGTCTTGCGACTGTTGCAACGATCCACGCAGCACATGAGGTTTATCAAAGCATGGAGAAGAGGAATGCACGTCAAAAGGCTGTCAAGGAAGGCCGTCTCAGCGCTGCCGAAGCCAAAAAGCTCAAGACCAAAGCCATCATGAAGGACGCAGCGTCTGTTGGCATTGCCGCCATGGGAATCAAAGGCGCCATCGAAGAGATGAAGGAGGCCAAGGAGATGACGCATGAGTGCAAAGTCTTCAAACAGGAAAAGGCCCTCCGTCACCAGAGAAGAGAAGAGCGGCGCAAAAGAACAGCCACGCAGCCGGGGGACAGACCCCGGCGAGCCGAGAGCTGGGCACCGTCTCGTTATCGTGACGAGGACGACCTTTACAGAGATGACTATGGACCACGGTATTACGACGATAATCCGTATGGCTCAAGCAGACTCCCTGCGCCCCCCATGGGTTCTGGTCGATGAGAGACATGTGCTCATCCGCTCTACGCTTTTTCTTACTGCAGAGTATACTAAACATGGCTGGTCAACAAAGTGGGGGGTTATGGCCAAGTGGTGTGCTCTTCAACATGACTGAATGACATTTTATGAGAAGACGTCCGTCCCCTTATCGATGGCTTCAGCAATCTTAACGACATGTGCACGGATTTCTTGTCGTGCTGAATTATTTTATGACTTGAGCTTGGCGTTTCCTTCCTTTTCTCCTCATTGCGACACTCCAGAAAACGGCAGCGCATGATAATGAATGGATGCAATAACAAGAAAAATAATGGTTTCTCATGTGCTGCGTGGTGCGGGTAACTGCATATTGAGCGAGGGTTTTGCGGCGGTTCCTTTGACAGAGCTGTCGACATGACGGATCGCTCGGCATGCAGCCCTCTTTTTTTTTGCCTGCGATGGTTACACTCGCTCGAATTATCATCTTCTTACCATTTGTCCACTAGCACGTTGTTTATCTTTTGTCCTGCATTGAACGAATAGCTAATGACCAATTTCTTGTGACAGATCGCCGTTACTAGTGCCTCACCTTTTTAACCCAACACGGACGAGAGATACTGGTTGCTGGGATGACGAAGAGAGGCAAGGAGCCGAGGCACGCATCTTGCGCGGCAGGCAATACTGCATGTCGGGCGAGAGAGTTTTGGTGCCGGGATTCCACAGCCCGTGTCAGCAAATGGACGCACGAATGGAGGTGCAAAGTGATTGCGTGAGGGGTGGAGGCAGACGTCATCGATCGCAAAGGTTGAAGGGGTTGTTCCCTGATTTTAGCGGTGGGAGCCCGAAGGTCGCGCCGCATGTCGCTGCATGACGCTCGGGAAAGTCGGCTTTTTTTGCGACTAGGTAGGGGTTGATTTGAAGCAAGGTACTACACGGAGAAGACGAAAAAAAAATGACTGTGTGTGAGCAAGAGAGGTAGAATGGGGTGGGAAATAGCTGGGCATTTGGGGGCTGTCTCGTGTTTTGCGTATTGACTTTCTTTGCGGGTGGGCTGACGGGCTTGCTTGCATTGCTGCCTGCCTGCCTGCCTGCTTTTCAGGTCGATTTCAATGTTTTGCTTTTGTGTACTCTGATTGAACTGGTAGATGGGCGGATAACACGTATGAATGAATGATGAAATGACGCAACCTTTCACGCCGCATAGGAGTGTACTTGTCTGGTGAGGTATTGTGTCTTTGGAGCTTGTGTCGTGTCCCACTAACTAAAGTCGGTACTTGGTCAGTCGCGCACCGCCGAAACACCCTATACCCTCACTTCCTAGGATAAGGCGAATAATGGCTTGCTTACACCTATAATTGTGTCGGCTTTTTTTTTTATAAGAAAATTGCAAAAGTTTAAGTACCTTTAGCATTTTTTAATACTTGTCTGGGGGTTTCCTTGCCTGTGCCATGTTTCTCGTGTAGGATACTTACCGGCCATCAGGTGGCTCGCAAGTTATGCGCACTCACTCACCTATCAGACGAACCTGTCCATGAAATTACCAACCTCCATCAAGACGACTCAGCTCCATCGCATGTGCCCGCTATACCATCCTGACACGGATGCTGGCCCGAACAGCCCAGGAAGCGGTGCTCGCGCGTATCGAGGAGCAGCTTAAAAAAAAAAAGAATAAACTTGCAGGATGCCCAGCAGGGGGGGGGGGGGGGGAAAAGAGAACCAAAAAATTGACCGAGACAGGGGTCGAACCTGCGACCTTCTGATTACAGAGAATCAACTGTTGTTAATCGTAGTCAGACGCTCTGCCATTGAGCCACACGGCCATTGATACGAGTGGATCATGTTGAAACGACAAGGGTTAGGTTAATTTTATTGCTTCCCATGAGAACCTTTTGTGAGTATGGGCCTCGATACGACAGATGGGTGGGTGGTTCTTGGTAGGCTGGGAATAAAACTTCAAGGAACTTTCCCATTATGAGATGCGACATGGTTATTAGCTGTTTAATCTGTCCGTGTCCGTACACGATGGCGCGCCGCCGGGACCAGCGGCATTTTGTTTCTACTTATACTTGACAACACAACCTTCACGCCAAATTTACGAGCACGCGACCAGCAGCCGTTTCAAGAATATGATGATACACAGGCTATTTATTCCCTTAGACGCCCGACAAGTCACCCCCCGTCTGCTTCCACTTCTGCGCCATGGCCATGATGTTGGACAGATTCTTGGCCTGCTGGTCATCCGCAGGGAACACGTAATCAAAGTACTCCTCGTAGGTATCGTCCTCCAACAGCCTCCTCTTCTTGGTCCTCCGCGGCATCTGCCTCTGCACCTTGTCCACGTCCTCGTCGGACCCGTGCTCCCGCTCAAACGACAGCCACGCATTGAGCAGCGACACGCGCTCCTCCTTGAGGTCCTTGTCGCGCATGCTCTTGTGCGCGCGCTCAAAGACGTTGCGCGCGCGGGCCTTGGCCTCCTCGCTGAGCGGCTGCTCCTCGGCGCCCTCCTCGTCCTCGGGGATGTTGATCTCGAAGTGGGCGTAGCTGATCCAGACCTTGACGTGATCCGTCTTTTCCAGCAGCCGTTCGTAGAGCTCGCGCGTCCGCTCGTACTCGCCTTCCTCCTCTTCAAAATCAATGTATGCCTTCCAGAGAAGCTCGGGCATGTCGAGCTGCTGCTGGCCAACGGCGAGCTCGAAGATAGCCCGTGTGCGGTCCAGGTCGTCTAGGCCGCGCTCCAGCTCGGCGAATTTGATCCACGTCTGGCAGTTGGCCGGATTGAACTCAATGTGCTTCTCGTACAGTGTGCGGCAGCGGACAAACTCGAATAGCTTGCGCTCGATATCGATGTAGCCATTGAAGATTTTGTCCTTGGGGCACATGCCGATGGCGCGGCCGAGCAGCTTTCGCGCGGCCGTGAGTTGGCCCTGGCGCACCTCGAACTGCGCTGCCAGAAGCCACACCTTGGCAAATGTAAACTTTTTGTGAGGTATCAGGCTTAGGCATGTGCTGTATATCTGGCGCGCTCGCTCCATGTCTTGGCCTTCGAGCTCCTCCCAAACGGCGTAGAATATCCAGAGGTATATGTATCGTCGCCAGTGCCGCTTCTCCTGCGTTGGGGGTACTTGGGCCACTGCCCTTTCGTAGACGTCGCGGATTCGATCAGCATCTCGGGACGATTCTTCCAACCCGGCATAGTCGAACCATGCGTCGTAATTTTTGGAGTTCTCCTTGACTTGCTCCTCGTAGTAGACTCTTCGCTTTGATAGCACCACGTCTTCGACGCCGTCCTTGTCGCCGAATTGCTTCTCAAACGTGGTATATGCTTTGTGCAGTAGCTTCGATTTTGACCGCGACAGCCTGTCCAGGGCGTATTTGTAAATGGCACGGGCACGCTCGTACTCCTTCAGCTTTGATTCGAATCGCGCGTATGCGATAAACAGTCTCTCGTCTACAAAGTCGTCGCCCAATGTCTCGACGGCATTTCCGAAAACCTCTCGAACTAGCTCGCTCGTCCCATACTCTTCCTCAAACTTGGCCCACTTGATCCAATTGCGCGGTTCTGGGTGAACCGTGGTAAAGTTCTCAAAGATGGCACGCGCTCGCTCAAACTCACCGTACCGCTTCTCCAGCTTGATGTAGGCACTCCAAGCCGCTTCGTCGGGCTGCCATTGCATCCATCGGTCAAATACTTGTCTGGTGCCGGGAATGTTGCCCAGCATCTCCTCCATGTACACGTACTTGTACCACAGCTTGTCGACTCGGGGCAAAATCGTGACAGCACGGTCCAGCAGGTTTCGTGCATGGTTGATATTTCTCGACTTCATCTCCGCCTCGATATATCTGATCCAAAGTACGACATTGTGAGGGAGGACATCGAGGGCTCGCTCGAAGACGGACCTCGCGCGGGCAAACTCCTTTTGTTCCAGCTCCCACTGCGCATACTGCGTCCAGTTCTTCAGGTTGATGCGGTTCCGGCGCACATAGTCTTCGAAATCTTTGCGCTTTCTCCCTTGATACTCGTGCAGCTCCTCCAAGTCGGAAAACTTCTGTGTCGGGGCTTGAATGCCGACTTCTTGGCGATCGACGGCTTCGCGGAGGAGCTGTTCTGCGCTGATCTGAACTGGCGCGGCGGCCTTGTTCTTGACCCTTGGGGGACCCCTTGAGGACTCCATCGTGAATTGAAACGACCGCCTCCCGGTGCAAATTCAGCGATGAGAGTTGTATGCGAGCCGGTCACCCGCGGGTTTGGGTGCGTGGTTGTCGTGTCGTGTCGTGCTGTGTTGTGTAGCGTCGTGCTACGACGTGCTTGTCTATGAGGTGAGGCTAAATCCTGGTTGCGCTTATCAGCGATAAGGTTTTGCTTGTTTGGCCGACGCACGGGCCACATACTGCTTTCAATGTTCCGCGACATCATTTCGCAGTCGAAACCTGAACAAAAAACAAGCATCTGGACTTATTTTGCACCTTTCTTGCCAGACGAACCCCTTCATTCCGCCACATCCGCGCTGCCACAATCGCTGCAATGTCTACCGTTGCTGACGAGCTTTTGAACGATTTTGGAAGTTCGGGGGACGAAGCGGAGGAGAATGACAATGATGGCCTGGTGAACGACGAGCCCCAGGAAAATGGCGACCACGATGTCATGGATGTCGATGGTGACCAAGAAGGATCAGACGATGAGGAAGGAAACGACATGAAGGAAATGGGGGATGCAGAGGCAACCAAGGCGAAAGTAGAGAAGATGCAGCTCGGCGCAGTCAAAGATGTGCGCAGCGTTGCCAGCTTGATGCAAACGCTGGAGCCAGTCCTCGAAGTTAGTATTTCCCCCCCCAATCTAAGACGACGTCGATTGCATTCTTTTGAAAGACGGCTCGTTTACATCCAGTTTCTTGAGACACAGCCCTGACATTTTGGACCGAGCGCTGCAGAAAATCGAGCAATACCGATCACAAACATCCACGCAGACTACCAATGCCGGCAACATCGAGGACCACCCAGAGTATCATCTGTTGACGCAATCAAATAGCCTATCAACCATGATTGATGGCGAAGTGGTGCTTGTGCACAAGTTCATCCGCGATCACTATTCGACGCGGTTTCCCGAACTCGAGCGACTGGTAACGACGCCGCTAGAATATGCCAAGGTTGTGTCAATCATTGGCAATGGGCCGATGAGCTCGGAGAGTATCAAGGCACTGCAGACCTCTACAGACAACCCAATGAAGATGGGACTCAAGGCAGTTCTTGACGGACCGTCGCTCATGGTTGTCACAGTCGAAGCCACGACGTCCAAGGGCCACGAGCTCAATCCCGAGGAACTGAACCGAGTGCGCCAGGCGTGCGCTATGATGGTGTCTCTGCACAAGGCCAAGCAAACCTTGACCGAGTACGTTCAGTCTCGCATGAATATCTTTGCGCCAAACTTGACAGCCCTGATCGGATCTCTTACTGCCGCGCAGCTTCTGAATGCAGCCGGCGGTTTGACAGGCCTCTCCAAAACCCCGGCCTGTAATATACCCTCGTGGGGATCCAAGAAGCGCCAAGCAGGCCTGGCCACCAACATTGGAGTTCGCCAGCAGGGATATCTCTACAACTCGGATATGATTCGCGGCATCCCCAACGATCTGAGGAAGCAAGCAATGAGAATTGTGGCAGCGAAGCTCGTCTTAGCTGCACGGGTTGATAGAATACATTCGACACCAGATGGTTCAACTGGGGACCAGCTAAAGTCGCAATGTTTAGAACGCCTCGAGAAACTTACCGAGCCACCGGCAAAAAAGGGGCAGCGAGCGCTCCCCGTTCCCGGCGACAAACCATCTCGGAAACGGGGAGGTCGACGAGCGAGGAAAGCCAAGGAGGCCGTTGCCATGACGGATTTGCGCAAGGCACAGAACAGAATGGCATTTGGAAAGGAAGAACAGGAGGTTGGCTACGGCACGGGCTCAGGCACGGTTGGCATGGGCATGATTGGACAGCAGAACGACGGCAGGATCCGAAATGTGCAAATCGACCAGCGGACCAGAGCGAAACTCAGTGCGAAGAACAAGGGATGGGGCGTTGCCAGCACTGTCGGCGGCGCTGCCTCATCTATCGGTGGCTTTGGCCAAACGCCAGGCAGTATTGATCTGCGTGCGAAGGGCCTTCGAGCATCTGGTGTTGGAAGCACAATTGGTTCTGCGACTGGCACTGCTTCATCTTTGGCGTTTACGCCAGTCCAGGGATTGGAATTAGTTGATCCAAAGGTCCAAGCTGAGCTCAGCAAGAAGCGCAAGGCGGAGGAAGATAGGTGGTTCAAGGGCGGCACATTCACACAGGTTGGGGGAGCGTCATCAACCAACGGTGGCTTCAAGGTGCCTGACCTGCCGGCTGCTAAGAGGGTTGACACTGGAGCTACAAAGATGGGACCTCCTCCGCCGCGGAAATAGGATGAATAGGGCAGCAGCATGTAAGACGGCGAATTGGCGTTGTACTTTAATCTTTTCCCCTTATCGGACGGTACTGGATCTATGCGATGGTTTAACAGCGCGTCGGTGGGCTGCTCGTACTGCAGGCTGTAAGAATAGTCAATAATGAAAGCGCATGGCAGACAAAAAGGAGGCTGACCTGACAGGGATACAAGTTTATTGCGCTCTGTCATTAGACGCTGGGGTCTTTGAGTTGATACATCTTGCGAGAGACTGCATGATCTCGTATGAATTAAGTGTGAACGGTTAGACAGGAATAAATGACTATTTACCAGTGATACATACGTACGGTGGGAGGCAAGACGTCGACCAGCACAGTATTTACCTGGCTACCGTGAGCTATACTACGAAATGCTCTAGTATATTAATACATCAAAGAGTCTGCCATGGACTGTATCCCGCACTATTTACTATAGGATGCCGCGAACAACACCGCGGTATAAGCCACCACATCTCTCTGGGGACTGTACGTTCCCAGTATCCTCCGTCCGACGAGAGTCGATGCAAGTAGCTGCGCCCCAGGGGGTGGTCTGGTATGCCGCTGATAAACGTCCGTGCAAGTCGGCCACCAGACGTACGCTGGAATCCCAAACCCAGAGTCAGTAAGTAGCACAGGGGCGGTGGCTGCAAATACCGAATCTCACAAAACAACAACCCCATCATGCTGACGCCGTGATTGTATATGCATTGTACGTATAGTAACCCGGCTCAACTGGCACGGTGAAACCCAGTCAAGCACGTAGTCAGTCTCAAGGTTCGTAGAGCCCAGCGCGGAAGCAAGGGGAGAAAACCTCACGAGCCACGAGCATCACCATCACACCTACAAACAAGCAGGCTAATAGGCTTGGAGGAAAAAATACAGCCAAGCGTACCTGCGTCTTTTTAGCCGCCCTTTATTATTATTTTTAATAAACTTCCCTTTTTCATGTTGAACGTTATTTTTTCCGTCGTCGGCTATGCCCTTGCCATTTCAATCGTCTGTCAGCATGATTCCATTTTGGGCCGATTACGTCGTTTTGTGTTAGGATTGCGACTCTCCCTGAGACTAGGTGAACAGACGACCCGAGACTAGTTCACAGAACATGAGGACCCTCGTATCTAAGACACGAGCAGATGATGAGGGATAGTACGTAGTAGTTTGGTTGTGAAATGCAGGGCATGCTGTGCTCCCACCGGTTCGCATGAGACTCAGCTTAACCAAGTCTCATTTTTTTCATTCGCCGGTCTCTCTGGCGCCGTTCCCTAATTCATCATATATATGCTTCAATTTGTATCTAGTCTTGTTGGCACAGGAGCCACGGAGATGCAACTGAGCCATCAACACTGTCTATAGCACTTGAGTACCTTCAAGTACGCAGTATATTGTGATGAATTAACTCTTGTTTAGCTGTCCAGCGTCAGTATACTTGAGCCTCAGCATCCTTGCCCATAATGTGGCTAGCAGTTGAGCTTGGGAGCCGCCGTTGCTTCAGCCCCGACCTTTAGGACTTGACAGGGCACTTCTTCCTCCCAGGACACCAGACGCCATGTTCTTCTTCTTTCTAGCGCTCTCGGAGTATTTTACGAGGCTTTCGGGGATTGTAGGATAGGACGGCCGGCACCCCTGGAGGGAGCCATCATTTGCGTACTTTTAGATGCAACTGGGTTAGCGGGATAGCTTTATCCTGATCCGAGATGTATGTACGAAACAAACAGAACGAAAAGTTTGTTTCCAAATAGAGTTTCCGTCCGTCCCTGTCCAATCTGGTATAGTAGCCATGGCCGAGAACATTCTGTCACGTCTCGTGCGCCAGAGCTGGCGCAAAACTCCAACATCTGGGCCTGGTCCAACGTTTGATCGAGTCGTAGTCGCATCGCCGAGTTGGCATCAACATGCACAGAAAGGGCTACACGGCACGCCGCTCAATGGCGCGTCTTGGAGGAAAAACCAAAGCTGCGGTCCCTTCTTTGCCAGGCACCAGAAACCCCGTCGCAACGTTTACAGCAGTCAGTTTGGGGTGTGTAAATCCCATAGCCCATCTCCCGTCCTGAATCACATTCCTCGGCTCCGGAGGATCAGCGATAACAATCTCGACCCATGCCAGCAGGCGCACCGCTCCGTCCCAAGAATGTGCCGCCAGGAGCCAAGTGCGTGGCTCTGGCGCCAGGGCTGAGAAGGGCATTGATTAGACGTTTGGAATCGATAATACAGAATCTATCCCTCAACAGCGAAACGACATGCGGGCAGAGTAGTTTTGGGTGTGGCTTTGGCGTCACCGCCACGTACCACCTTTGAAGCTCGGAAACTCCCTCCCTCGCTCAACATAGCGCATGATGCTTTGCCTTTTCAGATTCGAACAGGACGCATTTTGTTTCGCGGCATCGAGATCTGACATGATGAGGCTTGACTGCTTCTAGTCTGCCCCGCCGTCCTCTTGATTACTACTTCGAAGCACCCAGTTGGCCTGAAGCCCGTAGACGTTCAGGAACAGTGGAGTGCTTCCAGGACTCGTAAACAACTGAACCCGCTCGGTAGACAGGGTGAGAGACATGGTTGAGCTCTGTGTGATGTCATGAGGATGCATGCTTTCAAACACGCCGCCATACGGAGTACTCCTGAAGCAACTCGAGCGATGTTGAACGCAGTCGAGGTGAAATTTCGCGGCTGCGCAACGCCGCAAGGGAAACCCAGAGATCGCCATTGTATCAACGACGTGGCGTCCAACTTGCATCCCCAGCCGTGTGTGCTTTTGGGACCTGAGGAGAGATCCAGCATCTGCCCGAATGGTCAGCTGCCGTCGTCATCACGCAGTACGCTTGCGTCTGCTTACATATCCTGCGTGCTATTAAGGGTCTAACAAGGAGACGAAATTTGATGCCCGGAGCCTTTCTTCCTGTTGTTGAAAGTAATCAGGACAATATGAAAAGTGCCATGGCTAAGCAACAACCACTCACAACTACCGCTGGGGTTGCCGACCCTTCTCTCTGACACTCGACGCTCTTCCTGTGCCGGGGTGTCCAAGCATCTCAGCACTCAACACCCCCTCCCGTCTACCCCTTCAGCCCTCATGGAGGTGGCAGTGATGGGTAGTACTAATGCATTTGCAGCCCTTGCAGGGACCGGGAAGGGGACAGCAAAAACCGCAGGGTCCGTCAGCGTCGTCCCATGCATCTGTACTCCGTATGACTGGCGCTTGTCCGAAAAGCCATCTCCCTAGCATCACTTCTTTAAAGAGTCATGACGTAGTTGAAGCCAGGAATCATGTTTTTCTGCAGAAAGACTTCAGAATTTTGCCTTAGCGCGTTGCTGTTATGTTGACCGTCGGTCGCGACTCCCTTGTCTTTTGGATCCCGGCCAATGTCCATGGCAGACCGCGCAACTTCACACGGCAATAAGACGTTGTGCCCTCAAAAATGTGGCCGTTGCTGTTTTGGTTGAAGGCCACTAAAAGTTGGAGGAAGTAGATATTTGCCCAGGTGCCGTTCAACAGGGTGAAAGTGTCAGATACATCATGAATCTATCTACCCCAGGTTTGAGTTGACGGGAGCGCGGCCATGGACGAATCTTTGACAATACATAGCCATGTCTGCGATCCTGTCCAGCATTGTTCGTGGATCAGGGGACATATCCCCAAAGCCAGAGGTTTTAGTTGGCTTCATTGTGGGCTGTCATTCCTGCCAGTCGAATGCTCGCGGATACCACTAACCTTGCCAGTATAACCAAATGTGCCGCATTGCAACAGTAACTAATTCCTGGCTGGACAGGTTCGTACAAACATTTTATAGCACCTCTCCGTCAATACAGCTAGAGAGCTCGTCCGTGGTGCGTTGACGGTTTCTCGCGCATGCCTTTGTCCTAGCCCAACACCCAGCTGTTTCGATGACGGGCAGGGTAACTGCGGAGTGAAGGGTGTGTGCATAGAGCCGCGCCTAATGGTTACCGGTTGGTGGGTTCAAGTTTCTTGCATGCTCTACTACATATGTCGGCCACACGTCGACTTTCCAACCTTATTCCATCCAGGCCATGGAGAGCCTCGCAGAGTTGTCGGTGCGGATGGTATGGCAGGCGGGACTCTGTTGTTGTGGGGACGCAAAGCAGACCCTTCGGAGCTTTGCCTTTCCAGTCTTTTTTTTTTTCAGGGTGTCAGGGTCGTCGATCGTCGATCGCACAGCCAGAGCACGATCAGCAAGCTTATTCAATTCCCCATCCCCTCTTGCGTCCATTTGCGAGGGTTTGCTAGCAAGCCCAAATGCGGCGTAGAGCGCGGAACAGGGAGCAGGTTGCCATTATACGACGCGTTGGCGCCGTGATCATCACTGGCCTCGTCAGGACGGGATCGCAGGACAAGAACAGGGACTTTGTGCCCTGGATCCAATTGCAACCGGCGGGTAGAGGCGGTGACGGGCTGCTCATCGCAAATGCTCACGCTATCCACCCAGCCAACGCCAGGATTGCCGTCATTGTCCACCGACGGAGCATCTCCTCCTTGACATCACATAGTACATATGTACATACCTAGGTAGTTTGCCCTCATGGTACTCCGTAAAGTGAGCTGGCATTTCGGACCTGAAAGGCCAGGAGCAACCCGGCCGTTGCGTGCCAACGTGCCATCAACTATTGAAGCCAAACATCTCGACATTAGGTATTGACGCTATAGGACGAGGTACCGCGCTCTGGGGTACTCACCTGGTAGAGATATGTCATGTGGGGGACAAGTCATCACGTTGAACGTGTTCGAACCTGTCTGTCACTTTCCACGTTGACCTTTCTGGAAAGGTTTGGAAGTAAAATGCGGCTCGTAGCTCCTGCTCCCTGGTTCTGCGGCCACGATGTCACGTATTCTTTGCATTTACAGGCCAATCACCAAAATGCCAACCGAGTCAGTTACTGCTTTCTCTCTTGGGATGTCGCCGGATTGGGCTTTCAATGTTTTCGGAAATAGCTATACCAACTCGGTCTCTGGCTCTTCCGTAAGTGTTTGCCCTGCGAGCTGTTCCCGGAGTCTTAGTTCGCGCACCCCTTCCGCCTTTAGATGTAAGAGCCCGAGCCCTCTTCAGATTCTCATGCATTACCCATCTGAAGAGACGCATATTTTCTTTTCTGGTTCCCATACTTCCCCCGTATCAGGGCCTTCCAATTACCGCAAGCAGCTAGGCTTTAGCTTCGCGTAAGTGACTAGCCGACGAGCAATGACGTCAACGTGGGCATTTCTGGCCTGGATGAAGTGGCTCGCGGGCATTGGACATGTTGTATCTGACTCGACTCGAGGGTTCCGGACCCTGCCTGTTGCCAATACACTAGGAGTGTGCCCATCACTATGGAGCAGTGCGTCTGAGCTTGTCAGAGAACTCTCCCCGGGCACACTGGCACCCAAGCTGGCCACATCGACCTGGCAGTGACCCAAAACCGTTACCTGCTAGGTAGGGCAGGTATCCAGAGACCCGCGCTGACAGTATTATTGACCCAGTCAGTATGGAGTACTCCGTACATCCGCTTTATGTGTCTTGTAGGGAAGCGAGTTGGCGAGGTCAACAAAGACGCCTTGACCATCGTTGCGTGCAACGACAAATGTCAAACGTCAACAGGACGCAAGTGGCTCCCGGAGTAAAGTGGCCGCACCAATGCTCAAGGACGCTGGCTGGACGATGAAGTCTGGTGTGTGTTGCCCAAAATGCCCATTCTTCAGTTTGCTTAGAAAGCGGGGAAGAAAACGCATGCGACAACATGGTCTTGTTCGAAATTGCATGCTCGGGTCGCCGAGGTCGTGGTCAAGTACCAGACTTTGTACTTCGTACTCTGTACTCCGTACTCCCTACACGACAGACCGGAAGCCAAAGTACCTGCCAAGACACCCAGGTATCCCAAAGAACCCCTCAGTCCTCATCCCTTCAGCCTGGGACCTTTTTATCGATCTCTCCGATCATTGGACGATGCTGTGGGGGTGACCCTGGACCCTGATGCGACCCTGGATTTTCCGCCTTGAGCTTCCAAGACCCGAAGAAACGTGCGCTTCCCTGTAGTGCCGCTTTCCTTCTGCTGGGGCCGACAGGAATTTTCTCTCCCCCAATCGAACGCCAATTGGGCTGCGTATTGAGCTTGCGAGTAGGGAGGGCTTCCCGACGAACAGCCGTCTGATGCTCTGACTAGCATGCGCAGATGAGCTACGATGCACAGCCGCGACAAGATCAAACATGTATGTATATGAGGAGAGGAACAGGGAGAATTCGTTCTGCAACCGACTGGTTACAAATCCCCACCATAAATGGCGATATGCGCGAACAGAATAGCAGGCACCCTGATAAGCTTTGGTGATCAGTCAGGATTGGTTAGTTGTATCAGTAGGGGGATGTTGCATCTCAAGGTCGATGCCGACTTCTGCAGTGGTGGTTGGAGCTTTGTATCTAGGAGGCGCCTCGCCAGCGAATGGCCTGAAGGCTTTGACGTCACCATTCATCCATTTTCACTACCACCGTCGGGGCCATTCCCGGGCACGCGAGTCCTTAGATTGAACTGAGATCGAGATTTCGGTGGTGAGATAAAATGGTTTCTTTGTACATAGTTTTTTCTCTTGTTTCTTTTTTTTTGTTTTTGGCTAAGCTCGGAATGAAGAACCCCTTTGGTAACTGGGGGTGGGGTGGGAAGAGAGAGAACTCTTGGCCCCAGCTTGACCCGTCGAGGATCCGTCGCAACAGCACGGCCCCAAGTCTCAAGCAACAAGATCCTTGTGTCAAAGAGCCTAAGCGTCCCAGTTTGCTGTCAAGCGAAATGCTGGGTACGTCGGTGAAGAAAGCTTGAAGGAAGCAGTATGTACAGTAACTGGAGCTAAACGCACCAGTAGAGCGAGTCGGCAAAGCACAGGAATTCCCCTCATAAAGAACCCAAAGAGCCGAGACACAAGTATGGGGAGAATTTGCTAAAAGTGAAGCTGCGGTGATGATGACTAACAGGTCGAAAACGGCTGGACAGAGTGTGTGAGGAGGTCTCCCAATGTTGCTTGGAATATCTTGCGGACAAGGACTTGACTCGAGATAAATGATTGAGATATAAGGGTGAATGACGACCATTGATAAGATGTCCGTGTGGCAAGGCGGGATTGGCATACATATAACTTTGGCCGTCAGCACAAGCCTTTTCACCCTATCATGAACCCCTGTGGCAGTGACAAGATGGGGAGGCTAATGACGACGCCTTACCCGCGCAACCGAAATAGTAGCATTGTTTTGACGCCGCGCGCTTTGGCCTCGGGCTCGTTTTAAGAGCAACTTGTCCTTCATTATTATGTCTTGGCGGACGGGAAATGAAGTGATAAGCGTAGATGGCTATCAGTAACGGCCCCGAGCCCCGAGCCCCGACAAAGCCCCTAGATTGCCAGAGAGCAAATTCCGTATGGATAATAAAGGACGTTATAGCTCTGGAGACCGTGTTAGCGTGCACAAAGACAACACTCTGAATTCTGCAACAGACTGATGCTGATGGCCAATCCCAAGCCAGGGACCTCTGGATACGAGTCAAGCCGCAGACGGCACCGCAGACGGACAGTTGGGGAAGAAAAAAGGTTGTAGTCTTGCTCGCACACATTGATGCGCATGTACCCCGTATTACCAGTTGACATGTACTCCGTATGTGTGCCTGCAACTGCAGCTGCCGCTTCCAGCCGCGCACCAGTCTGCTTGGTCAGTTCTCCGTAACTCCAGAGGGATCTCTCTCTGGTCTCCAAACCCAGCAAAAGCTACCATGCACTTGTCAATGGAGCGGACACAGGCGCACTCCCCCTAATTCCCCACGGGTCCCTGTCGTGCTGTGCCTGGTCTCCACCCGCTCCATTGAGCGAACAGGCATTAGGAAAGGGGCGTGTGTAGTCTTGGGCTCGGGTGGTTGGACGACTCGTGTTGAAGGGTTTTTTGCTCCCTGTGGCCACTCGTCGATGCTGAAATAACACAGGGTGTCGAGTGGTGTACAAGACGATCAATATTCAGACGTTGCGGTTGCTGCTTGTCTCCGTGTTTCCATGATTATAGATAAAGAGGTCATAGCCGAAGCTAGGTTTGAGTATTACTTGGTTCCCGGGTTATTGGACGTTTATGCTGCGTCTCAGCAAGAGCTGGGTTCTCAAGTGTCATTCCAGGGCCATCTGTGCCAATGTTGAGGTGACAAGAAAAACGCCGGTGCTAGCGCCCAATTGATTTATTCCGCCAGGCTAGTTGGTAAAAACGGATAGCGGTATGATGTTGACGGCATGTCTCTTGGCCTGCAATTGGCGAAGCACGGGGAGAAGGGTCTGGTGCTGATTTCAAGATTGAGTTTCGAAGGCAGGGCTTTTGGCAGGATGTTGGATGTGTCTATGTAGGTAGTACGGAGTAGTACTGCATACGTACATACGTACCTAGGTAGCCGAGAGGGGGTGTGGCTGTGGCGTGGCGTGGCGTGGCGTGAGGCAAGGCCAGTCGGTCGTCTTGGCCAGTCTTGGTTCTCTTGCAGGCAGGCTGCACACTGGCGCTGCGTGCTCTGCGCCCCAGGCCCCAGGCCCCCCAAGCCCCGATGCCCCCCATGCTGGCCCCATGCTGGCCCCATGCCCCATGCCCCATGCCTCATTCGATGCAAAGCTGCTCGGGCAGGGTTCTTCGCATGCAGCTAGCTCCAAGTATTACTGCAGTGGTGCGGCAGTGCAGTGGTACATTGGTGCACATGCGCCGTTGTGCAGTTGTGCACTTGCGCCAATCGTCGGGTCGCTCTCTGGCTACCAGGCAGGCATTGATTGAGACACGACATGGAGGGGCCAATCTTTCTTCGCCATCATTCGGAAGCCCTTCTTCGATCCCACCCCCGATCCAAGGTGCAAAAGTGGTGCTCAGCGAGGATGGGGTTTCATGCGAAACACGCCCGGATTGCTGAAAACTCGATCCATCCCGCTCGTCCTGCCTGCTTCCTCGATTGGCCCTGACCTTGCCTGTTGTGCTTTTTTTTCGGAGTTGCTCCTCTTTTAACTCTTTTAACCATAGCCTCCCGCCTTCCATCGCCATCAGGTCTTCTGCCATTCTCACCCAAGACCACGCATCGACCTCCAACACGCTCAACATCGTCGGCACAGCCTGCTGCAAACCCATTGATGACCCAGCAGCCCGGCCCTGGCCTCTTCAACACCTGCAATACCTACCACCCTGCCACTCTCGCCCTGCCTTCACCTGCTTCACATGCTTCACCTGCCGCACGCCTCTCTGCGCTAGGACCTTGTCGTCACGAAAACGTCACTAGCACCCCCGTCACCTCTCTGGCTCTCAAGTGCTGCTCTCTGCCACCTGCAGCTCCAGTCTCCACGGCACACCCTCTTCGCCCTTGGGCCACGCTTTGGACCACGCTTTGGAACACGCCTTGAGCACGCCTCGTCTCTTTTTTAACCTCTGCATCTCTCACCTCACCTCACCTCACCTCACTCGCTGAGCCCACCCAAGCTTTCTTAGTTTTGCAACGGCTGGTCCTGAGCTCCAACAGCGGCAACACTTGGAAGAGCAAAAGAAGACCTGGGTTATCCTTTCCCTTTTCCCCCTTCACAGCTGCCGCACTTGTATGTGAGAGTTGATCAAGACAATCCAATTCCGACAGCCTCGTCAGTTGTGTTTCCTTCTTGCACGACTCTTACTACTCCAACCAGGCATATTCCGCCTTGCCGCTCACGTTGCACAACGCGCCAAAACCAACAACCGAACAGCTATCGATATAGGTCCCTGCGAGCTGGGCGAGTCTCTTGCAATTGAGCAATTCTTTGACATCCATTCGTACCAATCTCCTCTTGTGCCGTTCGACCTTCGCAGACAAGCCATCTGTTCGTCAGTTGTTCCGAATACACCCTTCACATTGGCTGTACAGCTACTTCCCAATCCACCAGCCAACACAACCGACACACTTGCAGACGTCTTCTCTAGCCGTTCAGAATGGAGGCTAGAAACGCCGCGGGTCGCCGCGTGTCACTGCTCAACGACGACAGTATTCGCTACGAAAAGACTCAGCTTCACCCCCACCAACAACAACAGCAACACCACCACCATATTGGCTTCCAACCATGTCGTCCATATCCCAGCCCACGCAGCAACTCGTCATCACCCAACACCCCGGAGCTGCTTCGTTCGGATTCTTACGACTCTCAGATGAGCAATGATCCCATTTCGCCTTTAACGCCTTCGGCCGACTATGCGTATCCAAGAGCATCCCTGTATGCCGCCGAGCTCCCTTCCAAGCGGCCCGCCTACGTCGATAGCAGCCGGTCAACCTCGTATGAAGATGACACTCCCGCTCCTTCTGCACCGCCGCCCGCAGACCGTCCTGGCAAGCGATATCCTTGCCGATATAGAGATTCTCATGGTTGCAAGAAGACCTTCACTACGTCTGGCCACGCATCGCGGCACTCAAAGATTCACACTGCCGAGAAGGCCGTTCAGTGTACATATCCCGGCTGCCAAAAGAAGTTTACCCGCGCCGACAACATGAAACAGCACTTGGAAACCCACTACAAGGACAAGAGCCGATCATCAGCCAGCCAGCGTGCGCAAAAGGCCGCCCTTGCTGAAGCACGCCGCAATTCATCCGCCGGTCGCAGCCGCTCCTCTACCTCAACGACCACAACTAGCAGTGTGGGCAGCCGTGAGGCTATGCAGTGGGAGTCGGATGTTTATGCCTCTTCTGCACAGCCTATGGCCTCACCAAGCACCAGCTCATGGGAACTCCGCACCCACAATCTTCCCCTGTTGAACCGTCCTGCAATCGCCAGGTCACCGAGCAGCGGCCTCGACGCCCTGGCCATGGCAGTCGCTTGCCAGGAGGGCAGCAGGAGGCAATAATATCGGTGCCTTGGAGAAATTAAGGCATTGAGCTCTCAATGTTGAGGGAACTTTACGTCCATGGCATTCTCTGTCAATTGGGCTCAAATACTCGTTAATGCTTAATCCCGCGTGTGACCACGAGTCTGCGCGGTAGATGCTGCACACTCGTTTAAAAACTAAAATTCGATTACGGACTGTATTTTTTCTACCTTCTGTACCGGAGGGCACAATGCTCGCGAGCAGCATTCGCCTCCCTTGCCAAACCCAACACGGCGATGGAGTCGTATTTTGTACATTTTGGTACTGGGCACCTCGTGTGTGCCATCATTTGATCCGGCGTTGTTGATATCCAGGTTCGGGGCGGCTTACAATTTTTCTTTTTTTCGGTTTTTATATCGGCGCTATCTGTTGATCTAGTATCACGGCGATCACACTGGGACTTTGGGAATACAATATACAGGTGGCTTGTACACGCTTTTAAGCACCTCATGACGTTTTCTTCATCTTCATCTGGCAAGAGACCAAGTCGGTCTTCAGGTTTTCTATCTCAAGTACCCCACCTCATCCTCGCAAACCTTTGAGATGCGTGTGTCATGTCATCCTTGTCTTGGCTGGTTGGAGTAGCGTGGGGCTTGTTCATATTCTGGCGTTTATTGATCTTGGAAAGACTTGTTTGTTTGTTATGAATGGTTCTATTAAGGGGATGTTATGCCATGCAATCACCGACATGAGACACACGCACATACACATATACACGCAAAAAATGTTCCAATCAACCGGCTTCGTTGACTGGAAGCACCATACGATAGGGTTTGGTGCAATGGGCGGCTTTTTAGGGACGTACATAGCTTTTAGGCATGGGTGTATCTGACCGACCTGCTCTCTGCGGTTGCGTTGATGGGGATTATCTGGGTATAGGAATTGATACGAATTGCCATGTCTTTTGCTCCTCTTTTGCTCCTCTTTTGTGATGCTATTGCTGCCATGAAACTGCTCGGGTGATGTTGGTTCGCACCTTGGCTCGTACTCTTTGACGCGTGCTTTTGGGCGACTGGTGCCATTTGGTGTGACGAATAGTTGTAATCAAGTAGACTATCCCCCGGGTATCTATGTGCTTGTTTTTTACGCCTACATAATAGTTGATGGTGCCGCCTCGCCATAACTCTCCCCTCCTCCTCCCCCTCTTCTTTCGAAGATATTGTCAACCCAACCGCCCGCTCACTCCTCACTCCTCCTCACTCCTCACCGCCCCCAAAAGAGTTTCTTAACCATCTGAACTACCAAACCCAAAGGGTTATGCGGCGCACCGCGTTCCCCTCTGCTCGCCCCGCTCTTCTGGGTCTGGTTCCCGGGCGTTCCGTCGGCAGACCCCAAAGCGGCACTGACAAAGTCGTATCCGATATCGAACTGGATACCATCAGGGTTGGTCAAGTTGTACCTATTGTCTGCCGGCATCCCCCCCGTTAGCACTTGTTGTTTGTCATATTGAGCTGAAAGGGGATAACGTTCAAACTACTCGTAGTAGTCGCGGAGAGGGGTGGGGGTTCAACCCAGACGCCACGGCCGCAATTACTAGTCCAAACACGGCAATTTCCAGCCTCTTGTCAGGAATCAAGATTTGAAGCCCAAAACCGGACCTGGAAGAGGGCGGGGGGGCAGGACAGGGCAGGACAGGACAGGAAACAGAGGACGCGAGGCCCCAGACTTACACCACAGGGAGGTTGCTTCCGGATGGATGCCAACGAGGACGACCCATCCGTCGCCGTGGGGGGTCCGCGAGGCAGCGACGTCGCCGGACTGGGAATACCGCGCGAGCACGGCGTGGCCGGCGGCCCTGTCCCTGGCGCGTCGTCGCGCCCCGGGGAGGCCCTTGATGGCGACGCCGTCCTGGAAGTAGGCCCAGCGGTCGCTGACGGTCTGGCCCCTGGCGTGGCCGGCCGCGGCGGACTGGAAGGTCCAGTCGACCTGGATGAGGGTGTCGGAGTCGTTGGCCACCTGCGCGCGGCGCTGGTCGATCTCGCGGTCGACGTCGGCCCCGGCAGGGAGGAGCCCGAGGCCCGGCGAGAAGCCGGCGAGGAAGGCCCCGAGGCAGACGCCCATGTAGCGGCCGCCCCGGGAGACGAAGTCGCGGATCGCGGGGGCCGCGTCTTGGATTTCCGCCCAGGCGCCGTCTAGGTCTGCACGCGGAACGGGCAACGAGGTGCTTGTAAGTACACGGCGTTTACAAGGACGAATTCGTCCTGTGAGAAAGCAAAAGGCGGTGGTGGTGCTTCTTCGTGGGATAGGAGTCCTTCTTGTTGTTGTTGTTTTGGCAATGTCATGGGCATTCAAAATGGCATGACCATGGCCAAACGAACACAAACAGAAGCAAAAAGAAAACTGATGCTTGGAAAAACGTCGACTCGGGAAAAAAAGAACAAGACAACGTACCTGGCCCGCCTCCGTACGCAAACACATCCACGTTGCGCAAGCTCTCGGCCGTCACCTTGACCTCCTCACCGGGACCAGCATACGTGACGGCCACCTTTTGCGGCGATGATTCCAAAAGCTGCGCCAGGGCCCCAGGACAGTTCTGGCACACGGCCGGTCCGCGATACACCAGAGCCCGGAACTCCCTGGCCGCGGCCGCGCCGGTCCACGCGGCCGCAGCAAGCATCACCACGCGAGGCCAGTTGCGCATGGTTTCCTGCCGTCTTGTTCTCGCGCCGGCCCGTCCTCCCTTGCTTGCCAAGCAGTTCCAGTGAAACGTCTGGTGGGCTGTCTTCGATGCGATTTCCCTGTGTAGGTATAAATCGCGGGTCCTTTCCGCCCCCGGTTCCCCCTTTTATCAATGTGACTATGGTACGGAGTAGTAGGATGTCGTCGTGACGGGGGCCCGGATAAGCGACTCGTTGTCCGCTCACGATCCAAAGTGCCCCGTCTCACCGTGCAAGGGCAGGCAGGCGAGTGCCAAGAAGGCGAGAAAAACCCCCGTGAAGCACGGATAGACAGCGCAATGACTCGTCTACGGGGAGCAAGGTGAGCAGACTGGATGGATTGGGGCCTCGGCCACGAGAGAGCAGCGCGTGGGAAGGGTGGCTATATACGGAGTAGACATACATACAAACAACAACGTTCCAGACCCTTGCGACGCCAGCGGCGATATGTGACTTGGAATCAGGTCAGGTCCAGGTCCCTTGCGACGAACCCCAGGTGCCAAAATGTCTCGACAGGAGGAGAAACCCAAGACTCGGGGATTCCAGGGCCGTGGGATCGAATCAATGTCTTGGAATAGGGCGCACACAAGCGACGCGCCTTTTGTCGTCTATTCACCACCCTCGGCCTCGACTCTGCGCCCGTCTCGAATCTCGTCAACAGCCCTCAAAGGCTGGAGCCGGAAACTCAAGAGGCAAGGTGAGGTGTGTCGGGGGACACCAGCCTCGCTATATATACGCACAAAGCGAGGCCGTTTATGACCAGCGTGCCAAATAGCTCGTACGGTGCTGGGCAAGGGCAAGACTGAATATCCTGCTGTGGCTGGTCTGTGAAACGCGCGGCCACCCGTCTGCCAAACAAAAACTCCAGATTAAAAAAATAAAATAAAAGGTCCGACTCGGAATTTCATACCCGTCAGCAAACGCTGGAGGGATCCCGGAGGGCTTTAAATGCCTGGCGTAAACCGTCGCGGAAAGACGCCAGACCAGACCGGCCAGCTTCCTCTTTCATGTCTCGCAACTCCGCCACAATCCGGGCAGCAAGCAAGCACTGCCAGTCCGTGCTGCCCATCGCGGCACCGGCCAATTAATCTCGAGACTTCGTGGCACCCGTTCGGTCAATACTGTCCCTGGGGGAGCATCGCCGTGCTCCGCCTCCCTTGATGCTACTTTGTTTGCAAGCCATTGCGCCTTGTGCTGCAGCAACTTGATGACACAGCTTGACAGACCGAAAAGAGGCAGGTCTACTTGACCGCGTCATCCCGCATGCACTCGTTCTGTAGGGTAGCTGCTTGGTTCGCGCGCAAAATCCGTCTTGGAGCCGCAGCCAACCCTGAGCGAGCCTTGTGCTTTGATGACGCATCTAGGGATTCAATTACTACCAATGGAAGAAGTCGAGTTTTTGCACCAAGGACAATAGTCGACGCTGAAAAGGCCAGGCCGCTTATGCAGGCCGCGTGGCCTCTGCCTGCCATCCCTCAACTCTCCAGCATGACGTGGCTCGCGGACCAGAACATGCCCAAATCCTTCAGCTGAATCGTGGTTTTATATCCAATTATATCCAATCTGGATGGCACCGAACCGAGATGCAATTTCTCGACGTGAATAAAGTACTTTCTACGGTACTATGTGGGACATTCTGTTGTCCAAGAGCTCATACTCCATCATCCACACTGCTTCTTATATGGGCGTCCACCATCACTCGTGCAAGTCTCATGCATCCCACAACTCCCCCTTCTCAGTGGCAGCTCTGGCCATTTCCAACTGCTCATCCGTTTGGCAAACCAACACTCGGTGCCGTGCCTGATCCGAGCCCACTTCCTCCACCACCTCTGTGAGATTCCTCGAGTTGCGGGCTTGATCAATGGCAAACCCGAGACAGCTTGTACGCCGCACCACCTCGCCACGTAGACGGGCACTCTTTTCTCCAATTCCACCTGCAAATACCAGTGCGTCAACTTGGCCCTCGAGCGACACGTAGTAGCTGCCAATGAAGCCGCAGACCCGATCCACGAATATGTCAAAAGCCAGCTTGTGCTTGGGCTCGTCAGAGCCAGCAATGACGCTGAAATCCGTTGTCCCCGTCAGAGACTTCCACCCGCTTTGTTTATTGAGAATCTCTTCCGCTCTGGAAATGTGAAGGTGTTCGGTAGAAGCCGGCGACAGTTTGCCGACATCGCTAGCGTAGTGGAAGACAAGACTGTGCACCACCATTGTTAGTCACAATCCTACACTGCGTCCCGAGTTATCTCAACTTCCCCCCCTTCTCCGTCTCTCACTCTCTCGTTTCCTATGTTTTCTTCCCAAAGAAAAATATGTCAACGTACCTGGGATCAACGCTACCACTTCGAGTTGCGCCTGGAAGGCCGGCCAAAGGTGTCAATCCCATGCTTGTATCCCAGCTTTTACCAGCTTTGATTGCGCTGGCGCTGGCACCGCTCCCCAAATGAAGCGCAATCATGTTGACTTGATTGGCGTCTTTTTGAAGAAACTCGGCGACTGACCGCGTGATGAACGCGTAGCTTAGGCCGTGAAAGCCGTACTTGCGAAGTCGGTTCTTCTCCGCAATATCTGGGTTGATAGGGTACGTGGAAATATGTGGTGGAATAGTTGCGTGAAACTGAGAGTCGAAGCAGGCAACATTGATAGCCCCTGGAAGCTGCTTTATACACGACTCTACAATGCCGAGAGCCGCCCCGTTGTGTAGCGGTGCAAGATCGCTCAGCTTTTCTAAATGGTGATACGTATCTCGAGTAATAGTCCGTGACTCGGTGTAGTCACCGCCATGAACAATTCGGTGGCATGCGATTGCCAAGTCATTCTTGGACGTGATTTCTCGCAGCTCACCGTCGTTGATGAGCGTATCTAGCAGAACCGAGAAAGCATCATCCTGTCCTTGGATCTTTTGGCCAGCCTGTTGGTCTTTGGCAATTGCCTTCCCATATCTCGAGTATTTGAGTTTTGCTGGTGGTGCTGTTAATCCACTGACTTGGGCCTCGGCAATCTGTCGCAGATGCCCATTTCTCTCCGCCGAGTAAGCCGATATCTTGACTGAGCTGGAGCCGGCGTTGATGGAAAGAATAATTTTCATAGTGAGCGGTTTATTTGGCGCACAAGGTGCAGCGCGTAACGCAGGCCTGAAATGTCGTTACGAGCGTCCAATTCATTGGGGGATGTCTCCAACTTGATGAGATAGATGACTGAAAAAGAACGTCATGTCATGATGGGTGGCCAGATGAGCGGAGCCAAGGACATGTATGATGTGATGTGTGAGTCGAGCTGCATGCGTTTTGGTGGGGGGTCCAATTGGCAGTCGACTTATCGGCACGCCACGCAGCCATGACCTCGGGGAGCTCGAGATAATTGAGGGGCTCAAATCAATATCGGGGTCTTTTTGAGGTTACCCTCAAGTGATTGATGACCCCGCGTACCTTAACCTCATAACAGGGCACATGGCTCCAGCTGATTCCTGACCACTTCACAAGTGGGCATTGGACACAGAACAAGATGCGACTCCCCGACGCATCCGTGGGCTTCAACGTGTGCTTCTAGATGTCGTTGTAGGAAGGCTAATGACAAAGCGGCTGCCCCAGAACCGTTGCCAGCACACCATACTTTTGCATGTGCTTGGTCCTGCCTTCTGTCGTCATAGTTTTGCGTGTTCTTTGTTATGATGGCGCTGATATATCATGGTAAAACCTTGCTCATAATGACCCCTCTCATCCCCTGTCGTCTGATTCTTCTGGCTCGGCAACAGGCTCGAGTGTGCGAGTCCAATCGGGGGACTCGAGCTCAACTGGCTGACCTGGCAGCATTTGTGGTGAAGGTAGTTCAAAATGGTGCGGAGGAAAGGGAATCCCTTGAAAGTCTCGATCAGTACTGTGAGCATACAGCCACATTTCGAGAAACCGTCGGTAATCTGTGGCTGCAGTTAGACCCCAGTATCTCATGACCCTCAGCGTATGAATGTGCGGAAGGCCAAGACTTACCTTGCCGGCTGCTAAACTGAATGGATAAATAACGAATGTCGACAGGTTGTGCAGACGACGGGTTCGATTCTGAGCTACTCTGGCCAATATTACCTCCTGATGATCGTACTCTTGGTCGTACCCCCCGAGCAAACGAGAATCGGCGTTGAGAGGCCTCATCAGGTGCGCTACCTCGCCGACCCCGAACACTAAGCTTCAATTGTTTCGCTCGATCATCACGACTTCGCAGCTCTCCATCAAAGATGTGCACATCGTACTCGCGATACTGGCCGTCCGTCTTGTTTGCAAGTACGCTTAGGGAATGGAACGTGGTATATCGGTCGCGCCACATCTTGAGACGTTGAATTGCTCCGATTCCCTTGACCTTACCAAAACTATCTGTTCGGCCATGGACATTAGTCCATACGACATCCACATCATAAAATCCTACCATGTCCTTTCGTCGTAAATCTCCCTGAAATCGAACAGATGCATCTACAGTTGTGAATTCGTATCTGACTTGAATGTACTGGTCATGAATACAAACACCTTCGTCGGAGAAGTACCGGATCCGATGAGGTTCAGGGAACGTCAGATATCGTTCCATGTCCGAAGGATCATGGTACTGTCGATGTCGAGAATGAAGTGTATGTGGATGGATCTCTGACGGGATATCCGATGGTACTGTTCTGCCACGTTAGCGACATGGGAGACACGGGACATGTACACCGGAGAGGTGCAAGGCGAAAACATTGACTGCTGATGGCATCAACGACAAAAAAGCGACATACAGTAATGCTCAAGCAGCTCGTTCTGGTAGCTACATTGCCACAAGACTCGTCTTTGCTCTGAACCAACCACTTCCCATGGGCCTAGATACACTGTGCGCTCGTCTGGGGTGTCTTGGAACAAAACTCTGGAAAGACAGTTAGTTCTCAAGACGTATACAATCCAAGTTGTGCTTGTGCTTGGATTACGACTTCCGACATGGCCTGGTCTAGGGTTCTCACATTGTTGCTTGATATCCTGGCGGCCCCAGATCCAGCGGACGAAGGGACGTTTGGAGCGCGACAGAGCCCCCGGTGGACGGCGCTGACAGCGTCGACACGCCCGAGATCGGGGTCCAGGTCGAATCTACTGGGCTGACATGGGAACGGCTATAGGTAGGAGGTCGCCCGAGAGACGATGAGGTGAAGGACGATCCGGAGGACGAAGAGGCACCGGCCATGCCTACGACGGCCCAGGTGCTAAGTAGCGTGCTGGAACCCCGTACGGCAAATGACGATCCAAGCTCGGGCGCGGCCGCGGGTGATGAAAGAGGTCATGACCGAGTCACAACGAGGGACGAGGGACGATGTGATGGCGGGGAAGGAATAAGCGCAACGAGCAGGGCAAGGAATTATTATGCTAATCAAAGCCAGGGTATTACAGAGGGCACTCGGAAACGTGCGGACCGTCCCTGTCAGGAGCCACGGACTAACAACAGGCCACGGAAATAAAGAAAAAATGACGACAGGCTGCTGGATACGCTTTTTTCTTCTGCCTCTTTTTTCCCGCTTGGTTCGCTTTGCCCTTGGCTGGCCCCCGTTGGAGCTAGTAGTTGGGCCGGTAAAATGGGGATGGGGAGCAATTGGGGAATTGGGCGTTGCGGCGAAAATGTAAAACGCCCACGCCCACGCCCACGCACACGTGAAGCAAGGAGCGACAATTGGAGCAGCTCCAGCGTGGCCGGCGAATATTGCACGAGACGTCAGGTACTTTGTGCCTGGTCGGCTACTTAAGCAAAGTCTGGCACCAACAGACAGTTGGAGCTCCAGGTTCGGGGCATGTCGAGATTATAGTTGCTGGGGCAGGATCCACACAAGCATCGAGAGCATTGAGAGCCACGGACACACGATGTCGACCCATCTGGGCACGGGTTGACAGGGCACAGGTCCTGCGAGGCTGTTGGCAAGCGAATCGGAGTGCGGGCGTGTCGAGCAGCGTGCCGATCAATAAGGCGCGCGCAGGAAATGGAGATTCAAGGCTAAACACTAAACATTGATGTGGGCTCAAGATGGTGTCTTGGATGCTCGACACCAGTAGGAGAAAGAGTAAGAACACGGAGGACGGAGGAATGCAAGAACACATCGATGCATGAATGAATGTTGCCAACATGACAGGTCTCCTGGACATGGAGCACCCAGCTCATAAAGTGACATACAATTGAATTGATACTTGACCCGGTCAGTCAGCATGATGGCCAACAACGGCAAGTGCAATTGTGCGCAGCTGCCTATGTCGTGCACGGGTCCAGATATCGGACACCTAGGTACGGAGTACATAGACAATGCACCTGGGGTTTGAGCCAAGCATTGCAATTTGAGACTGCATACTGTGTACGGAGTACAGGCATCAACGTTGAATGGCTCCGAGACCTAGACTTGGTCACCTTGTCACTCACCCACAAGTTCGAGCATCAATTGCACCAGACAGCATTGAAAGACCGGAGTACGGAGCACCGCGCACGGCGTCCAGCTCCCGGGGCCAGGCGCCCAGTCACACACTGTCCACGTCCCGCATTGCGCGGAGCGGGAGGATGGACCAACCTTCAGGCTTAGCAGCAGCCACGGAGTCTGGATTCGTCCAATCTGGCCGCCAGTGGTCGCTGCCAAGAGGGCCCACTGCCCGATCTGTACCACTAAACGCGGGAGAGCCGCCCACGAGGTCCAAAGCAACATCGTGACGGGCTGACCGAACTTGCACCCACCACTTCTTCAACGACCAACATTGAACCTATCCAGCGCCCACTCGACCGACAACCATCGTCATCTCGACACAGCTCTGACGCACTTGACCAAACCGCCTCCGCATTGCACACGGAGAGGGATATGGCACACGACTGGCGACACGAGCTTGCAAGGGTTCAGCACTCCTCGTCGACGCCCAATCCAGTGTGCTCCTCTGGCAACCTGGCTACCCAGTACTTGCTTATCTACAACTTTGTTCGGGTTTAAAGGTGGCTACAACCTACTCGCCATTCGAACTCTAAAAGAATCCCGCGGCTTTGTCTGTCCGGTTGAGCAACGTGTATATATATGCACATTGTATTGCATGATGGAAGCAGACCACGCAGACCTTTACCTGGGGACCACCGAGTCAAAGAGAACAGGGTATCCGCGCAATACGGCCTGACCTCTCGAAGCTCCGTCTGCCTCGCACAATACAGGCCTCGGAGTGTACGCCGGTGCCACCATACTGCAATGACTTTTTCGAACCATACATTGTCCGGATAATACTTGACGACACCTACAGTACAAGCAAGCCACAACTACCGGCCAATGCGGCTTGGAGACGAGGCTTGCAGGTTCGAGCCTAGTCGACGCCTTCAAGACATTAGCTCCCAACTCGATCCCCCACCGGCCAAGGGTCCATGACTCCACGTGCCCGCAGACGGCTTCATGCTTGTGTTACATGCCGCCTCAAATGGATCACTGTCCTGTCAGTTCATCATACATACAGTACTCTACCAGAAAAGACCCTGTGGGCGGGCAATTTACGCCGTGGGAGGAGGTCTCCATTCATTTTCTCAGCCGCTGCACGCCAACTAGGTCCCGGTAGCTTGGCACTGAGGATGATACTGTGCATTGGACCAAGTATTGTATGTTGTATGTACTCGTCAGCGACCAAGTGGACGAGCCCCTTAACAACTGCCTAAACGTTTAAACGTCTCTGCCGAGGCGTTGCGCTGCGCTGCGTTTGTCCATCTCAGCCCCCAAAGCGCCCCAGCCAGCCGCTCAGTCACCCGTCTGACTGCTTGGTGATCCTTGTTCACCCAACTCATCATCCGTCGCACACCAACTTCTTGACCCTTTCACTTTAAATATGCTAGCGACAAGGAACGCCTCCACGAGTTGTGTCGTGAGGTCTTTCTTGGCGACACTTTTCGCCAAGACGATACATACGGGGGAATAAAAACGAAGCCGACGACGTGGAGGAAGCGAGCCCGAATGTCCTCTCCTGGCCCTCAGCGCTACCTATTGCGCTCCTACTGGCCTTAGCTTCGTCGACCTGCCTAGGGAGCTTCGAGGCTGCACAAACACGATATGCCGACAGACTTGACGCCGTCTCGGCGCAAAAACCGAGGTTTTCTTGGGTCCGACAGCTCTGCACTATCCGCACAGGATTCGCAGGTGCGGCGAATAATTGCATTCCTTTTCCAAGTCACAGGCAATAGCGGGGTTGCTACTGACATTTCGTCTCTAGGATCGCCACCAACTTCGATATGAGTTGGACCTCAACGCATGGAACCTACGCATTTGGGGTGTTGCGGCTTCCGGCTTTCTTACCGACTCGTACGTATATTTGTAGCATCTGAGACAACTTTCCTCCACGTGATAACGACGACTCACACGACTTACACTGATCATTGCGTACTCTGCCGCAGATACAACTTATTTTCCACAAACGTTATCCTTGCCTCCGTTGCTTTCGTATATTATCCAGATGGCGGACAATGGCCCAGTCTTCTCATCAATCTCTTCACCTTGCTAGGGTCAGTCATTGGACAGCTTCTTTTCGGATTCCTCGCAGATTACTTTGGTCGTACTCGCCTGTACGGGATCGAATTGGTTTTGGTTATTGTGTCAACCATTGGAGTTGCCACAAGCAGCCGTGGGGTTGGCGACTTGTCATTTTTGGGACTCTTTATTTGGTGGCGATTTGTCATGGGAATTGGTACGCGGAAACTTGACCTCTCCCGTCACTGATAACGGCCGACCGTCACCTGACAGTCCTTTGTGAATTAGGAATCGGCGCCGAGTACCCATTGAGTGCTGTGATTACATCCGAGTGGTCAAGTACGCAATCCAGAGCCACTATGCTCTCCAGTGTATTTCTCATGCAACCTGTTGGACAAGCTTTAGCTCAACTGGTAGGACTCTGGGTGTTGCTTGGTTTTAACAGCTCCAACAACCTTCAGGCTTTGCAGTGTGGCCTTAACACGGCGAATGCAGAAGAGTGTCGGAGGGCCGTCGACGGCATTTGGCGCATTGTCATCGGTTCGGGGGCTATTCCTGCCCTTCTTGCCATCATTTTCCGATTCTTCCTCTTTGACTGTGGCCTATACAGTCTCGAGGTCCGCAACAAACCCGCCGTGGCTATCATGAACACCCAGAGAGTATATGGTGCGCCTGCGGGCGGCGCCCTCGGAAGCTCCTTTCAGATGCAAAATCAAAACGGCGTACAACCGCAACTATCCCCTAGACCGATGCCGATTCAATTCTCCAAGGAAGATCTGTACAACTACTTCATCAGGGATAAAAACTGGTACTATTTGCTAGGAACATCTATGACATGGTTTGTTCTTGATGTCAGTTTCTACGGCCTATCTCTGGACAACAGGAGAACCTTGTCAGATATGTGGGCAACCAGAGCCCCTGTGCCCATTGACGAGAATCTTGAGTGCTGGAATTCGTCGATCCCTGGGGGCAATTCAACTGTTCCGCAGTGGAAGAAGACAGGAATTCCTGTATGGCAAACTGACGTCTTGCACCCATGTGCTACAATTTATGACGTTCTAATTGAGCAGACAAAGCAATATCTTCTGACGGTCTCGCTTGCCTCCATCGCCGGAAGCGTTTGTTTCATTTACTTTGCAAACCGATTGCCTCGTCGGCACTGGCTCACTGCCTCTTTTCTTATACTGGCGATATTCCTGATGATTACTGGTGGCGTGTACTATGGCGTCCACCGCTCAGCCGCTGCACCTGCTACAGTTGTTTTTGTCGCCATTAACCATTTCGTATTTAATTTCGGTACGTGATCAACTCGGTCGGATCAAGGTTCCGTTCGCTTTGGCCAGGACTGACATTCTCTTCCAGGCGCAAACACATTGACCTTTATTATTCCGGCTGAAATCTTTCCAACGTGCTACCGTTGCACATGCCACGGTATCTCCGCGGCTTCTGGCAAACTTGGCAGCATTGTAGCTGTTCTCGTAGTGTACGGCATCAACTCTACCTACAAGAGCGAAACAAGACAAGGCCTCATTTTCCTCCTTTTCGGCTCAGTAGCAGCCATTGGCGCCGTATTTTCGTGGCTATATCTTCCTGATTCGCAGCGCGTGATAGAAGATGAAGGGAAGAGGTTCTTAGTGACGAAGGACCTGGAAGAATTGGGAGAAGGGCGTGAGAGGGCGCGGCAGAATGGCGAGTCGGTTGCGATTCGGGAGAAGTGGGAGAATTTGAAACGAAGACGGCCGTTGCATCCACGCAATGAGTCACCGGCATCATAAAGTTTAAACTACACATTTGTTTGTCGGCGGTTTGTTGATTTGTGCATTTGTGTTTATGTACAACCCGTAATGTTAGCGATTGCTTGGATCAGATACCCAATTGTATATATACCATGATCGATAGACCATAATAAGCTCCAGAGAACTCCAAACCCTAGGCTGATCGCTAGATGCACTATCTGCTACCCATCCCCCCCTCCTCAACATTAACAACCATGATGAAGCAAAAGCAACCAAACGTCTTTTGGTAGAAGCGTAAACATGGATCATTCCACGTAGCAGGCTTATTGAGCCCTCCAAGCAAGGAGCCCCACCGTACTAACATACAAGTCATCCAAGCTCGTCGTTGCCTTGACGTGCACATTTCTTTCCAACGAATCCAACCATCTATTCCACCTTGTTCCCGGCATGGGGTCCGTCCAGCCCTTCAGCGGCCTCAGTATCCTGGACAGACGTAAAGCAAACGGCGCAAAGTGAATATCCACGAGGCTCAGTGCCGACCCTGTAAAGAAGGGACCCTGTTCGTCGGCAGCGATAACGAGGCTAGCGATATGTCTCTGGAGACGGCGGGTAGATTCGCTCCGGGATGGTGGATCCCGGGAGAACAGTAGGTCGTAGAAAGCGGGCACGATGCGAAAGTTGACCTAGGTTTTCTTAGTGCTGAAACACGCGAAGGGTACCTCGGGACGTACATGGTCTATCCAGAGGCGGCATCTGGCTTTCAGTTTCGGATCCGAGGGGAGGAGAGGCGTCCTCGCGTCTACATCTTCGAGCTGCTCGGAGGGTTTTGCCGTCAGCAGTGGAAGGAGGAGGAGGGGGAGGCGTTGGGCTGGCAGGGGTAAGTAGAACGTACGTATTCGAGGATCACGGCGTTCTCGGAACAAGACCAGTCGTCGTGACGTATGGCCGGTACCGTCTCGCTGGGCGCGGCGGGAGGAGCCTTGGACGGGTCGGTCTCGCAATATTGATAGGATAGGCCTTTGGCCTCGAGGGCTATCCACACCCTTTGGGAGAAGGGGCTGCGCCAGCTTAGCGAATTTTGCTCCACGGGCACGACTTGTGCAAGGGGACGGACGTACCAGAAACAGGAGGAGTAGAGCTTCAGATCGTGCTCTTTTGCATGCTTCTTCACAAGCGTCGCCGCCGTACCAGTTGCCTTTCTCAGCGGCGCGCGGCCCTTCTGCAACCCGCAAGATTAGACTTCGACACCCGCGCGCGATGAACCAGCGAGGAAGCCTTCCACCCCCAAAAGGAGACATACCTGCATCTGCCTCGCTTGTTTCTCCTGCTTCGCCACATGGCGCTGCACGCTATTCTTCTTGATCTCGTCGCTTGTCTCGAGCGTGTGCCGGTGCGGACCGGCCACCCCGTCGCCCTTGCCGTTCCCGCCGTTCCCATTGACGCGCTGAATCGTCCAGAACCTCTGCCCGGCAGGCAGCGCGGCGCCAGCCGCGGCGACGGCCTCGGCGGCCTCGCGGTCGACGTAGGCGCTGGCGTTGGGGAAGTACTCGGTGATGCGGATCTTGACGTCGCACAGGTCCCGCTCGCGCGCGCTCCTCTTGCGCTTCTTCTTGGACGGGTCGTCCGACTTTGGGGTCCCCGGCGGCCGGCCCTTCATCCGGCAGTCCCAGTAGTGCGAGACAAACGGCTTGCGCTTGTAGCGCTGCGTTGAGCGGTGCGAGTAGACGTTGTCCACGTGGGGGAAGTACGTCTCGAATCTAGGTGGTGTTTGTTAGCTGGCGACGTAACAACATGGCCCTTTTGGAGAAATGACACGACGAAAAGCACTTTTTGCGAAAAAAAAACAACAAAAAAAAACAAAAAAAAAAACGACTGCCGACGGGGGGATACGAATAAGCAAGCGGGAAGAGGAGGAGGACATACTGCTCGTCCGTCAGGACAATCATGGAATCCACGTTGAAGAGCTTCTCCCTCCAGGCGCGTAAATCCGGCGGATCCACGACGATTTTCCCAGGTCTCTTCCGCTGCGTCTCGTGCGAGTCGGCGGCAAACGAGACGTGCCGCGCCCCATCGCCGTGCCCTTCCATGGCGCCGCTCAGCATCGTCGGGGGAGCCAGGATACCAAACTGGCCCCCGGCGGCGGCGCCATGCTGTCCCTGAGCAGGCGCTCGCCCAGACGAAGCGTCGGGCGAGGGCCGGTAGTCGTCGTCCGGGTCAGCATCACCATCTATCCCGACGCCGATGTCAAGACGGAATTGCCCCATGCCCGGCAGCCCCGCTCCCTCCTCGGGTCGGGAGCCGGGAGCAGCCATGCCGGAATAGAGAGGGCGCCGGAAGGGCTCTGGATGTAGTACTAGGACGGTTTGGTTAGAACAGGCCAGCGGGGCCTCGTACCTTTCGCTGGTCTGGTGCTGCTTTTACGTCTGGCCAAGGATGCGATGCGGATGAGGCATTTATGTGCGCCCTTTGGTGGCCGCTGGGGAGAAGAGCGGCGATGCGCGCACGGACCACCCTGTTCTCCAGCGGCGCAGGTGGATAATTTTGGATATGCATAAAATAGCCGTGCACAAGTCCATACACAATTATATACGTACATACATATAGACTTAAACATACATACGAACCCTATAACTGACAAGTCTCAAATTATGTTTGTGATAAATGTATTATCAAGAGCCATATTCATTCAATTCGTTCACAAAATATTTGGTCGATAGTCCCAGCTAGATGTGCATGGAATCTCCGCCCATATGATACAGTTGTCATTCCAAAGTGAACACACACAGATAGAGAGAGGGTAGTGAAAGCACAAATCCCAACGCCGATATCCAAACCAACCGCGAAAAGCGCGGGCTTCCCTGCCAGCCCTGGATTTCGCATTACGCCTCTGTTCCCAAAGAGTCTTGGCAACCTTGCTAAAAGAATTATTACCACCGAATCCCTTGTCCGCATTGCTGCTTATTTTGTTTTCCTGTTCCTTGTCACCCCAAGAGTTTCCCAATCAGCCTCGCATGGCGCTATCTTGCCCCGAGTCCCACGATGACAGGTCCATGGCATCCATTGGTCCCATGTTCATCAGTGCCCGAAGGACTCCCTCGCCAACTGGTGTCATGTTGGGAGGTGGTGCTTGGCCATTCATCTCGGGTGCCCAGGCTTGCGGTACGGCAAAACCGTTTTGCTGACCAGCCATGTTGTGGTTCATGGCAAACGTAAGCGACTCGCCGAAGAAGCCCTGGTGATTGCCGGCATCCGCCGGTGCGCCCTGGTTCATCAAGTTTGGCTGGGACGCGATGGGACTTGGGTGGAAGCCGTTTTCTCGTCCCGAGCCGCCCAAGTTTCCGGGTGCAAGGTGAGACTTTGCGTCTGATGCGCCGCCGCTTGAGTTTGGTGTTGGGCCATTCGACTGTCCGGCTTCGGGCGAGCCTGCTCTATCATGACCATCGCCATTGGCTTCATAGCCCGGAACGTGACCGCTGGCGGAGCCGCCCTTTTCATACATGGTTCCAGAACTCGGCGTCAAAACGGGCACCGGGTTTTGGTCTGTCGCGAGCCAGGACTGTCCCCCGCCAAATCCAGCGTTGGTAGCTGAGACGTGTCCAGCCGTGTTGTCGCCTTGGCTGTCGACTAGGTCGGGCGCTGTAGCTGGATTCCCATCGTCGCCATGTGATTTCATGAAATGACATTCCCCTCGGTACGCCAAGATTCCTTGAACACCTTCAGGGTCGGAACAAAGTGGACCGGCATTCTCGACTTTGCTTCCGAAGTGAGGCTAGTTGTCATTGTTAGCTTGGTTCTGACCGAGTACCAGTTCATGATAATGACGAGTGCTTACACTGTCTCCGCCGCGGAAGGCGTTTCTCAATTTCGGAATACGCATAGCGAGCGCTTCAAAGTCTACATCAAGTTGTACCAAGAAAGACTCTGTTAATGGGTTTCGTCGTTTCAGAGCATTCATCGCTGATAGGAGAAAGCGCAGTGAATCGGCTGTTTGCGTATCATCTGGGCGGCTCTTCAGGTACTGAACAAAAACTCGAGCTGCTACATAGAGGCAGAAGGAAATAAACGGATTCATCTGCAAGCCTGTGTTAGACGACCTAGTATTTATTACGTTTGCTGTTGCCGCGGGCACGTACCGATGACAAGTCCATATGAGAAATCGTTCTCATGATGCTGGCAATTTCGTTTGCAGCCGTGATGCAACGCACTTTACTTTCTGAGCTAACCGAGGCCGCAAGCTTGTTCTTATCAGCTTTGAAGATGGCAGCTTGATGCAGGCAAATGGTTGACGTATGGATACTCATGTTGGTGAAGATGACATTGGGGCTTGACAGTCCGTTGGGCAGCTTCAGGTGGGCGGGGAGACCTAGCGATGTGTTCAGGAGGACATTGTCCATCTGTCTATGCCGTTTCCAGAAGGGGCCGTTGAGGTCATGGTCGAGATCGTCATCGTCCGGTCGATGAAGATGTATGAGATTGCGTCCAAATAGACATGCCATAAGTACAACGCCACCAAACGACGAAAGCTTACCGACACCGGGCGGGCCAGTGCATTCTTGCAAGGTCAGCGTCTGCTCGGGCCGGCTCATGTCAAAGGCCTCATCAGAAGCTGGCATCTTGGTCATGATATCCTTTTCATCAACCGTCATTGGCCATCCGGTACCAATGCTTGCATATCGGTCTTCGCAGAAAGCCATCCAAAATGTGCGCCGCCGCTCTTCGCGCTCTGTCCAGTCCTTGGGCGGGGGCAGACATTGCTTGACATCAAGCCCAGTACCGTCTAACCGGTGTAGACCGATCCTGAGGAAACGTTAGCTGATTTCAATAGATGTCACAGAAGAAATTGGGGGTCTTACATCTGGGCGAGACGGACTGCCGAACCGGTGTTGATCCAAGCACGGGGGAAGTACATCATCTTCATTTCATAAGCGGCCAATAGAATATGCGTCTGACAATGTGCGACAGAAATCATGTGCTCGCCATATCCTTTTACATAATCTGCCTCAACATACTTGCGCGCTCTCTGATAAAACAGGTCTTTTAAATCTGCATATTTATCAGTGATGGAGCATGCCAAAGTCCACATGGCATATCGCAAGCACACTGGCGGCCGCTGATTTGGCGCCCTATTTGCATGTGGTTAGTTGCATTCATCGCGCGACGCTGGTGCAGCACTTACAGGTTCATGGCCGCGAGATAACGGTAGCGGTGGATCATGGGCATGGACGGGTGAACTTTCTCGAAGTACACCTGATGGAGTTCGTCAATGGTTTCCTGTGGCGGCAACGGTTCTTCGAGCCCAAGGCCAATCATTTCCCACGTGAAATTGCCTCCTCCAACGTTGTTCATGGGCATGCCCATGTTGGAGTTGAAGTTGAAGTCTTCCATGTTGGCTCCGGCTTGCGGAGACTCGCCATTGAAATGCTGCCATCTATTGTCCATGTCGCGATCCCCTCCCATGCCCATGGATGCATTTGCGACGCCAAGATTTGGTGTCGCCGCCTGTGGGTTGTGAGCTCCAGGCATGGACATGTTGATGCCTTTGGTGTTTGGGCTATTGATGGCCGGCACTGGATCTTGGGTCTTTAACAAGGTCTCGACTTGTTCTAAGCATAGGAATCGCGGTTAGCCTTCTTTTAGCCACTTGCTTTCATGTTTGCACAAATGTGTCAGGCCACAAGCCGTGACGGCTCGGGAAGCTGCACTCACTCAGTCTCTCTTCGAGGGCCTTGACATATCCTCTCTTGGGACCGCTCTTTCGCCGCTGTTCGTCATAGGCGCAAGAGTGACCCAATCGCGAGCATGTGCTACAGCTTGGACGAACTCCATCGCACTTGAGCTTGCGCTTCCTGCAAATCATGCATGCCAGCCGCTTCGGCTTGGGAACACTGGAGTTGTCGGGGATTGATTCTCGCACATGAACAGTGCTCTCGACGTCGGGACTTTGGCCCTGGTGGCCACCATGGCCATTGCTGGACGAGCCGTTGTCGTCTGACGAGCCAGCCATGGTCGTTGGCGGCGGCGGCGAGGGAAGATTGGGATATCGCTCGCCCAGGTCGGTCGCGCGGTTGCAGTTGGAGGGTTTGTCGGGATAGAGTCTGGCGCTGAAGAACGGACGGCCGGACCCTCCCGGACGGTGGGGATGCGGCACAGGCGCGAAAGATGAAGATATATCGGCGGAGCGTCTACTGGGACAACGGCCGACAATGATGGGGGCGAAACACCTGCTTCACGACGGTGATGGAAAGAGGCAGAGTTGTCAGCCGAACGTTGGGGATCCTTGGCTGGATAGTACCATGACGCTGACGCCCCAGCCCAGAGCAGTCAAGTCATGAAGCAGCCAGCAATTGCCCAGCTAAAGCGGAGTCCGCACATGCATCGAGTCTGGCGCATTTCCGCATGTCCACCGCCAGAGTGATTTGACGGTTGACTCGGCCCTGGCTGCCTGGCGATGGGCTAAAGGGGGGGCCGTGTTAGACCTTGCTCAGCCGAGCAGTCTGGTCTGGTTGCAACACTCCAGTCGGCAGTGATACTACTCCCTCGCATGGGCTGAGGCGGTTGGCTTTGGCGGCGTTTCTGGACCCCCAGAAGTTTGGCGTCCCCGGCGGTTGAACCGCACATCATCGGTATATGTACATACGACCAGACGCTTGAGTGGCTCACAACCCTTGGCAAGAACACGTTGTTGGCGCTTTCTCGGGCCTGTCGTTTCGCGGCGGCATGTATCACCTACCTGCACGAGACATGCAGCATCCATGTCCCCCCCTCATTGACGCTACAATCTATGGCACCAGTCTCTAGTGGAGAGAATACACTTGACTGCTTTGTTGACTGCTGCAGCGCCTGGGCTAGTTCATCACTCCCTTTCAGGGACGACGTCGTTATGCTCAATGGAGCCCTCCATTTGAGGCTTAGCCGTCTATGATTTCAGCCACATGAACAATCACTCTATGCGGACAATTTGGACCTCGATTTGCATCTTTGTATTTGTTGATGCCCGAGCCTCGTTGCAGAATATCGTCCGGTGTGGATTTGGCAGTTCTCAATGTCAGACTCTGCAAGTACGGGGTACTCGCCTCCAAAATACGTTGATTGGCCCCCGCCATGCCCCACATCTTGCCGACGAAGGTCTGTCCCCTCGCACCAAATGTTTCCAAGAAACGTCGAAACCAGTCGGCATGTGAATGGCGTTGGGACAAAGCAGGGCCTGAGCCAGGGAGAAATGCATGACACAAGATCAACATGTCCTGTTGGTCGCGTCCAAGGCTTTACAATAATGGGGCCATGCTAGTGCCTTGTTGAGGATTTCTATTACCTACCTGACTTAACCCCGAAGCACCAGGCTGCTTGTTCGAGCGGCATGTTGGGATGGATGGTGGACAATGGACAACCCTCTCACTGGAACAAAGCCCTGCATCAGCGATGGGTTCAGGTGGGTGCGCCGCTGCTGCTTACATCCATGCTTCGCTGTTTGTTGCGCAACCCAGTGCTTGCCTACTCCGTACCAGCCTGCTGCAATACGACTGTCTGGACTCGTCCGGAGACTCCGGGCGTTGCATCTGCAGTACATACGGGAAGGGCATCCGGGAGGGGCCCACGCGCAACATTCAATGCCACCAGACGCATCCGCCCACGGAGCCGGTATTTTAGTTGTCATGATTAATCAATCTGATAGCAGGAGACACTTGAGGGACTCGACTCGACATGTGATTGCCTCGTTTCAGCTATTTATGGTCGAACAACACTGTCGCCCAGAGAATCCCGGGACTGGGGAAGTCCATGGAGCTTCTCCTCAACGGCCAGACGCAGACGCCCTGGTTCGATCGGCAGTCGCTCGGTGCCAAAGCGATGCACACGCACCGGAAGTTGCCTTGTTTCCTCGACGGGACCGGTTTTCACTTGCTCAACTCCCAATCCCGCTCCATCGTTGCGACTCGGGCGTGCGCGGAACCAGGCATGAACGCGCCTCGTCATGGAACCTGGATGGGACGTTTGAGCGTAGACCGCTTGCAGGTGTGTCTTTGCTAAGGAGCTAATTATAAAGCGGCTTTGGCTAGACCATCAGTTGGCAGGTTGATCCCATCATGGGACTCGGTGCTCGGTCTGGGTCATTTAGCCTGTAGTGTCTTGTGTCTCACCCAGCCATGACACTGTAATTATCCAAGGAGATTGCCTGATCCATTCACACGCCCATATTCGTTTCCTGCACAACCCAACAAACAGCAGTGCTGCTGCGGTTTGGATCCAGAGAAGCAGGGCGCATGAGAATCGAAGCTGCTGAACGACCCACCTCAGCTCGGAACGTCAAACCCGCATCAAGAAACATCTTGCTCCCAGGCACCGTCTGCCCACGACAGAGATTGGTTTCCGAGTTGCTTCTAAAAACAGGCGCCGGAAGGGCCTGAAGGGCCAACTCGTTATTGGACGGGGGACGGGCTGCCTCGGTGGGAGTATGCCCGGCTGACGCGGCATGTAGACCAATGAATTCATCAGCCGCATCGTTTGCTGACATTCGCATCTTCTCTTTGATCGTATCACGCAACTTCCGGGAGACCGGGAGCACGGATACAGACAGAAGGCTACCTTGGCAGTTGAATCTGTTGTTTACTATATGTTGGCCGAATAGTTATTATGCATTGTGCGGCCCGACACCGTCACTAGAATATCAGTTTCGCAGTTTTCCCCAAACCACCCCAAAACATCATCACTCCCCGCCTCTCACCAATCAAGTTACACGCTCCAGCAAGCCCTTATTTCCTGTCAACGTCCACGCCGACGATTCGAAGAATACCCAGGTCGCTGTATGCCAGACAGTAGCGAGTCGGAGCCCATGCAACCACAGGCGACGAACTCGCCGTCTTAAATGTGTGAACGTGCTCGCCTGTTTCTACGTGCGACACCTCCAGGCCGCTCCCTATCGTGCCGGTTAGTCGTGCAGTCAAGAATGGCAGGGGCGGAATAAAAAAAATTGCATACCCTCGTCGCTACCGCCAACCACGTAGCTCCCATCAAACGTGAAGCCTAATCACGGTTAGCCACTCATACGCAAATAAAGAACCACTGAACTCATCGGACGTAGTTGACAAAGCAACACAAACAACATACTTATACTCCTCACCGGGCCAGTCATTCTCGTCAACGTCCTCTGGCACAACCAATCGCTGGTATCCCACAGCGCAATAATAGAATCCGAGCCGCCCGTGGCCAAATACCTCGCGGTGGGCTGCATCTCAACCGTCAAGCACGACGAGGTATGTCCATTGAGCATGTACTCGTGGTCCTCGCCGCCCCGGGCCTGCATCAAAAGAGGCTGAAAATCAGGATACGACAATATGCGGATCCGGCCCTCGGACGTGGTGAGGAATATCTTGGTGCCGCTGAAGCAGAACGCTATCTGGTTAGTCTGCATGCTCTGCTGGTGCGAGGACAGCGGCGTCGACTGCCGCGGCGAGAGGACGTAGATGTTGTCAGCCTACCGGCAGGGAGTCACGGTCAGCCACGAAACAAAAAACACAAGTACATCAGATAATCCCCCCATTCCCATAGCCCGTCTCATGAGGCCAAAGCAAGAAAAAAAAAGAGTTTACCTTGTTGCCCACAATCAACGTCTCCCCGTCCGGCGCCCAGACCAGACTCAACGCGTCGCCCAAGCCCTTGACCTCGTTGAAGCATTCCTTGGTCCTGACATCCCAAAACTTGACGACGCCATCCGCGCTCACGCTACACAGCTCCGCGTCCTTTGTCGGGTTAAATGCCACTTTCTCCACAGACGCCTGGTGGCCCTTGAGCTCCGTCGAGAACTTGACGTGCGGTTTCTCAGGGTTCCCTGCCCACAAGGTCAACCAGATTGCCCCCCAAGGAACAAGACAAGATGAAACGTACAAACTCGCAAGGTCTTGTCCGCAGACCCCGTCGCCACCAACGTCCCCAGCGGATTCCACGCAATAGCTCTCAGTCTACAAAAGCACCCGTCAGCAGCAAATTCCCACACCGACAGACTCACACGAGACAAAATAAAACCATACGTGTGCGAACCGCCCCGAGACGAGTTGGGATCGTTATAAGGCTGGCTGCGCAAGCCGCCAAAGTACGACGAGAACTTGTCCTTGGGCAAGCTCTGTCGTGCCCGCAGGACCGGCGCCATGTCAACCTGCTCAAACCGTAGCAAGCCCGCGCGAGGACCCTGACGGAAGAGAAAAAAAGACGCCCGTTCCTTTCAAGTATATATACACATATATATACCTTCCCGGAGATGCAATGGCGCCAGTGTCGTCGAATTGAAGCAAGACGTGACGGCGATAGTTCGTGACGGAGCCTCACAGACTCAGTTGGCGACAAAATAAGACGTAGGCGTTGAAGAATACTTCCCTCGTGGACAGCAGGTAATTTTGCTTTCCGGTTCTTTTCTTTTTCAAGGCAAGTGACAAATAAAAATGGGTATAACAAAGCCGGCCAGCACGTAGTCGCAAAGCATTCAATCTTGTAGTCAAGATTAAATCAAATACTAATTGGACCTCGTCGTGTCGAGTCTCTAATAATGTCAGCACCCCCCGGCGCGTGAAAAGTGACCAGGCCCTTGGCGTGTGAGACGCCCCTGGGTTGTGCCCCGGCTTGCATTAACATTGATCCGTACTGTCGCCGCTGGAATTCTGCAAAGGAGGTAGTGCCCGCAGTTCATCACTCGTGACACCGCGCCAAGGCACGCAACAATGGCATTTCCAAGAACCGACCCCGCAACTAGGTAGGTACCTGGGCAACCAGGCACTGGCGGCGAAATATGTGCGCTACCAGGGTGGACGAACCTTCGGTAGTGCAAGTCTCCATCTCGCGTGCATGCATCACATGAATAACGCTCTAAACTTTGAATAATAGACCGTTGACGACTGGTGACACGCCAAGAGACAAATAACACTCAACACCTGCTACAATCACACATTCAATATACGCCGACCTTTTCATGCAATGCAATTCTCATTCCTGTTCCAAACCCTGCCTGTAATCCGATCGATCAAGTTTTATGTACAATGTTCTATCACGGCCTTGTAGGGCGCAAGGCCTTATTGAGATTTGGGAGACATATTCCTGTCTCAAGACCAATACACATCCAACTCCAACAGACCGCTATGCGTACTGCTTCGACCCAAGCACAGCTTCTTGTCAAGTGTCCGAGTCTCAGTTCACAGTACGCCTTCATCCCGTACACCACACCAAAGCTGCGCAAATGCCGGCGACTGTGCCCGAACAGCCGGCTTCAACCATCCAATCCAATTAATCCTTGCCAATTCGCCACCAACTCCAAGCGCCATGTGTTAAAACAATCAAGTTAACAGAGCTGCATGCTGAAATACTCTCTAAAAACAAAAAAGGGCTCGCGATGAGTGCGTGCAATCCAATAGTGTCGTGGCAGGAAGGCATTTGCCATTGGCCATTCAACCTGCGTGAGCCACAGGCCAATGGTCAACAACAGCCTTGCACATGGTCGTGTGTATATTAAAGTCGTCAAAAGAGGTGATGTCGTGAGCGTAATCCAACCTCGGCAGTGGTATCCTGACTTTTGTAGGCTCATATCTAAAGAGATGTGTATTGCGAAGGGCGTGTGAATCAATATTGTTTGTGTTAAAAGCGTCGTCACGCTCATGATGATATCTGGTCAAGAGACAGCTCCGTGTCTGTGATGCCAAACAGAGCCGCGTTCTTCCGGGCCCATTGGCGAGCAAGGATGGAGGCTACCAGTCAAATGTTAACAACTTGTTTTATTTTCTGCTATAGCTTTCGTAGAGGCTTTGTGGATGTCGACTCACCTTTGAGGAACTTTTTGCTGGCATACTTCTTGAAGAATGCTTCGTGAACCACGGGGCGGGCAAGATAGTCAACCATCAGATCAACCAGAGGCTGGACCTCTTGCTTGTCATATCCAGCGTAGTAAGCAAGAATCTCATCCTATTGCAGCTCTGTCAGTGACATTGTCGCATTACTCCTTAACACGATGTGTAGGCTTACCCATGGACCTCGGTCCAGCATCATGCGAGCCAGGTACATGGCGGCAGCAGCACAGTGACTCGGTCGGAAGGACATGAAGCGATGGTCGAGGAGACTAATTTCCATGAGATATTTGCCAATTGTGCGAGACTGGATGTCATAGTTGTCCGCCTTCGACACCCGGCGAAGGAAGTTCATGGGGTTGGGGTAGCTGAGGTCATAGTTGAGGGTGCTGAGCAGAAACCGCTCTGCGGATAAAATCTCGGCTTCACTGAAACCATTATCGGTAATACGCTTGAAATTCTCGACGTGTGGCGACAAGACCTCCTCATACTTGGACGCAATGAACATGGCGGTGATGCCAACAAGCTGCAGACGGTCAAGCTGAACAACCTTGGCGGAGAGGAAGCGATCAATAATGTTGACGGCAAGGAAGAGAGTCTCTGGTAGCAAGTGAAATCTTGTGTGCACCTCAATGAGCCAGTCAATGAGAATACCGCGCGTCTTCCATTCAAGGTCGTCTTGGTGTGACATGTAGTCGGGGTTGGGAACAGAGCGACATTCAAGATCGCGCAGATATTCAAAAATCTCCGTGGCATATTCAGCAACCATGAGAGGGTCATCCCAGTCATCCTCTTCGATAACATTGACTCCCTCAGGCGGAACCAGCTTATCCTCGTCATCGGTGGTCTCCTGTTTTAGTTGGGCAACAGGGGCGTGATTCTCGTCACGGACCAGGTCCACTGACTTGTGAGTTTGTGTCTTTTTTCTGAGGGGCTGGGATTCTCCGGTAGCAACATCATCCTGATCTTTGTTGGCAGTGGACGCGACTTTTCGCTTTGGCCCAGCCCCTATGGTTCCCGAACCACCGCGTCTTGCTTCGGCTTTGTTCAATTCCTTCACGCCGAGGGCGCTCCGGGCAGTAGCGGTGCGAGTAGTGGTCTTCTGGACACCAGTTGGATGGGAAGCCTTGGAGACGAGCCCGACCTTGCCACCAGCCTTCTTCCCTTCTACAGCTTCGGACTTGTTGACGTTGCTGACATCGCCGAGTGCAGCACGCTTCCGTTGAACGCCAGCGTTGCCGAGGTTGGCGGCCGACTTTTTGGGCTGCAAGGCACCCTTTGTTGGCATGGCGAGCTCGTCCACGTTGAGAGCCGCGGCCTTGGCTCGTGTAAGACGCGTCGAGCTGTTCTCGTCGTTCTCGCTTGACACGAGACGCTGACGAGAGGTACGAGTCTAGATAGAGCCACGAGGCGTTCGTGTCAGCAAGTTCCCAGCCCGTCGTGGCGACACTTTCAACGAGTTTGCAGTCAAGAAACGCGTCTGATTGCAACTTACACCGGGAGGCATATTACAGTCTAGTATATATACTAGATGTTACATATGAGAGCCAGAGGCTGTGCTACAGAGCAAACCGAAAAAAGTCAGTCATCAAACGCGTCTAGAAGTAAAGAAGAAAGAGTTGAAAAGAGTCGGGGAGGATGGAAGAAAAGCCGCTCTCAGCTGAGACACTGGAATGAGAGAAATTCGCAGCCCTACCTCTGGTTCGAAGACAGATATATGCCCGACACAATAGCGCGATTGGAATGTTTTGGCGAGATGTATGGAGCCAAAAACTGTAAAACGTATTGGAGGAACCGCCCGAGGATGGATAACGGCGCGCTGAAGGTGTAAAAGAGATAGAGAGGGACAAGATGACAGGAAGGACCGGTAGTAGTAGAGGTGTTTATGTTAAGGAAGACAGTCGTGAGGACAGACGAGAAGTGTTTTGAGGAGCGGAGCAGCAGGGGAGGCAGAGACGTGCGGTGGAGCCCGTCGCGGATGCTCGTCGAGGTACGTACCTGGACCGACCAGATGCGGCGCGGCTCGCGACGTTGGTTGCCAAGGGTAAAAAAAAATGAGAGGCCTGGACCTATGAGCAGAATGGCCTTGCAGTCAGCAGCGAGCACTGTATTGCCGGGCTGTGATACGCCAAGCCAGTCCGTGTTTGTCCCACCGTTGCTGCGGGCGATGGCGATGGAGTCGTTTGTGTGCACTTCCAAGGGATGGACTGTGTCTAAGTACTTGAGGGCGAAGGAGCTACGATGTGAGAATTGTTTATCACGGCGGGTCACGGGTCACGCAAGGGCGACAGTAGTTTGCCGGAGCACTCCGTCCAAAGGGGCCAGGAGAAATACTCGGGGTAATATGACAATATCGTAACAAAAACAAGATGAGAAACAAACCAACGTTGGCAATCTGCAAGAGGTGCTACAATATCCAGGTTGCAGCCAAAGCATAGCGTGTCGTCGATGCAGCGATGAACTGGCTTGTGGAGGTACAAGACGCAGCTGGCGACTCACAACGCGACGACTGGAGCTTTCGCGGGTCTGGAAGTTGCGTCCTAACACTGTCTGGGCACGGAGAGGCTGGGTACGTACCTGCTCTAGCCGTCTTAAGCAGTTCTAGCTCGGCTCTAGCCACTATCCCTGTGTCAACAGTGGCAACCGCGGGGCAACGGCCCGTTGATTGGAGAAGTGGCCGCCGCTCATCTCGCGCCGGTGCACACGCCATGTGGCTGGTCGCGCGAGCCTTCACGACGCGGAACACCCGCACTGCTGCCTGTGGCTGGTAGAATGTGGCTGATGCTGAATCGAAGCGCCCTGTGGCTCAGCCAAGCTCGGTTTCGGCAAAACGTTCTACAGTCCTCTGGTGGAAATTTCAATGTGGGACCACCACTTGACGGCAACTGCAAATCGTCGACGCCTTGGTCGACAAAGCTGTTGACCCTTTCTACGCCGCCTCGTTCGACTTCACGGCGTCGAGGCACGATTTCGAGCCTTTATTGCGGCCCAGACATTGGTGCGCGCGTTGCTGTTTCTCGACCAATGCCTGCAACGTGGGCCGCTTCTTGAGCTTGATCATTCACACTGCAAGCTCCTTTTTCCTTCTGAGCGGTCGACTATCAGGACGTCTGACTTCCTCTTGCACCCCAATCGAATCGCACACTCAGAAAATTGAAAACATATGTTTTTGGTTACTTTGATTTAGAATGATTGCTCCAAGATTACCGCTCTCCGCGGTTACCAGGGGCTTGCATCGACTGACGTTTAATCAATCCGCCATACGTGCATATGCAACGTCCAAATCCAAAGTCAGTTCCGACGACAGCGGACTCTCTAGCGCATCTCTCATGAATGCTGCGGAAACTCGAGGCTCACAGTCCGTCATTCTCCGAACGTACAAGCCCCGGACTCCCGGTGTGCGACACTTGAGACGTCCCGTCAACGACCACTTGTGGAAGGGCAGGCCGTTTCTCCCATTAACGTACCCAAAGAAGGGCCAAGGCAAAGGTGGACGAAACGTACATGGACGCATCACCGTAAGACACCGAGGAGGCGGTGCGAAGCGGAGAATACGCACAGTCGACTTTGAGCGGTGGAGGCCAGGTCCGCATCTGGTAGACCGAATTGAATACGATCCTGGACGAAGTGCACACATTGCACTGGTCACGGAGCAGGCCACGGGCCAGAAGTCATACATTCTGGCTTCTGAGGGTCTACGGGCCGGTGACATTGTGCACAGTTATCGCTCAGGTATTCCGCAGGATCTGCTAGACAGCATGGGTGGCATTATTGATCCGGGTATTCTGGCTGCTCGAACGGCGTTCCGTGGAAACTGCTTGCCCATGCACATGATTCCCGTTGGCACGCAAGTCTTTGCGGTTGGCTCTGCTGCGAAGCGCGGCGCCGTGTTTTGCCGCAGTGCCGGGACCTCGGCTACGGTGGTGAACAAGAATGAGGAGACGAGGGATGACGGCACCAAGATCATGACAGGCAAGTATGTTGAGGTCCGCCTCCAGAGTGGTGAAGTGCGGCGAGTTAGCAAGAATGCCTGCGCAACCATTGGCGTTGCCAGCAACGTCCACCACCACTACCGACAGCTCGGAAAGGCTGGACGAAGCCGATGGCTGAACATTCGACCGACGGTTCGTGGTGTGGCCATGAACAAGGGTAAGTCGTATATACAATGTCGTGAAACCAAACACGAGACTGACGATTTAATAGTTGACCATCCTCACGGTGGTGGCCGTGGAAAGTCCAAGAGCAACCGAAACCCAGTCACACCATGGGGTAGACCTGTACGTTATTGCCAGCAATCTCGTCATCAGAGCAGCGTATAGCTAACAATGCAATAGACCAAGAGCGGTTACAAGACGCGGCGCACGCATAACGTCAACAAATGGGTTGTCACGCCCCGACCTCGCAACCACGGCAAGCGACGAGACAAGCGATCATCAAAGGAATAGACACTTCGAAGGTGAGAGTCGAAGTTTGCAGAGACCAGGCGTGGAAAAGCAGAAAAGAGCATAGTGCTGTATTAAAAGAAAAAGGAGCAGAGCCTGTGGGAGAGCTGTGTATACTACGATGGGCCATTGTAACTGTACTATATGGATGATATAGACGAGCCAAGCGAGACAGACAGGTGTTTGGTCGTGGTTAAGTTGATTATCGTCTCCCGTTCATTATGATTATATTACCGTGTTCGGGATTCGTCTGGGCCCTGCTGGCTTTGATGGATGACTTATTCATCCATTTACCATGACTCTGCTCACGAACAGGCTTTACCGGTGACCGGTGTACCTACCGTGAGCAGGCCGAGCGACTTTTGCACCACCCAGCATTGTTACATTCTACCAGAATCAGGCCAGAGCAGCAGCAGCTCCCGCCCAAGCTAAAAGTGCACAAGATGCCACATTCAAGAACCAAAAATAACAAAGGCATTTGTGGTCACACAATAGGGCTGTAAGCTTAAAAGCGGGCGCAGACTCTCACTCAATCTCACTGCCCCGTGCGCGCGGCACCCGAGCCGGTCGTGCAGAAGAAATGGTTGCCTCCAGCTGGGCAGTATTTCTCGACCAGACCGCATATAAGAGCATGGCTGAGCATCTCGGTGCCCTGGCTCGGACAAGTTCCAGCGCGTCAGAAATTGTGTCTTGGTTGTCCGACGCGGCTGTATTCTGCTTGGCCCGGGCAAAAACGCCGAGCACAAGAGGAAGCCAAGCCAATCATTATGCAACGAGAAACAAAAGGAAAATCACGTAGATCTGGCTGAGATTTTCCCAAGCCAGTCACGACTTACCACGCGGCGCCAACCGAAACATCAAAAAACGCCCAGTCTTGGCGCTTTTGTCCTTTTTTTTTTTCCCCTGCCGAGACGGGCTGCTGATTTGGCGCCGCCAGAACAAAACAAAGAGGTGGGCGTTTTTTTTTTCTGCTCCTCCAATGCGCCTCAGTTTCATCATCATGACACGCGCCATATTTCCTGGTCTGGTGTCGAGACTGGGCCCAGCGTCAGGCTGAAGACATGTCAAGACGGAATGCCCAACATTAAAGCTGACGCCCATGGTCGCAGTGCGCTTATTGCAGCAACTAGGCCCTATTTATTCGACATATGTACAGAGTCAATGCGAGGGATGCGGAACAGGCAGCGTGTCAGACGTCTGAGAAAACTGCGCCTCGCGGCCCCCGCGGCTGGTCAAGAGCCCATTCCACCCCGAATCTGCGCCTCGCTCCAAACAGGTGATACTTGGCATGTCTTGGAGATGAGAGGTGTCCATGCCGTACGATGGACCATGGACAGATTGACTCCAGCTGGCCGGCAATCCAGGACGAGGCCAGCTGTGCAAATGAATTCCACACTTGCGCTCTCCACCGGTGGCGTGGCAGCCAGACGACGATTTGGCGGCGGTGCAAACCGGGGACACCAAGCGAGAGCCTGCTAACGGTATATGTACTAGTAGATATAGCGGCTGGTCCCTGCATCTTCGGCGCCCATTGTATTCTCGCTGAATGCCCTTTCAACTTTCTTGTTTTTACCAACCAGACTCTTACGACGCCATCGGCACACATTTGCCGTGAGCAACGACGCTGGGACAACCAAGGCGGCAGCTGCCCGTCCATCCACCAGACTGCGCTGCGCCTCCAACCCTCAGCGCCAAAGCACCCTTGATGCATGTGGTCTCATCTATTAATTAAGCTTCCACACCATCCATCCAGAGCGCCGGACTGAAACCTTGCCGTGTCAACCTGGCCAGCAACCTCCTTGGACCTATCGATTCGGCACAGTGACATGGCCGCATAGCCACCCGCCTCCAACCACCACCCATCACCACAAGCGCCGAAACCACGGCTTCTACGCAATACACTGCCGCCATTGCCCTTTTAAGGGTTCGGCCATTCCCGCCACTGCCTTGCTCTGCTCTCATCCGTTTCTGCTCCGCACACAATCCCAACGTGACGGCGAATGTCTGAGTACCTAAGAATGGCCCATTCGGGGTCTTCATCCGCCGGCAGCTTCTCCGTGAAGCTGCTGGCCTCGTACGCCTTTGACTGGATCGTGCTGGTCGTCATTACCGTCGTCGCCGGCTTCCTGGGACGCATTGAGCCGAACAAGCGGCCGTTTGCCCTCGACGACCCCAACATCTCGTGAGTGTCTCCGTACCCTCTCGCCTCGCTCCGCCAGGTCGCGTGACACAACAGACAGCATGCGAGCAACGGGAGAAAACACCAAAAAACTAAAACCCAATGCACAGGTTCCCCTTTACCGAGAAAGAAACCGTGCCGACCTGGCTCCTCGTCATCCTCTGCGCCCTGGTCCCCGTTATCGTCATCTTCCTCGTGTCCATGATCCTCATCCCCGGCAGCACCGTGCCCAAAAACACAGGCTACGCCCTCATCTGGAAACGCAAGGTGTGGGAGCTGCATGTCGGCTGGCTGGGGCTCCTCATGGCCGTTGGCTCCGCCTTCTTCTTCATCAGCGGTATCAAGAACATGTGCGGCAAGCCGCGGCCCGACCTGCTCTCGCGATGCGAGCCCGACATCGCCAACGCCGCCAAGTACATTGTCGGCGGCTTCGGCCAGGAGGCGGCCAGCAGCAGGCTCTACTCGGGCGACATCTGCAAGCAGGCCGACAGCAAGAAGCTCGACGACGGCTTCCGCAGCTACCCCAGCGGCCACGCGGCCGCGTCCGCCGCCGGCCTCATCTACCTTTCGCTGTTCCTGGCGAGCAAGTTCTCCGTCACCCTGCCGTTTGTCGTGCCCTCTGCCGCGCCGCTCGACGACTCCATGCACAGCGCCTTCCCGTCGCGCACCGTGCCCTTGGCCAGCAGCGACTCGTTTGAGCAGTCTCGCCTGCGCGGCGATGCCGCCGGCAAGCTGAGGACCCTGAACCGCAACGCCCAGTACAACACGCGCCTGCAGTCGATGCGGCGCCAGGCCGCCGCGCCCCCCATCTACCTCCTCGCCATCACCCTCGTCCCCTTTTGCTTGGCCATCTTCATCGCCGCCTCGCGCTGGTTCGACTTTCGCCACCACGGCTTCGACATCCTCTTCGGCTTCCTCATCGGCACCATCACGGCTATATACAGCTTCCGCTACTACCACCTGCCCATCATGGCCGGCGCAGGCTGGGCCTGGGGCCCTCGCAGCGACGATCGCGCCTTCTGGGCTGGCGTCGGCCGCCTGGGCTTCGCGGGCGACAATCTTGACGACTACCCGCAGCGCTTGGAGCCCGCCGACCTCGGCGAGTCGGGCGACGTCGATGTACACGGCGCGCGGGGGCCCTCTGCTGCCACTGGTGCTGTGCACCGTGGCGAGCGGCCCGTTGGCCCGGCAGACTATCAGTTTCAAGATGTTGAGCTCAATAGGATGAATCAAGGGGGCCAGCCGCCTTATGGACAGGCTGCGTAGGCTATTCATGCCTGTAGTGGGGTTTACATGTCGAAGCCCCGTGCTATAGGGAGGCGAGGACATTGGACGGAGTTTTTTTTATTCCTTTTTACCCTTGGAATTTGTAGAGTTATTAGATATCATGTTAATACCAGTGAATTTCACTTGAACACTTGTCGAGGTAGTTTGTGGTTTGAACTGCGCTACGTATCTAGCGCAAAGACGGAGCACGACAAACAAGTCAAGCACGCCGTAGTATAATATACAACCTTGTTGATGTGTGCGCTATACAAGTACAACGTGCATGGCCGGGCGCCCGTGTTCATCTATCTACATGGTGCAAACCACACATTCCATCATGTACACTGGCACAAAGTGCGGCATTGTGTGTAACTGCTAGATTTCCAGCCCACTTACAACACACCAAGTTTTACTTTTCACGACCACAACAGTCGGCGCTCCACGCATGTCCTTGAATCCGGACCCAGATCAGACAAGAAAAAGGAGTTATTGTGTTAACGTAGTGTTGTCGCCGTGAACCCAGCTAGAAAGAAACGCTTTATGAAGGCATCAAATCCTATTCAAAAGCCAATAACGCTAAGAACCATAACTCGTCGTACCCATTCCCACAACGCCCGACATTAAAGAAAAAAGGAGTAAATCCTCCCAACGAAACCCGCCCGCCTCCTCTTGAAAAAAGCATCCATCATATCGGCATCACGCCCCGCCCATCAACGGCCTCAAACTCCAGGTCCTCGTCGGCCTCGTCGTCGTCGTCGTCGGCATCCTCCTCGACGCCAAAGCCAGAGTCAATCTCGAGCTTCCTCAGCCGCCTCCTCATCTCGTCCCTCCTGACGCACTGCCACCGCACCAGCGCCGCCGAGGCGTGCACCTTGAACCCATACACCCGCGGCACATACCTCTCCATGGTCTTGGTCGGGATCAGCGCCGGATACACCTGGAAGATGATGTTGTGGAAAGACGTGCCGAAGTAGGCGCCGTCAATGGTCGCGTGCCGGCTCGACTTGGGGTTGTAAATGTCCTCGCAGCGGGCGCAGAATAGCTTGACGGGCTTGACGTTGGGCACGTCGCTCAGCCCCATGGGCAGCAGCGGGTGCGAGTGGCAGTTCACCCGGGGGCATTTCCCAAACTCGGCCTTTTTATACTTGTCTAGCTGTTTTTGGAAAAAGAAAAAAAAAGGGCAGTCAGCGCCTGGAGATGAACGGGTAGGGAATCTACAAGGAAAAGAAGAAGCAGTACCATCTTTGTGAGGCCCCGCGTCGTGACGATGAACCGCGCGTGCACGAGTCCGTACAGATGCCGAGCCGACTTCTCAATCGTCTCGCGCATCTCGTCGTCGCAGTCGAGGTCAAACACATCGGTGACCAGGTCCAGTGCATACTGGTAGTACTGGACCTCGGTGTTGAGACCTGTCAGGTTGAATCGGTCGGTGAGGTAGTCTTCGTCGATTTCGCAAAAGTACTCGTTGCCACGGGATGAGATGAACTGCATATCGCGCGGTTAGCCGTCTCGTCACATCTGGGTATGTATGTAGCTGGTCTTTTTTCCACATTGGGCCATGAGGGACAGATAGTAAGTAGATCCCCGGGGGAAATGGGATGGATCGAGTGCCGAGATGAGCAAAACTATACGTACCCAGTCACGCCAATAGCTCGTGTAGTCACTATCGGACTCGCTAACATAGTCGTCCATCATTCTAGGCAAGCTACCAGAGAGCTTCAATGTGCTGGGATGGGAGGGTTGTACGTGATGCCGACCGTGGCTAGGATGGGTTGACGTTGGGAGGTGGTTTTTGTGTTGCATGCACTTGCAGCGAGATTGGCGGGCCGCAACATGGCGGGGTTGATTGGTGCGATAACGTGACTGGCATTGAAGGCGCGAGACAAAAACCTCACCACTTCAAGCGACAATGCAATGGTCAACTTACAACCAGTCTGGACCGCCCATTAAAAATTTTTTTTTTTTAAAAATGCAATAATGGTATTCCCGCTAGTTTTCTAACATCGTAATCCCAAGATACCGCCCGTCTAGCTACATGAAATTCCCCCTCCTACCCATGCATTTTTGTACACACCCCTGCCCACCACATATGATTCCCACCTCATGGCGACCTAGCTCCGTTAAAAGGACTGGCCGTTGACCCAACACTAGACGCGTCGCTTGCCGACGGTACATCAGACTCGGTCTCCTCACCATCATCCCTACTACTTCTTCTAGTGCCATTGGCAACCCTTGGACCCGGAATCTTCAGCCGACTCACTATCTCCTGGGGAGCACGTCCTTGCTTTTGTCCTATATTTACCACCTCCATCACTTCCTTGAGCACTTCTCCCGTCTCATCCATAGCCGCTAAGAAACGGGCGAGTTCTTTGCACAACTCCCAGTCCCCTTCCTGGATTGCCCTCGACAAGACGCGTACAGACTGGTCGGTCAGCGACTGGAATTCCTCAAGTGTGTGCAGCACGATCAGGTAGCCGCCTGCGGTTTTGAGTGATCCCCGTTGCAGCGATTCCTCAAACAGCTCTTGCGCTGGAGGCAAGTAAGCAAATAATGTCTTCCATTGCCGCACTTCTGTTTTGCGAGTGCACTGTAGCACCACGTCTAGATACTCTTTAGATGATGCTGACAGAAGAGACAGCACCCGGGGAAGAACAGCATCTTCAGGTTTCGGACATGTATCTGCTTCCTCGTCCAGGACACGATGAAGCAAAATTTCCAATCCGTGCGACAAGTACTCCAAATTTTGATATTGTTCACAGAGCTCTCCCGCTTCAATCGTTCTGCCCTGTCGCAGGTAAAAGCGCAAAATCTCGGGCAGAAACAGGTGTGTCTAATTACAGTCAGCACAACTACTCCGTCGAGCAATACGGTTCCCGTGCTAACTTACCCTGATGGCGAAATGGAAAAAAGAAAACGTCACATCCCGCCTTTGGACCAAGTCTGATTCAACTCCTAGTATTATGCCCTTTTCCAGTAGAACTGACAGTGGATAAAAATCCACGGGAACAGATACGGGCGCAGGAAAGTCTTTGCCGCCATCGGCCAAAGCACCATTCAGCAGTTCGTTAATGTTAGCCCACGCCTTCACCTCCACGCCGTCGAAGACCCATAGAGAATATTTCAATGCAGGCGGGCCACGTCTGAGTGACGGATCGTCTGATAAATGGGCCACATTGAGTAGGGGCTGATCTCTCATGCTGGCGTGGTACTCGACGTTTTGAGCAATAATACGCATATCGTACTTCAACTGGCCCTCTTCATTGAGCGAAGGGCTCAGAAGAACTAGTTTACCGTCCACCAAGAATATCACGGATGCTACAGCCACATCCTGAGACGGGTCCCCATCCACCATCTGAGATTCAGGTAATATCCAGCTGAGCCCTCGAACTCTAGCAGGAGATCGTACTATGCCATGAAACGCAATCTGTCCCGCCTGAACAAGACGAACAGAATCCGCCCATGGGGTAAATATGAAATGATACAAAATATTCTCATACGTGTAAACAAGAAGAGAATCTTCACCAGACGTGGTCACGAGCACAACTGGTGCGGGGATATGCTGGCGGAATAATACTTGAGCCATGTCGAGGGGTGTTTCTCTTGAGAACAGGCGCAGCTCGAAGCTCCTGTCGCTCTCGACTGCAGCAACGAGAATATGCTGATACCAGCACATGCCGCCTCGGACTTGGAAATCGTTTTCCATGGCTTCGGTTGTAAATGTCTTCCATCGGCCGCTATTGACGCTATAATGTGCAAGGCCACGGCGGCCGGCGACGGCGACGTATCTTCCATCTGCAGATATGACCGTCTGGCGGATGGGCCACTGATTTAACAAATATGTTGGAGGTATCCTGGCTGTGTGCCACAGAAAGGGCTCGGCTGAGATGCTCGTCATATCGGGGAGGTCATATCCTCGATACACCATAACTGCAGCCGGGGTCTGAAGGACCGTCCGAAAGACGTTTGCTTCATTATAACAGCCCGTGACTGCGTTCTTGGCCATTTCCAAACTCCAAATGGCTTCGTGGCAAGGGCCTGCAAGTAGGATTTCAGAACCGCCTCCGATCCACGAAGCTGACGACACTCCGGTCAGCCACTGCTCATCATTCCCGCTGGAAATGCGTGCATCGGACCCGAAACTGTTGCTACCTAGTTTGCCAAACATACTCCATGTCGACCATCCCTTTTCAAATCCAGCAAAAAGGCAATATCCGTCAGGGGAGTAGCAAAGGGAAGTAAAAGCTCCAGTAGCGGCGTTTGAAACGGGGATCTTATGCTTATGTGAGAGCACAATATTACCCGAGTAATCTCGAACAGAGTACACGTAAACTGTCCCGTCAGCGCATCCCGCCGCAATCAACGAAAACCGGGCATTTATAACAGCCTTGACGGCGTGGCTAGCAGAGGTTTCAGGAATATGAAAACAGTAGCCTTTAAATAGACGCTTTGCGTCCACACCTTCAGAATCCAAGTCCTCCCTCGATTGTTGTCTTTGTACCGCGTATACTCGTCCATCGCTGGTGATCCAGGTTGCTAAATTCATGGGTCTGTCGTATGTCATCTCTAGAATAGACGTCTTATTCTCGACCCACCCCATCTTGCTTATAATCTCGGTTCTCGTCTGGTTGCCCGTGCTGTCCGGAGTCCATCGGATGCATTGAACAGCGGCGGGCTTCCTTGTCGCCACAACCAATTCGTCATCGAGTGCCAAGGCACTTTCAATACCAGCATCGATCTTGATCACCATTCGGAATCGCACGCTGACGTCGCGGACCCCTGAGCCTTCTCCTGGACCCCAGAGAATTTGGTCTCCTCTCAGCGCCGCTTGGGGCCCAATCAGACTTTGTTTTCGCCGTTGGACGTTGTGGTGGTTTGGAAATTGGGGTTTATAGACACACGACTCGCCATCGGTAGCAATTGAATAGGTGATGAGGTATCCTTTGGAAGTATGAACCACTAGTATGGCAGAGTCTGGACGCAATAAGAGGTCGACATTGGTTCCGTAAGATTGGATAGAAGACTCGGATCGCACGACGACTGCAAGTACAACGGTAGGCTACAACGTGTTAGCTATTATCATGGCCTACTTGGGAGGAAGGGGAAAATGTTGGACCGACCTTGGTTTGCCACAAGGTAATGCTTGTTGTCGTGATGACGCCAAACAGGTGAGCAGTACGGGTGACGGCTAGGGCAAGTACGGGATCTTTAAATGGAACTGTAGCTTTGTTTCGCGAATCAATCGAGGGCGAGGGGCTCTTTGCTGAAGGAAACAAGTCGTCTCCCAGGACGGGCTGGACAGCCGGCGTGGCTGGCGTCAATGGAGTAGGAGAGGGGTGTTGAAAGTCGACGTCGTCGGCAGCAGCTCGGGACTGTCCATCTTTGCCGAGTGATGACGAGGAACTGTATGCGTCGGGCTGCTGGAGGCCGTCATAGGACACGACGAGGTTGAGATCGGGAGCGCGACTGCTGCTGGTGGCATAAATGCGTGGAGTGCCAATGGGCCAATACATTATGGCCGCAACCTCCTCGGCAGGCCACCTTATGCGCAGGGTTCGAGGACGACAGTGAGGCTATTGCACTTTGTTGACCATGTCCGTGTATGGGGTCCCATTGGTCTGGGAAGATTCTGTATCAATGAATGACGGGGCCTTGTTGGTAACGAGTTGGTGATGGAGGCGCATATGGACTGGAGCAATTGAATGTCTGGCATGACATGCAAGCATCAGGAGCTCCTGGCCATGTCAGTCAGTGTCTAACATGCAGCTACGGGGTAAACCACTAGGGTGCTCGCCGCGTCGAGACAAAGTGGGTCGGATCGACCCGAGAGGGCGATTACATAAGCATCGAATAGACATACCTACCTTGCTTGTTCAAGATGGGAATATTCCCTGTGCTTTTGGAGTCTGTGTAGATGACAAAGATAAAAAATTTAAATGAAAAAAAAAATTGAGCAAGGTCATACAAACGTCTTCAAAATCGGAGCATCCTTCTTACCACAATTTGGCACGAATATAAACTGATTTTGTTCGTCAAAATTCCGCGGACACTCCATCTCTCCATAGGGTCCCAGCGGTTGAGCCCCTCATGCTTTCCATACCCCAGATAACGGTCAGAATGCTATTGCATTTGTATGCGTATACTCCGTACTATAATGAAGCTCCTCTTATGGCCAAGTGTGGGGAACTCACAATCCTATTCATGGTTGTGGCGCAGGACGGAGAGACGATACAGAGAGATGGGCAACTGCACTGCTTTTAGATTAATATTAGTTATGCTCCGATTTTCCGCATGCAATAGGAAGTCTGTGAAACACGGACGTCGCACAATGGCCCTCTCGCGACGTGTGGTGTGGTTGTTATCTTAGTCCTATCAAAGCAGATACGGAGCATGTAAGCCGGAAGCTGGCAGGCATGTCAACACTAGTACCAGAGATGATAAGGCAAGCTGCAGTATGGATGACAAAACGAGACAAAGACCAGGCTGTCTCATATCGCCCGAAAACGGCACCGGTTCACCCAAGGGCGCGCGCCTTATGTACGTAATGAAAGAGACCAGGTGACCCGTTGTCGCAGGTGCCCCGGGCCCATCAACCCGCCGTCCAACCAACCATGCCCGCAACCACGCAGCAAATGGACCAACAGCCAGAGGAGCCCGCGGCAGCGTCAGTGGATAAATGCGGCTAGGAGCGGTGGCCTGCCGACGCCGGACCAGTGGCCATCTGGACGCCTGCCCACCTGGACCCCGGAGTCCAAGCGCCGTGACCCCCGAACATCTGCGCCCTTGGCCCCGTAAAAGGCAAGACCGACTTGCGTCTTGCACTTGGAACTTACACCACACTTTCCTTCCCATCTTTTGCATTTTGCCATCATTATTCCTGTCCTCAAGTGCCTCTTGGCAACCAGACACCGCTTTCTCGCCTACAGAAGCTGCCCCTTCAGCGTATTCTCTGCTGCATCCAAGCCACTTGCACGGCCCTTGCTGCTCGCTGATAACACAACGCCGAGTCACCACCGTCAGACACTTACATCCCGCCTCCAAACATGCCGGTTGCTACACCCCACACAGCCCTCCCAGGCCAGCCTGGCCAATCACAGCCCGCGCAGGCAAGCTCCAATGGTGTCAACGGCAACCATGCTGCTGCCGCTGCTGCTCTGAACGGAACCAAGAATGGAGTCACACCGGGCTCGTCCATCATCGAGGACATACTGGCCAGAAGGGCCAAGGCCGGAAAGCTCGTTGCCGGAATTGCTGCCGCTTCAGATAGCGATATGTGGAAGGGTCCGGTAAGTCACCACCCAATACCTACCAAATCATATTCTATCCATGTATTTAATTATCATCTAAACGACACAATCTTTTCTAACATGCGAACAAGCAAAATGGAAAACCAAAGGCAAAGCGCTGGGACAGTACGTAAACCCTCACCCTCCTTTTCCCAAGCAACCCCAGATTCCGTCGTCTTACAGCCTCTGCAACAGGCCATCTCAGCAAGGAAAGCCTAGAGCGAAAGCCATGCACCCTTAAGCTAGCAGCGAAGCACCTCAAGAAACCTGGTCTCATTTCCCTCGGCGGCGGCCTGCCTTCCAGCGAGACTTTTCCATTCGCTGAATTCGCCATGAAAGTCCCCGTCGCTCCTCACTTCTCCGAGGAGGAAACCCTAGAGAACGGGCAGACTGTCACCATTGGAAAATACGATGTGCGCGACCACGATGCCGTTTACGACTTATCCATTGCCCTTAACTACGGCCAGTCTACCGGCTCGGCGCAAATGTTGCGCTTCCTCACCGAACACACCGAGATTGTGTGTAACCCTCCTTATGCAGACTGGCGCATCTGCCAAACTATTGGCAGCACCGGCGCGCTAGAGCAAGCTCTCCGAATGTTCTGCGACAAGGATCGAGGGGATTCCGTTCTGACCGAGGACTTTAGCTTCTCAACCGCTCTGGAGACCATTGCCCCCCTCGGTGTCAAAGTCTTTGGAACCCCCATTGACGATGAGGGTTTGGTACCAGAGGCCATGGACATGCTCCTCACCAACTGGGACGACAAGGAGCGTGGCGCTAGAAAACCCCATGTTTTGTACACAGTCCCGTCTGGCCAAAACCCCACGGGTGCTACTCAGGGCACCGAGAGGAGAAGGGCCATCTACTCCGTCTGCCAAAAGCACGACGTCTTCATCATCGAAGACGAGCCGTACTACTTCCTTCAGATGCAGCCCTACACCGGCCGCAACCAGCCTGACGTTCCTCCCCCGAGTACCGTTGAAGAATTTGTATCATCCTTGATCCCGACGTATGTCAGCATGGACATTGACGGCCGCGTCTTGCGCATGGACTCTGTCTCCAAGGTCCTAGTGCCCGGCTCGCGGCTCGGCTGGGTGGTTGCCTCGGAGCAAATCATCGAGCGGTACCAGCGTCACGCCGAGGTAGCCAGCCAAGGACCCAGCGGTTTCTCCCAAATCATTCTGTACAAACTCCTTGACGAAACGTGGGGCCACGAAGGCTACCTGCGGTGGTTGATGAACCTGCGCGTACAGTATACCAAGAGAAGGGATGCCCTGCTCGCCGCATGCGAGGAGCATCTACCCCGGGATATCGTGACCTGGACCCCCCCGGCCGCGGGCATGTTTGTAAGTGCATTTGCTCCCCTTCCATTACCTGACTGAGCAGCAAACTGAAACAAAGCACTGCAGTTATGGCTTCATGTAGACTACGCCAAGCATCCTCAAGCCGCCACCAAGTCCCTCAACGACGTCGAAGAAGAGATTTTCAACTCGTGTATCGACGGCGGCGTCCTCGTTGCCCGAGGTTCCTGGTTCCTGGCTGAGAAGGAGAAACCAATGCCTGGATTATTCTTCCGCGCCACATACGCTGCTGCCAGCCCAGAGAACATGAACGAGGCCATTAGGAGATTCGGCCAGGCTGTGCGTCATAGTTTTGGCAACTGGTAAAATTCAACGTAGCCGTCTTATGAGTGATATGACTTACATCAATGTGAGAGTATGACGTAATTGGAAATGGCGAATATGGTGAAGAGGAGAAAGAAAAAAAAGAAGAAATAATAATACGGATATGAGTGAGGTGTATTGCTGGCTAGCTCCTGACAAGATCAATATGTCCAAAAAAAAAATTAACCCTCGACATCATCATACACTTCATTGTGATTATCCCCCATAACATGTGTCATAAGCTTGTGGTTTGCCGAATCTTGGCTTCGTTCCACATTCATTCCGTAATTCATGCCTTTTCAGCCTGCTGTGCTTCCCAAAACGCAACGCGAACTCCCTGCCCTGGCGACAAAACAACGTCTGCTTTCAGCATAGGACTATCCCCATCCAGTTCAAACATGTGGCTGTCTAGACGGTCGAAACGCTGAAACATCCTAACTAGGACATAGCTCATTTCTGTAAGAGCAAACTGCTGGCCAATGCAGATACGGGGACCGGCATTGAAGGGTATGTATTCATGTGGCTTCGGATGCCAGTTTGTCCATCGCTCGGGACTGAATAGGGCAGGGTCGGCAAAGGTCTCAGAAACAGCGGGGTACAATTCCGGACGGCGCTGCATGACCAGTGTAGAGTAGCCGATCTTGGTGTCTTTGAGAACGGGAAGGGGTTCGGTGCCGTCGGGTCCGCCGCCGCGAGGGAGGGTGCAGTCCTTGAGGGCGAGGCGGACGTTGAACGGGACGGCGGGGTAGAGGCGAAGCGTTTCGTTAATGACGGCCTTCATGTAAGGCATGTTCTTTAGATGTTCGTAGGTGGGCGGCTTGGTAGGGCCGACAACCTCGAGGATTTCACGACGCATCTTGGCGAAGCATTCTGGATGGCGTGCCAGCTCGTAAATAGCCCAAGATAGAGTTCCGGCAGTGGTGTCGCGACCCGCAAGCAGGACAGCGATAACCTGGTCTCGAATAACCTTGGGGTCGCGGGTAAATCGAGCAAGTTCATGGAGGAAAGTGTATCCTTTGTCGGCTTTACTCTTGGATTCCAGTTCCTCGGGGGTCATTTGCAGTGCGAGGTCGATGAAGCGTCCCACAAAGGTGTTGATGACACGGAGATCAGCGCGATATTGCCATTTCGGAATCAACCAGCGAAGGTTGCTAGCACGAGAGGCGATGTTTTGGAAGCGTTGAACATTGTTGAAGGCTTCGGCAAATTCTTGCTTTGGGGTACTTTAATCCATGTCAGCATGGAAGCAAAACAACAAAGGGTTCAAGTAAGCAATAGTAGGGGACATATATTAGACGATGGGAATGCGATCGTACCTCATCGACTTGACGTCAGTTCCAAGGAGGAAATCCGTTGCAACATCCAAGGTGTATCGGTAAAACAAATCCGCGATATCAATGACACGTCCATTGACCTCTTTCATATTCACCGGCTGGTTCTCTCCTTGTAAAGCACCCCCATTTGCCATCGTCCTAAATAGAGTATCCATGTGCCCCTCGAAGCACTCGAGATCGCTGACACGATCTCTCGTAAACTGGGGTCTCAGCATCTGCCGGCTGTTATGCCACATGGCACCATCGGTTGTGAAGATACTATCACCCAGAAATTCTCCCCACTCTTCGCGGAAGGGTTCTCCCTTGCCAAAATCAGAAAACTGCGTTGCTAAGATAGCCTTGATATTTTCCGGGTCAATGGTGAAAATGACGCGTTCGTTGGCAATACGACCTTCAACCGTGTTGCGCTTGTTGCGTTTGAAAAAGTGATCACGCCAGACTTCCATAGTTTTATGCGTCCAAACTGCGCGGATGCCTCTCGAAACTATATCAAGGCCTGTTGGCGGTTAGACCAGTAGATTGGATGATACTGAAAGGCAGATCAACGAACCCAACGGGACCCAGCTTCCCATGTCCTTGCCATAGTTACCAAGACGTTTGATCCGGCGGTGCTCGTCAAAACGTTGAATCACGCGATGGAGGACAATGGCAAATAGAAGAAAAGAGAGGATGACCCTCGCAGACAGTAGCTCCAGGACGGCTTCAACGACGCCCATGATGGCGGTTGAGAACGACGGGCTTTGTCAAGCAAGTGATGAAGAACTCTACGATGTATGTAAGCCCAAGCCGTTTACGATATGAACAGCATTTGGTGGAAGGAGTTTCATTGAACCATAAAGACCAGTTTGGGCTCAATCAGGTTCCAACTCCAATCAAGTCGAATGACCACGAGTTAACTGCCCAACATACCCAGTAGATTTTCAATTATCGTCTGTGCGCTCCGCAAATATTCGCAGGACAGCGCACATGGAGGTTTGCGATACAGCTGAACAGTTCAAAGCTGCCCGTGTTGGTTCACCAGACGTCTCTCGGTTGAACCGAATCTTGCTGCATTCGACAAGGGGCAGGACGAAAGGACAACAGCATAACAAGATCAGAGTGCCTTCCAAAGTAGATCTTGATGAGAGGTCAGAAGGAAATGAAACAAAGGCCCAGCTACTACTCCGTAGCCGTGTTCAGGATAAGCGAAGAATGGAAGTTAGCAAGGTGGGCCATACCGGGGGGCTTTAAAGTATTTGGTCTTTGTCGCAAGCGGCGGTGAATGCGAAACATGACGGCCCGGTACCAGACCTGGAAGTTGGAGTGACGTCTGGCCGTCGGGGCACGGCGTAACCATATGTTGCAATTAGCAGTTCATCTGCCCAGGTCCAGGCGGGGCGTACAATGTGCAACGAGTGATGGACGACGTTTCTCAACAGGCATCGGCCGATGCTTGCCCAAGCCTGCACAATGATCGGCCTTGGCACTGCCGCTGCAACAGCTCCACCGTCATGGCCACCCGAGTCGACAGGACAGGAGATTTCAGCTTTCCCCGATCGTCCAGTCCCCATGGTGGTTGTGCTAGCCCCGTGGATTGAAGCCGGGGTGGCAGCCAGAATATGGGGGAAGTGGAGGCGTAGCGAAATCAAGCCGAGGTGGTTGGATGGTTTTGGTCCAGTCTTCAAACGACCCCAGAGGAGAAGTTTCCGTGTTTAACATGACACATGTAGTTACATGACCCATCACAGAGGGTTTACGCCTCGAGTTGCGTGTTGCGGATTGCGTATTTTGCATGTTTTCTGGTACAGACAACATCGGACTGAAACGAAGAGGCGCGCCGTGCAAGGCCTGGACAGCACCTTCCCAACTCTGGCGCGTGCCAGGCTGTTGGCCTTGGCTTGAGTTTGCCTGCACAGCTCTTTGTAATCACATGTGAGAATACTGTGCCTGAAGCAGTTTCATGCTCTTGGGTACCTGACACGCCCGTATTGACTGAATACCACATGTGTCAGACTAGAGCAAACTATTAGAGGCAGCAGGCTTCCCCGCGCCTCCACGATTGAAATGCCGAGGGTTTCTTGTTCGACTTGTTGCCGAGCCTCTCTGCTCTGGAATCCGACACCAGGCTTATTCCATGAATAACACCCAACCCTCCAGCACATTATCGAGTACTAGTGGCAACAGTGGATGGTGAAATGCGCCACGTACATGCGCAGAGAAGGGGGTGGCAGGATAGCTTCCCCACAGCCACCACGCAAGTGCAGCCATTGATTGATCGCATCTTGAAATACAATGCAGAGCATACATTGTCATGGTCCATCAACGGGCTTGCTTGGCATTCTGCACAGCATAGCCGCCCGGTACGCCCCCCTCCGGCTACGTGTACCTGTCCGCACGGACTGCAATAATCTGCACCTCACGGGCTTTGTGCAGCTATTCCGGCCGCTCATCACAGCACCTACCCCGGTAGGTAGTGCCTCAGTGACTGTCGGGGTCCGTCATATTGTCCGGTTGGATGCGATGCACTACGCCTCGTCACCCCTTTGGCAGAATGGCTGTTCTTCGCGCAGGTGTGATGACGAACAGTCCGCAGCCCGGCTCGTCAGAGTCGTCACTGACGAGATGCGTCGCGCATGAGCTGGTCGTCAGCTATACCCGTCCTACTTTTTGGAGTGGTCCTGCGGGTGAGAGGCGTGTCGGTCTCAAACCCGATTAAAAAGGTCCATGATGCAGGGTAGCATTTACCAATGATCGAAAAAGCAAAACAATAACGGCTTGTATCAAGGTTTACTGGCGGAACAGAAAGGGGATCGGCTGCATCGGTACGATACATGCTCCGGAAGAGTGAATGAACGATGCTGTTATTCGCCGTTTCTATGCGTATTGTTACACATCGTTTCTTTTGTTTTTCGCATGCGGCATGGCATGGCTTGATGCACACCAGATCAGACGGCATCATGCAGCACACCGCCTGCCGATTGGCAGGAGCGAGGCAGTTGCAGCGATGACTAATCGATCACGTGACAGAACTGCAAGCATCGTGGTTGATAATCACAGATGCGTCTGGATGGTGCCAGAGCCCTCGACAGGCTCAAGAATCACAGAAGAATCGAATGAGGGCACTTCAAAAACGTTGGCCGTCCTTTCATCCCAATCAACTAGGCGTTTGTGCTTGGCTACTAGCGCTTCAACCTGCACGGCTCTTGCATGCAGATAAGCAGGAGAATGGCCGCATCACGTGACTGACCGCGAGACTCCACCTTTCTCTCTCATCTTGCTTAGTCTTTCAGAGACCCTGCGGCCGTGACTATGGCATCAATCCCAACATCGACGCCTTGACCATTCTTTGTTCTACAATACCTACGGCTTGGTGTGAATAATCGGCGGTGCAAAACGCTGTGAATTACTCTTCGCGGCTACTGGCCCAATAATTCCAACTCGGCGGCCCTGTTGAACAAGGAAAATCTTAATCGACGCGTCGAGTTCAGACATCGGAGTTGACGACGCCACCGGCGTATCGCAACGACTTTCTCACCTTCACCCTCCACCTTTACAACTATCCGTGACCCTCTCAGCACTCTTTTCAACGTCGAATATGTCGGTCGAAGTTAGCTTGAATACTCCTCTGGCGGATGCGCTTGATGCCGCCATCAAACCCAAGCTCATCGAAGTGGGATGGGGTACTGGCTCCGATGACTCTGCGTCTCTTTCTGAGTACATCGTCCTGATGCTTGTCAACGGCAAAAGCCAGGATCAGATCGCCGCAGATCTTTCAACCGACCTATTAGGTCTCCCTGCCGATGACCCTACTGTGCACGACTTTTCGAGATGGCTCTTCGAACAGGTTGGCCTCCTTAACGCGCAGTTGAACGGCCGCCACCCCGCTGGTGGAAATGCTCCAGAAGGCGCATCGCATGACATGGCTCAAGGGGGAGACATGGACACTGATATGACTGTCAATGATGTTTCAGAACTTAATGCGTAAGTACCGAATCTGTTTAGTCCGTGTTGCAGTTCCTTTTACTCTGTTCACAGCGCCTAACACACATATGAATAGCCCTACTGGCCCCCGCTCGATGCGAAATGGAAACTTCCGAGGTGGCAGAGACAAGAGGATGCTTGGACACATGTCAAAAGCCATGGACCGGACCGGCGATAACGCCCTCCACCGCGTGCGAGGTAACGGCAATGAGAGGATTAATACCCATGGTCGCGTTCCACCATCTGGGCCCCGAAACGCCCAAGGACGCATGCAGCGAAATAACCGTGCTTCGAACCTTCAAGCTGGCCTGGCTGCAGGTCCCCAAAGCGCCGGATGGATGATGAATGGACAACAACCGAGCGAGATGGATATCATGGCTATGATTGAGCAGCAGAATCAGATGATGTACCAGTTGTCACAACAACTGATGGGCGGAGGAGGACACAACAGAGGGTTTGGTAACCAGCGCCGGGGCAAGTCACTGTTTGACCGCGTTCAACACCCTCACCAGCGGAGGGGCAATCAACATAACCAACAGACCGATGCCGACGGATCAAAGGAAAATGCCGAGGGCGGGGAAGATGTTGACATGTCTGGTGACAAGCGCAACCCCCCGAACCCCGACGATACTGTTTGCAAATACAACTTGCATTGCACCAACAGAGAATGCAAGTTTGCCCACCAGTCGCCCGCGGCCCCCCCCGGCGTGACTGTGGACGTTACCGATGTATGCAGCTTTGGGGCTGCTTGCAAGAATAGGAAATGCGTTGGTCGTCACCCTTCGCCAGCCACAAAGCTTGCGCATCAGAGCGAACAGGACTGCAAGTTCTTTCCCAACTGCCAGAACCCGCGCTGTCCATTTAGGCATCCATCCATGCCCTTGTGTCGCAATGGTGCCAATTGCACCACCGAAGGCTGCAAGTTTACTCACGTCAAGACGAAATGCAAGTTTAATCCCTGCATGAACCCAACATGTGCCTTTGCGCATGAGGAAGGCCAGCAAGGCGGTTTCAAAGATAAGGTCTGGACTGCCGACTCATCCAACGAGCACGTCAGCGAGAGGAAGTTTGTAGAAGAGGGCAGCCAGCCCGAGCTTGTAAAGGCCGATGAGATGACGACGGACCAAGCGGCGCAGGACGCTGAGGTTATCGGATGAATGGTGTCGAGGATATAAGAAACCGTCAACGGGAAACCGTAGAGGAGGCTTTGCAATGTGGCCTGTGGTGGTCGCCGCCCTGGAAAATTCCAAGAAAAGAGGCGAAGCGACCGATCCAGAGTATTGGGCTTGGAGGTCATGTACATTATTGATGGACGAATGTTTCTGTCACGATGGAAGGGCATGGATGGCGTTTTATGTTTTGGGGGCGGCGAGGAGCATCGAGATGTTTCATGTCCTCGAGAGGGCCACACACCAATCGGTGGGGAGGTGTGACCGAGGTAGTGGCTCTTTGCAGTTTATCTGGCGCACAGCTTGAAAAAAAAATGAAGGAGCTGAGCGCCATGGAGGAAGGGGATGGGAAATCAATAGACTATAACTTCTCTGTCGCTGTCTACACATGTGTCTCGTCTCGACTCTCATAAGTGAATGTTCACAGGCCATCTACTGATACATACTATGGTTTTGATAATCTTGAATACATTTTTGCGTGTGTACACTGTAGATGGGTGTTATCCATCACGCCGGCTCACATAACATAGTCTTGAAGTAGACCGGGGCGTCGATGGTGGTGCACTGGTGGAGCTTGGACGCGCCAGAAGTGGTGCTCGATGCGGAACATTGATTGACATGGGAACCGTAAGCTCGGCTGCCAACAAAAGACGTCACCCGAGGGTTGACCCGGATCGACCCACTGCTCTCAACTCACATCACCATGAGCGGTTGAAGTCGTACACACCACAGGCATGCGTCGGAACCGGGCAGAAGACGCTGCTATGACTTTTCTATCTCTGGCATCAGCTACTCGGGGCTCCACCAGGACAAACCTCACACGAAGCCACCAATTGCGTTGTTTGAGCAGCGTGAGCGCATCATCACCGCCATCGAAACGAAGCCCTCGACATCTCGGCCGAAGCTGCAGCCAATGCGTGCCGCACCATGCCGCGCGCGCTAATGGCTCATATTTCATGACCAATCGACGGTCGTACGCGACGCAGAGCAACAACGGGGACATTGCTGTCGTCGGAGGAGGACTGACGGGTCTTACGACAGCGTACTATCTCGCGAAGCAGCTGCCGTCCACGGCCAAGATCACACTGTACGAGGGGAGTGACCGGCTCGGCGGATGGATTCGAACGGATCGTGTGCCGGTGGACGTGGAGGGCGTCGGGGGGGTCGTTAGTTTTGAGAGAGGCCCAAGGACGTTGTCGTCGAACCATCTGAGTACGTGGAAGTTTGACGATCTCGTGCTGTACGACTTGGTAAGATGACAGACGCTCTGCCGGACATCAGAATATGCTGCTGATTCCCTTTCTACTCTTGGTGGGTCGTAATAGGCTCTCGATCTAGGTCTCAAGGTCTTCACACCACCCGATCAACCACGCTACATCTACTACCCGGACCATCTCGTCACACTTCCACCCGCCGGTAGCTTCGCCGAGTTTTGCCGCGAGCCGCTTTTCCTTCAATCCATCTGGGGCGGCCTAGGCTTCCTCCTACGCCGCATGCGCAGCCGCGCGGTTCCCATAAAGGACATGTCCGTGTCAGAATGGCTGTACGAGATTAGCGGAAGTCGCGCCGTCGCGGAGAACGTCGCATCCGCCATGATCCACGGCATATACGGTGGTGATATAGACAAGTTGAGCGCCAGATCAGTGTTTGACCGCTTCTATTGGGCGTATTACCTGCCAAACATGGGCTCAGATCTTAGACAGATGACCATGAGAGAACAGATGTTTATGAGTGAACTATCGCAGGATCCGCAGATTCGCAGGATGGCACTCAAGGCACGAGGTGCATTGTTGCATTTCGGCAGGGCGGGAATGGACAGCTTGCCAAAGGCGCTGGCAGATGTGCTGGAAGCAACCCCCAATGTAGAGATTAAGAAGGGCATTCCGGTGCGTGATATCAGCTACGACATGGAGACGGAAAAGGTCAATGTGAGTTTTTGTTTGCCAACTGGACAACGCATCCGCCAGCACTTGGATTCTGACCCTTTGACAGATTACAACCGGCAACTGGGCCGACGAAGAGCGGCAGCACCTCGAGAACAAAACCACCACCTCCCACGATCGTGTCATATCCACCATGGCAAGCCAGGACCTCTCCCGCGTCACGGCCTCGAAGCTGCCCAGCCTCGCGGAAACGCAATCTGTTTCCATCATGACCGTTAACCTTTGGTACCCCAAGAAGCACATGAAGCCACGCGGCTTCGGCTACCTGATCCCTCGGTCTGTCAGCCGCGAACACAACACCGAGCGAGCCCTCGGCGTCTTCTACGACTCCGACGTCAGCGGTGCGGCGTCGCCCGACGAGCCCGAAGGCACGAAGCTATTCGTCCTCATGGGCGGGCACTACTACGACTCTGGCGCTCCTCCACCCTCAGAATCAGACGCCATCGAGCAGGCCAAGTCCCTCCTGGAGCGCCATCTAGGCATCCCCGCCGACACGCCCTGCTTCGCCTTGTCCAGATTTGCAAAGGAATGCATTCCGCAACATTTCGTAGGCCACAACGACCGCATGATGCAGGCCGATCAACAGCTCCGTGACGAATTTCATGGCAAACTAGCAGTGGCAGGCGGCTCGTATAGCAAGATTGGTGCCATGGGCGCGATTCGCGCTGGGTACGACATTGCGAAGCAGACTGTCGGCGAGGGAGGGTGGTACACAACGGGACTGGAGAGTCTAGAGTTTCCAGAACCGTTTGTCGGCGTGCCCATTTCGAAAATTCCCGTCAGGAGGTTTAGACAGCTAGAGCAGAACAGGGGCTAGCTCGAGGGCTGTGGAAAAAGAGGAGGGAAAACGGCGGGACTGTATATTAGGGCTGGGCCGATGATTCTAGCATACCACTGGGACGAAATCACACAACGTATAGAGTGCAGATTTTGACGCACAAGCACACATGGACAGATGGGTAGATGATATAATAATCCCCTGTGGCAAACAATGTTTGCAGGGTCTCGCGCCATTTGGGAGCAGATTGAGGACAGGCCCGTGCTTGCAGCGTGCTGAGTGCTTGTCCTCCTTTTTTTTCACCTATCCTTGAGAAGTTTATTGTCCAGTTCCTGACCCAGCCGTGCCAGCCATGATGAGGCAACAATCAATCATGTTCCATCGCTTGATGCGTCACAAGACTACCCAACTTCCTCATCCGCATGCAGAGTGTTTGATGTTTCGCACCACCGGCAAGGCCCTGGAGTACTGGGGAACGGTTGGAGGGACCATGATACATTGTGACGGGCGTGATCGGGGCTAATTACAAGGCCAAGTCCATTGGCTGTGTCCATGACGCTGCCATATTGACAGCTCACAATACCTCGCTTAGTCTGTCGGTCTGTATTGCCCTGACTAAGATGCATTGCTATGGCTATCAGACATGCAGATACAATGTAGCAGTCTCTCAAGGCCTTGGCGTACATTTGACACAATGTGCCTCGTAGTAAACGCTAGTTATACTGCGGAGTAGGAACTTGAAGGAATAGTAATCGGCCGTCCTGACTTTTAGTTTGATCTTGGGCAATCAAATGTACAACAAGGAGCTGTGCTAGCCGCTCCGGCTGACATGCCAACTTTGAAGAAAATGGTATGGTGGCCTCTGCCTGTCAACATGTATACTGGCTACTGATTAACATTGTCGGTTTAAAGACAGTTGCATGGGTACTTTGCCTTATTCCCGCGCCAACTCTTCATATACAATGTACTGAATAGAGCGACCTTGAAGCCAGAGTGTATGGCTGCAGTTATGGGTGGTACCCCTATCAAGACATGGAACGTTACAGTAGACGGCGCGGCATGGTCCTTTGATATGGATAAGGGTACTTTTACCAAGGTTGTAGAGTGAGTCTGGGTATACTCTAGATGATAGTTGAGATAGGCATGCTTGGACATTGGCAAATTGAATCCATGGGTGGGTAGAGGATCGAAGGGCCGACTGCCTAGATGCTCATTTATTTCGAACTCGTGCCATGTTGCGCCAGGTGAGAGCACCAGTGCCACTTAATAAGCCCAAGTTGAAACTTTTTTGACTGGACAACAAATCACATCGTAAGGCGTGCGTCGGCCGAGGCGTCGGTGCAAGACGCCATCTTGACGGCGTTGGCGTTATCTGGGATAGGAGCTTCTGCCGAAGAACAGCTACTGAAGATGGCAGTCAGGATGTCACGAGCCTCAGTTCAGTAGTATTATCAGGATACTCAGATGAGCTAGTCGTTGCTAGTCGTCATGCATACAGCCTGCATACAGATCCCACTAGATATACTCCCTATTTGGGCATTCTTACCCCATTATACTCCTTCCCCCTTCTCCTACCATCCATCATCTCTGCCATGGACCTCTTAGTAGCGACATCCGAGTCGCTCACAGTGGTGAGGTTTACTTCAGGCCCTCACGCCAGAAGATTTGCCGACTCAGCTCCTTGGTAGGCGTGCTATGTTCTGGGCTGTCTCTGCACGGTCGTGGGTAGACACTGCAGCGACAACTTGGAAAGTGCGGAATGTATATCTCTCTCACTACCTAAATGCTTTTACAGACTTACTAACAACTTGAGCTTCTTGTTCGGTTTCTGCAGTGATGGACTGTAGTGACGACACGGGATTCTCTCGCCACTCATTATAGGTTTTGCAGCCCCGTACTTGATAGAGAACCCGTTTATGATATCAAAGCTCCCTAGTTTCTCTGAATGATCTCGGGGCAGAAGCCCCCAGGGTTAATTTATACAAAGCAGGCGGAGCCTTGAGACCTGGAAACCCGAAACCTCAACCTAGTCTCGGCCCTTGTGTAAAAGACATTGCTATTTAACGAGACTTATATAAGAGTTTCATGTCTCCCACGGCCCGGGGGAAAGGGGGCTAAGAATGTGTTAACATGCAGGATAAAAGCCCAATCTGGTCGCAGTTCAGCATATACTAGTATTGTTTGGAGAGCTTGGACAAAATCACAGATCCTTCTTGAAACTTTTATAAAAAATAGTGAATATGTGCTGATCTATATAAAAAAAGACTATAGTCTGAAGCAAAACTAATGTACATGCTTTAAGCGAATGAAATACATAAATGCGGCTATTTGCCACGTGTCCTGCACATGCGATAACAAGGTGCCCCCTATTATCTTTGCCTAAATGTTGGGCTTCACTATTACTAAAGCACACATCTTTCACTGCCATCCTTCTTTCGCACAATCACATTCCAATCCTCACTGTAGAATCCCTGGGTGAGAACCTTTCCTTGCACTTGCGCGTTTAGACATGGACCCATAGATTCTGTGGCAGCCTGTAATATAGTATAATAGGTCAAACTTAGGTCACGAGCGCTCTAAAAGGCAATATATTAGTAAGTTTGTACCCCTTCGGACCGAAAATTCTTCAGACAGTCTTTTTACACCCCCCTTTCGTATGGAATAACTTACATTATTACACACGACGATTTTCGCCTCACCATAGCACGATATGTCGCTACATTTGTTCGCGCCTGTAAGAATCGTCACTGTGCTCCGTGCCGGGTCTGGTCCTATTTGGAGCTTGTTGCGTGCTCCAACAGCGTCATTGATGTCGGCCGGGCTCCAGCCGAAAGGAGACGTGCAACTCGCCACTTGAAAGACACGAGCCTTGATTGGGTTGCCGTCGAGGTCGGTTGCTTTGATAGCGAGCCCCTTGTGCGTTCAACCTTGTTAGTGCCAGAAACCTAGCTGTGGGAGAGGTCCAAACGTACCCAGACTTGGGCCTGCAACAGGGGAAGCAGTGCAAGTAGTTTTCCGCCAAACATGGTGAGAAGGTAAAGAGAATGAGTGGTGATGTATGATGATGGTAATAGATGCTGTTGAGAGTCAAGAGTTGTCAACTGCGGCTTGGTTTGTGCTCATGAACGAGGGAACCAGCACCCTTTTTAACTTGCGTTGTATACATGTAATTGTAGTGGTGTATAGATTATTCAAGTCAACTTGTTCCGGTAACCAACTACAGGACCTCGCAGCATGAAACAGACAATCAAAAAAGTCCGCCACAGGCACCATCTAACTTGAGGCTAACACCGGCCATTCCCTAGACAGTGCCAAATTCCAACGTGAGAGCCCAGCTCCCAAGGCATAAAGTAGTTTCTTGGCAGCCAGGGAGGCGCGTTTCAATTATTTCGAGTTTCAGGTTGCAGCTGTTGGTCGTCTCTGTTGCCTATTACAGAGGCAACACCGCGCCTCTCGACACCATTACAGGAAAGATGTAGGAGGCGCTTGGGGTTGGTACGGGCGCTTGTATCAAAGACGGAGTTATTTATAACGTGGCGCTGGGACTGCTGAGAATATCCCAACGCGCGTGTATGTGCACCGGGACAATGGTGAATCTGGTTTGCAACCTCCAAATAAAGTCAAGTCACCGGTGGCTATTCTCCGCCATATCGTCTGAATCCGGCGAGGCTTGACCACACGGTCCAGGTAACTGCCTGGTAGCCGCCACACCAATTAGCCGCTTGGGGCGCGCGCGAATAGCGATGCGTCTGGTGAGATGCTCATGGAGCTCGAGTTCGGTGCTTTGTTATCAACAAAGGAAATCGGCGTGCGTGCCTCCCGCTGGCCCTCCCCTTCAATAATTGCCAGACATGGCATGGAAGTCGGACATTTATTCGCTCGCTGCCTTGCTGCCTGCGCGCTTAAGCAACCTCCCTATTTCTGTCTGGAGGCACTGAAACTCTGGAGAAGGGCTTGGCATGGTCTCTTGCCCAAAGATAGAATAACTCGGTATATTGGTGGTTGTTCTGCCAAGTTCCACGCCAAAGTGTCCGGTGCCAGGTATCGTTGCCCCCAGGCCTCTTTTGGCTTGGTAATTTTACCCGCTCCACTTCTCCTCTTAGCTGGTTCAAGGCGAGGCTCAAGGGACGGGCCGTGCCTACATTACCATGTAAATGCTGTAGCACGGCCACTTTAATCGAGCCATCGAATTCGCCCAGTAGGCCAGTTCTATTTCTTCCCTCTTAAGGACTGGCGTAGCTGATAGCATTACAAGCTATATGTAAAGGATTGATCCCTTGAAAGAAAAAGCTATACCAGCACGTAATTGACGGACCTGTATTGGGTCAGGTCAAGATGAAGGGTTTAGCCTGGATATGCGTGCCGATGAATGTGTGCTGACGCTCATAGCTTCGACAATAGTAAGCCAGGGCCGATAACCCAACAGGGGAGCATAGTTGCTTAGTTTAGCAGGTAAAGAGCTTTTCAAGGACGCCACTTTGAACCAGCATCTCGCACTCGTGCTTCCTAGATCTGGCATCAGAGGCGCTTGCCTGCTGCTCGATGACCTCGCATGAATATTGATCCAAGCCAGCCATATATTCCGACAGTTGAGCGATAGACTCATACCGACCATGCCAGCAGTTCTCAATGATACTATCGTACTTGTCTTTACCTAGAACTGGAAACTCCATATCCTGGAGCTTACCCTGACAAATGGGACCATGGTCACGCCCCCACCACTCGTCCTCATAGGGATCATGACCGCGCGTCAAGGCATAGGCGACTGAACCTATGGCGAATTGCTCTGTTCGATAACCAGCGGTGCCGTAGGTTCCGCAATCCGAGCCACCCTCATCCCCTAGTAGCCGAGCAAAAGGTTCCGTCAGAGAGGGTACGGTGTCTCCGATCTTGCACGCACGATCAAAGTCTGCAAGCTTGATGTCCCGCGCGTCGGACAGCAATATGTTGGCTGGCCAAATATCGCAGTGCGCCAAACCCAGCTGCTCGAGCCAAGCTGCTGCCGTTGCAAGCTGCCGCGTCCACCGGAGACAGTCTTCCGCCGTCTGCAACTTCTCTACTCGAATTACTCTCTGCGTTGACCCGTCTTTCGCTTGTTCGTCGTTAAGGATGGTTCCAAGATTCCCACCCGACATGAACTCCAAGAATATTGCGTCCTTGGTGTCGTGAAAGTGCTGGATAATGTATGGTGATGGCGGTTGGCGTTTTAATATTGTAAAGACTTTTTGTTCGGCTGTAATATAGTCGCTGCGGCCAAGACGGCTCTTTTTCACGACGATGGCGTCGCTAAGCTTGAATACTAGTCCGGTGCTACCCAGGCTGAGCAATTGGGGTTCTTCGAGATGGTGTGCACTCTTTTGCGTGGTCCAAAAACCGCCTTTAGCCATGCTGCCAAGTTCTCCGCTGTAGCATGGACGCGGCTGATGAAAAATCACATATCCGTTTAGAAAAAGAGTTTGTGCTGGAAAGTGTGGCTGATTTAGGTCGTCAGGATGTACCTATAAATGGAGAAGTTGATATTAAACAACATTGAACTTAGGCTCAGAGGAGTTGGGATAAAGGGGGCTGACGGAAGTTGGCGAAAATCGGGGAAGAATACTCGGACCGATGTCGTCGGCACGGTGTACTCGTTTGTACCTGTAGGCAAAGTGTGCTAGCCACTTAGTTGGCCATAAAATTACGGGACAATTATAAATCTCCGGAATACTTTTCAATTTTTTAAAAAATAAATATTACTAATAATAACTTTAATAAATTATATAATATATATTGAGATTTAGGAACTCTGCAACAGCTGGACCCCAATGCCCTGCGAAATGTCACCATCCCACGGGCCCTTTGACACATTATCGTTTTCACCGGATTACTCCACCAGCATATGCTGCTCGTCCTGTCACATGTGTGTCCTCTTCTTGGGGCCAATCATAGGCTGCATGATTCGCGACGAAGCAAAATAGTACAAAACGAACAAATCAAAGCCCAAGCATACTTGATCAGAATCCACCACTGTTGGAACGGAAATTGCGATTGACGATTTTTTCGTTGCAACAAGAAACTCGCCACTGCGTATTCCGCAGACCAATGCGTCCTGGTCACGGAAATTCTGTGCGAAATACGTCATGCTTTGCTAAACCTCCAACTTCCATGGAAAGCGCGAGATGCCTCGGTTTCTGTTCCACCAACTTGCCAGTTATTCTATTCTAAAAGACGGGGAATAGAATTCCTGCTAACCGAGACAGTTGAAAAGCAGAAACAAGGAAAAAGTAGGTTGGTGCTTCATCGTCCGCCTTTGTCGATGGGTAACCCTAACCCTGCCTGGCGTGTGTAGCCTGTCCAACGTCCTGTTACACGGAAATGGCCTATTACACAAGGGCTACAGTCACGGGACTAGGGCAAAGTCCCTCACCGACTTCTTGTATTTAAAGAGGTCTTCGGTCAACGAGGCCTTGAGGAAAACCAAGGACCTTTGATAGCAAAGACTGTTCTTAGCTGAATTAAGCTATTGCTTCAAGCCATCTAACAAGCCCTTGTCACACGTGTCGAGTAACTACATACTGGAGACAAGACAGAGCCGGCGCCAGGAGGAATCACCTTTCCCGCCTATTTCGTGGTCGACGCTGAGCCAGCGTGAAATTGTGTCAAGCGGCACCAATCAATCGCCGAATTGGTAGTTATCGCACACATCCACCACCCCAGACCTGGAAGTCAGTCATCTGTATGAAGTGCCTGGGCCACATTTTTGCGTCTTCCAAAATCGTCGAGACCCTGGGCACTCGGATCATGATATATATTACATATTCTGAGAGAGAATACCCAACGAATACAATCTTTGTTCATCAACAAGCTCGCTTTTAAGGGTGCATTAGGTTGGATACATGTGCCTATTGCCCCGACATCTTCCCCGGGGAGACCTTCGCCTCTGAATGCTTTTCTTTTTTTTTACCGAAATCCCCAAAGGCCCGTTGTTTCACACACGACGAAGAGCCAGAAAATAAAAGACAGAGAATGCGTCATCCTCCAGCATGACCCCAGATCCTACTCTACATGTCGTTGGCCTTGTCCTCCAGGACAGAGACCACACTAGAAGCCCCTTGAGGAACACTGGCAGATTCCTTGGCTGCACCATTAGCATTGTTGGGACTCAGCGCTTTCGGTCGAGACGCAATTGGCTTTAGAATAGGGCTTCCAGGCCTGCTCGTGATAAACTGTAGATGCGTGTCAGTGAAACCCGTCGAAAGTAGGAAAGAACAAGTCGCGTCGAACGGCATTGCGCAGCAGCTTACATTGGTAGCAGCGCTCAGCAGCGCGATCAGGGAACTTTGAACCACATCCTCATGAATGCCGATGCCCCATACCATCTCCTTGGTGTTTCCAATCTTGCACTCAATATATGATGCAGCCTTGACGCCACGACCCTCGCCAATCGCATGTTCCTTGTAATCATTGACGTCCAGGTCAATGCCAAGATCCTTGAGGGCATTCGCCATGCTAGAGATAGGGCCATTGCCCCGTCCGCGGAGCTTGATCTCCCTACCGTCGACTGAAATGACGCCCTCAAAGACACGCATTAGGTTTTTAGTATCCTGTGTCTTGCCCGGCGACGGCGGTGCAGGAGATTGCGAGCGGTCAGGGGTAATTGAGTAATCAACAAGGGAGAATCGAGGGTTCTCGTGAAGGTAGTAGGTCTTTTCGAAAAGATCTGTGATTTCGTCGGCTAGAAGCTCACGGCCAAGACTATCAGCCCGCTTTTGAACAACCTTGGAAAAGGCAACTTGCAGACCGCGAGGGATATCCAGGTGAAGCTTGCGCAGGATGATCCAGGCAGCGCCACCCTTGCCGCTCTGGGAGTTGACACGAATGATAGCCTCGTAGGTGCGGCCAATGTCCTCTGGATCCAGTGGCAGATATGCAACTTCCCAGCGGTCCTCGTAGGTCTTGCCCTCGCGTCGGCGATTGTGCATCGATTTTGATATGGCGTCTTGGTGACTTCCCGAGAAGGCACACACCACCAGGGAGCCGGCATACGGGGCGCGAGGATGGACGGGAATCTTGTTACAGTTCTCGACCACGTCAATGATTTGGTTCAGGTTTGAGAAATCCAGGTTGCAGGGAACGCCTTGGGTATACAGGTTCAGGGCCAAGGTGACCAGGTCAACATTGCCGGTACGCTCGCCGTTTCCAAAGAGACATCCCTCCACACGGTCAGCACCGGCCATCTGAGCCAACTCTGCCGCTGCAGCCGCAGTGCCCCTATCGTTGTGGTTGTGCACGCTAACGCAGACCTTTTCGCGTTCCGATATATTCCTGCAGAAGTATTCAACCTGATCAGCGAACACGTTGCAGGACGCGTTCTCGACCGTAGCCGGCAGATTCACAATCATAGGCGTCTCAACTGTTGGCCCCCAAGCCTCCTTGACGGCGTTGCAGACCTTGACGGCAAATTCGGGCGAGGTATCAGAGAAGCACTCGGGGCTAAACTCAAACTGCCAATTGGTGCCTGATTGGGAGGGGTCGTCTTTCGTCAGGGACCTGACGACCTTGGCGCAACGCACAGCGAGCTCAAGAGTGTCCTCTTCGGAGTAATTGAAGACGATTCTCCGGAAGCACTCGCTAGTAGCGAGATAGATGTGAATAATGGCATTCTTCGCACCCGAAACAGCCTCAACCGTGCGCTTGATCAGATCCGGTCGACAGGGCGACAGCACCTGGATCGCAACATCGTCTGGAATGGCCCCGGGGGTGTCAACCAGGCGTCTCGTGAAGTCGAAATCGGTCTGGGAGGCGGAAGGGAAGGAAACTTCAATTTCTTTGAAACCTATATCGCAGAGCATCTTGAAGAAACGCCATTTCTCCTCCCCATTCTGTTATTCGTCACAGGATCATCAGCCGACCGCCAAAACATGGCTGAGATGCTAGGGTGCGCAGCACCTTTCACGTAATTGGGAGAGATACATACCATTGGGTCTGGGTTGCTCTGGTTTCCATCTCTAAGGCTAGTTTCCAGCCATCGAGGGGCCTTGTCAATCGTTTTGGAGGGCCACTGGCGATCGGGCAAGTTGAGAGGAGGGAAGGGCTTGTATTTCTTCCAGGGTTCCTTGAGCCTGGATGTTGGTAGGCACGGGGTCAGTATTATCTTTGGTATATATGAAGTAAATGCAAAAAGAGGTCCCAAAAACGTACATAGGCATCTTGCAAGAAGCGTAAGCGCAAGTTGGGAGTGGTTGCGAGGGTGCTTAGGATTTGGGTGTTGGGCTGCGACTGCGGGGAGTGGCGAGAGCCGTGAGCGCAAGCAAAAGAATGCAGATCAAGACGTCGGATTGGAAGAAGACCTAGATCCCAAGGAAGAAGAGGACAAGAGTAAAGAAAAACTGTCAGATTCGCAGCAGGATGCGGCTGGGACGGGCAAGTAGAAGAAGTTGAGTTGAGTCACCCACTTCAGAGTCATAAGTCGGAGGCGCCGATTGCCGCTCGCCGTGACCCCTCCAACATTTTCTTTTTCATCTCCGACCGCGGGGCCGTCGTGCCATTATTGTGGGTGACTAATCGCAGGGTCTTTGATAGGTCGGACAAGCTCAGCATATGTGGACCCCTGTGTGGACCTGCCTCCACAAAATTCCAAGTACCGCCATAAAGTCGGCAGATCTTCAGTGATCAACGTCAATTCCTCCGTCCTTGTCTTTAAAGGCCATGATATGTGATGACATCGTGTCGGTCTGCTTCAAGAATATTTTTGTCTGAGCTGGGAATATACGTCTATCTCCTAGTAGACATGTCCGATCGGATTGCACTCCCCGGCGACAACTGCATGTGGACGTTTATTGTTGAAAGTAAAAACAGAAGACCTACCAAATTAAACTCCACAATTGTGTGAGGCTTCCTCCTTTGGCAGAATGGTCAAAAACATTTATGAAGCCGTTGGATCCATGGTTAAGTATTGAGGTAGACGTTGAACTATCGAGATGGATACTACTGCGCGAATAACTGTCATCATGAGAGCCTCACACACAGGATGTCACCCCTTTACTGTTGCACCATCAAGGGCTGCCGGGATCGCTCTGGACAGGCCAGGAGCTGTCCCATCACGCCAAAATCGCACATCCCGCACCACCGCAAGCTCACCGGCTTTTCCACGTTAAGGGCTGCTATAGGTTATGCAGCGCCAAGAAAACGGTGTTGCCACGGATGATCTCGAGCCACCGTGTTATCAGTCGTAAGGAGTGCAAGCAGAGACATTGCGAAGTGACCGCCGGATTGCCACAGATGGTTATTGCCGGGCTTTTCCATTCTGACTGCTTGAGAGAAGCTGGGTCAATGGCATGAGAGATGGCCCTATCAAGTGAAGCTGAATATCTGCTAGCCCGCCGAGTCAACTTGCCCTCCCTACCCCCCGATCAGGAGGCACGGCAGGAGCTGTTGTTCATGCTAAAGTGAGAATCAGTCCATCAACACACATATCTCTCAATACAATAAATATTACAATAGATTTGAGTGATGGAAGACAGGGTGAACCAATTGCCTTTGAAACGCCGTGGCAGCAGCCCTATCATTCGGAACGGAGGGCTCAATGTTCATCCGGAAGCGTCGCTGTCACGATGAATATTTGGTCTCCAAATATCTTCTGGCTAGAAATACGCCGTAAAATTATAGTGAGGTGTTTGTCGATCTAACAAGTCAAGTATATCTTCAGCGCCTAGTCCAGATCCATGGTAAACTAGTCACGACCAGCCTGTAAACCAGGTTCGTCTCTTGTCTTCATTATTTGTACTTGTTTCTACCAAAGGATTTTTCATCTTCACTGTAGATCATTGCTATATTATGCTCAAAATACCAAAGAAGTAACACGCAATGTCTTCCTCCAGGGCAATTTTATGCTTGTCACGACTAGGAGAAAGGTATGATTAGCCTCGCAGTTGGGATAGCTATTCCTGCATCATTGAAGCATCTCTTGGGTGATACAACCACTCCACCTTGGCCGAGCCATGTTGGGGCTATGGTGACGATGACCATGTTAATGTTTGGCCGGTACTGTGGCGAGAGCAACGAGTTGATAACCTGGCCACCTCCTTCAACCATGACACTGTTGAGTCCATTTTCCTTGAGCTTCACTAGCAGGATATTCCAGTCGAGGTGATGCTCGCCAATGTCCGAGGTAGCGATTTCCACAATGATGTATTTGCCTCCATATTTCTCCGGCGGTACCCGTTTGTCTGCTGGGGGTTCCCTGAGTGCCGTGACGATCCATGGTGGACGCCCGCAGCCCTCTCGATATAGCTTGAACAGCTTTGAGTTGTCGATAAACTCCCATCGGGCCGTAGGAGCAATAACAACTGGTCCTGCTGGCCGTCGAGGCCATCGCCACCAGAACCACAGACCCCGGCAATGCGACAATCAAGGCTGGGGTCGTCAGCGACGGCGGTGCCAACACCAATCAGAATGCCGTCATGGCGAGATCGAAGGTAATGCGTCATGGCCTTGGACTAAGGTCCGGAAATGGCAGTGGGAGCGCCGGGCGACAGGTGAGCGACGAGTCCAGCGATGTAGCAAATGTCAGTGTGGTGAACGGCAGGTTCGAGTGACGAGTTGAGCAATCCCTTGGCGGTAAATGAGGCTCAAGAAAGACCCTGTCTGACGGTGGAAATTCCATGGCATTTTTCGGGACTGGCGACGCCATGTTGGTGGATGGGATGAGAAAGGGTTTCGGTTGGGTTGGAGCTTTATGTGACGGCTGGATATCTCAATTCTCGAGGGCAACAGGCAAGAGTATTGCAGACGGGGATGAGAAGTCGAAAATGAATGGCACCATGCAGTTGGCTCCTGTTGAATCAATGTTACACCCCATAACTGCCACAGAGCAAAGAGACTTAGAATATACAGCTTTACTCCTACACGCATCAATCAATTGATGTACGTACGGAGTAACCCTAACCCCTACCCTAACCCGCAACCTCGGACCTTGGTGGTGGATGAAACAAAGTCACAAGTCAGACTGCGTATTTTAGCCGAAATGGACATCTTTTTGCATTTACGTAATGCGAGAAACGCAAACTTGTGCCGCCCATCACGGCCGAAACCCGGCGCTACTTTGCTCGTGATGTCAACTCGGATAAATCTGCCACTGTTGATGGAAACATCAAAGCGATTCAACTGCCTGGGGCAACTGGCAACAATACATCGAAAGCAATAAACGTATCGAGACTCTGGTATATAGTGCCAAAAAATACAAGCAAGAATACTCTATTTATAGAATTAGGAAGAATTAGTTAACAATAAGTCTTATAACGTACTCTGTTGAAACTTGGCTGAATCCCATCCAGCGCTTGTAAGCTAGTCAACAACAGATTCCGCCAAATCTGCCCGCATGGCTTGTCTTGGCCCGCTGCTGAATTCCATAGTTACATGTTTAGAAATGGACGACGAATAGCTGTGATATTGATGGAACTTGCTTGAGTACTATGCTACTCCTTGCTTTGTGTGCAAAGTGGGCATCATCCAAAGGCTACGTACGGGTCTGCAAGCCGCGCCAGCAGCCGACTCTTCATACTCTAGGCGCCGTAATTCATTTGGAACATTTCTTTTCGGGCGACTTACACAATGTTGGTTCGGTGACACGCCGTCTTTCCCAATGGGACAGGTTGATGGACAGGTTGGTGTCATCTACCCCGAAACACAGGGACAAAACTAAACAAGACCAGAAACCTCTGAGCTGCCGAGCCCTGATGTCGATTTAGTCTGGAGCTCTCAAAGCCGTTATACTAATCGAATTTGCGTTACAAAGAGTCCACTGTGGTAAGAGTAGCAAGTATACTCGGATACCCTGCATCTTAAAATCCGCGTGGTTGGACCAGGGACGAGAAATACCATGTCGCCATGGCAGCGAAAGTCCGGGTTTCTTCGGATGAGAAAAAAATGTTTCGAAGTCCAACTGGCTGTAGAGTGATATCATTTAAGTTGTCAACTGATGATTTTGACAGCATGTCATAGTCGCTGACAATTCTGCGGGAACTTTGCGAATTTTCCGTCCCGCCAGCAGTATCGTCACGAGTGGGCCAGTCAAGCATTTTCTCAAGGCCTATAAAGGCCAGGATAAGGACATTTTGTCCCTGTTCTTCATTATATAAAACCCTACAGATGCCGTGGATCGATTGGGCGGTTCAACATGTCTACCCAGAGCACAGCATCAACCCATGATAAGGTAGCATCGTGGGATACAGGTTGCAAAAAGTACAGTGAGCCGTCAGGGAACGTACTAAGCAAATGGTACAAATGTCAAAGGTGGAAGCTGTGGGCTCTATTCTACGGTATAACCGACGCGCAAGATATCGCCGAGATCGCCGCAGGCCACGACGGTTAATATCGCCCTCAAAAGTGTGGGTGTGGTGTAGTCGAACAGAATGGGCGATGTATAATTCACATGCGTGGTTTAGCCAACTGATGCCAAAAGACACTGCATAGGTAAGACGAAAGGGCATCGGGGAGCACACAACAATGTCAACGGTTTGGCGTATTGAGTTGAGTTAAGTTGTAACGGACAAGCACAGTCGGTGAGAGCACCTTGCCCGAACAGCACCTCCTAGAATACAATAGTCTTGTCAAATTCTTCCAATCCCGTCGACTTTAAGCTGCGGTATCGGCTAGATCTCTTGATGCGTCGTTGCAGGCACCGCGACTCTGCGCGACATGCAAGTAAAAGCCAAATCAAGGGCTGAACACCAAATTCCCCCTCTTGAGCAGACACGTTTCCAATCCCTCAGCAGCAAGTTCTTAAAGTCGCGCCTGAACAACTGTCCCAAACATTACTGGGTAGGCTGAAAAGCCTCCGAAACTGCTTTAAGCTGGGCGGCAACACGCGCCTCGCGGGAAGCAGGCCCGCTCGAATTCGAGTATGGATCTCGTTCGAAGAACAAGGTGAGACGGTCGTTGCCGAGATTTTGCTCGCCGCTGGCAATTCCGTGGTTCGTATAAGCGTGATCTGGCTTTGGGGGCGCCGATCTAAAGCGACAGGGTCAGCAGGGACTATTCGTTGAGGCTTGCCAACAGTCGTCACGTTACCCGTTATAAACCGCTCCAGCAGAAGGCATTTCTTTGGTTAGGAGATACGACGGACAGGCCACGCAAAGGTCACGGGGTCGAGGATCTGGTGATTTCGCAAGAAAGACTCTTGTAAGTGCATATACTGAGCGAGTTTGGCAAAATGACAAGGAGCTAGACGTCACGAAAATCACGACTTAGTTACAATTGACTAGAACAACTCCCAATGTCAAACTGCAAACCGGAGGGCAGACTACGTCCATCGACAGCAACCAACCATGCGACAGCTACAACGCCTTGCCAACAATCGACAGCCTCAGAGGAGCCAATCTCACAGCGGCACCAACTACGGGGTATAGACTTGTGCTGACAGGCAGCTGTTCTAGACCTTGAAGGGAGGTACAGGGCGGGTAGGGTGACAATGGGGTTTGGTGTTGTCAGGGTGGTGAGAACTGGTAGACGGGTTACTTGGAGGACACCGGCGACAGTACACAGCCAGTTTGTGCTTGGCTATCTGCTCAGATAGCCTCGAGAAAGTGATGCTGGGGAGCGTAGACAGATGCATGACCAGAGACTTGCTGCACATATCCACATGGGACTAATTGAGCACAGCAAGCGCCTCGTGCATTTGCCCAGTACCGAAAACCCCAGAGAGCTGTTCCAACACATTCAGACCAGACAAGACTGTCAGCTGGATGCCTTCCAGACGCAATGCATGCTCACATTTGCGGCAAAGGATGCGTGGCTTGCAACATGGGAACACAAGGGCTGAAGTAAAGGCTTCGTTCCTCGGTCTGGTGAGTTTGCCGGGCCAGGAAGAACAGACCCCGCACGGCGTTCACTTTTGCCATGGATGAAATCCCACTTCTGCAATAGTGAAATATGGCTGTTTCGCTCGGAAATAGGCGGACTGTTTTGTGCTCACCAGCTGTGAAAATTTGCCGGTCTGGCGGCGACATGGCGGCCGGCCAATGTGAACATGCTCCAACCGCAAACTTTGGCTTCGAGAAGTGCGACAACTTGCATCCACGGGCACAGGTCGCAAACGTCGTTTGCTGGGCGGCAAAGGCGTCGAAACCAGCCGAGGCAAGGATCAGGACGGCACAGAAAGTGAGGCTGGCAGCGTGGCAGCGTGACGTGTCGAAATGTGTGTCCGCCTCACTCTGCCCGCTTCACTCTGCCCGCTTCACTCTGCCCGCCTCATTCTGCTCACCTCATTCTGCCTGCCTGCCTCACTCTGTCCGCCTCATCTTCGTCGCATGCGAATTTGGTAGACGCTCTTGCCGTGGTGTCCAAGCACTCGTCTGGCCCTCGTCTGGCCGCAGCCTGCGACTGTGACCATTCCGACGCAATTGTCTCGTGACTGTTGTCTGGACCGGGTGAAAAGTCGGACCGGTAATGACAAGGGGTAGTGCCCTGCACGATTGATAGACAGATATAGGCTAAGAGTCTTATTAGTTTAGGTATGAATAGATAAAAAACTCGGCACAATTGGGCGCGGTTAGGGTATTGGCCAATTGTGGCCAATTGCGGCCCCAAGGAGTGCTCACTTACGGTTTGTAGTTGAAGAGTGCTGCGTATCCTGGAGGAAAGAGATGGTGTTGCAAGATGGAAACACGGTCGTCGAAAAGTTTAGCCTCGAGGGGAGACTGCCGTTTATGTAAATGGATACAAAGCTCAACATGCTGGGCTGAGACGAGTGGGGACCCCTGATGATAACCTGAGACAGGTATGCACTGTGTATTGTGTCTTGAATGCAGCATCGCGGGCATTCCGACATTGAACGCACCGGGCCCTCCAACCAGCCAACGGTGGCGGGCCGTTGGCGCCTTCATGCAAGCCCTGGGCCGGAGCACCTGCGGTGCCAATTTATTGCATCGATGTCGGCGGACATGGAGTCGCCTGGCTGCATCAATGTGCCATGTGGACACCGATCCATTTGCTTATCATTGATGCCTTGTACCATGCCAGCTGCAGGAAATCTCAACCAGCATATCGATGCAACCCGTACCAGAGTAAGCTTCATAATCCACGTTGTACCGGACCGTTGATCCTTGACTGCACATCCACAGTGGCCTTACGTATGCAGACTGTAATTGACATATGTAGGCATGGCATATCTAGGCGCCGATTAACATTCAGACAGAGTCTCTAGGCACAACAATCGCCTGTTGTTGGAATTCAAGGAAGGCATCGCCTCACTTGCGCTTCTGCCTTGTTCACCAATCATGAGTCATGACACATCTTTACCCAGCTTCTCGCAAGCGATTGCGGTGGCAGGCGTTCGAGATTCGAGCTTTGCATCATCGGGTTATGGAGAGGAGATGTAGTCAGGTGTACAAGGTAGCACATGTGGCTTCGTGTCCGTTCCCTTCTTGGAAGGTCAACGGTCTGGTAGAGTCAATGTTTACCATGCGTGTCCACCATCAACATCGGACATCACATCACCAGGGGGGCCACACCCAAACGCTGCGCAGTGAAGCGGGTGACTCGGCGAGGCCAGTCATGCCACAAATAGGAGCGAGGAACATGACGTCATTCGTCTTTAATGCTGGCCTTATTACTGGACGCTTTGACGGGTTGAACCAACAACCGCACGATGCCTGCGTCCATCAACACAACCGTGGAACCGCACTCCACCTCACACCCGCTACTCAGTAGACATATCTGAATTGTGAGATATCCTTGTCTGTCCTGTCCATCAAGTCGGCGTTTTCCATTTCAATTCTCCCCGGCACATCACAAGCCTGGTCCCGACGCCGGTTCTCCCACATGAGATGGAACCGGAAGGCCATGCAAGACACGAGACCAATGCCAAAGCATATCAACATTGCCAAAAGTCCCGAACTATACGTCGGCGCCTCCTTGGCGAAAAAGAGCTGCGGGCCAATGATATTACCCGTGCAGTAAGCGATGAATGACTGTCCAGTCCAAAAGCAAGTTAGTCCAGCACACCACAAGTCAGCCGTGAAAGCATGATGAGCAGCCCTTACAAATGCATTGACCGTCATTTTCTTGGTAAAGCCGCCAAAGTTGCCCGACGCCATGGACATTAGAAGAGGAAAGTTTGCCACATAAGCAAAGACAAGGCAGAAGCCTGCGTAGCGCGCCCACTTCTGCTCAACCGAGCACTGCCGGATAACAACACAGCCAGCAATTGCGACACAAAAGTTCCACGCCATGAAGTAGGTTCTGGTATTGCGGAGATACGTAGAGCCCGCAGTGGCCAGGAGCACGAGCGCAAAGGAGACCACATAGCTGGCGGTTTGAAGGAGCAGCGTCGGGAACGTGTCGAAGCCCAAACCGTGGATGATGATGACCCCAAACTGCACATTTTGTCAGTTCCTGTTTCAATTCTGAAGTGTCTGTTGGGCAGGATTCGTACGCTATGCACACCACCGCTCGGAATGCTTCCGCACAGCTGAATGACGACAATGAACCACGTCTTGGCGTCGAGAGCAGCCTCGCGGCACTGTTTCCACTTGAACTGCGAGCTTTTAATACCAGTCATGTTCTCTTTTACTCGCTGTATAGCCTTTCTACGATCCTGCTTGCTCATGAACCAAGCTGTCATGGGAACGTCGGGAAGCAGGAAGAAGAGGCAAATCGACCAAGCCACAGTGCTGCCGCCAAAGATGAAAAACACAGCCTGTATCAAACAACACTGTCAGACACATGAAAGACACAATATGCAGACAGCGAACTCTACCTTCCAAGGCGCAATGCTATCCATGTGTCCGATTCCGTAGGAAGCCAGACCGCCGGCTATACCTGCGATGGTGTTGCCCGTGAACCATGCCGCGTGCCGGAGAGGCTGCTCGGAGCGCTTATACCACATTGCCACGATGGCGGTCAGGCCGGGAGCAATGGGAGATTCGCAAACGCCCAGGAAGAAGCGGAGGGCGAGCAGGTCGGCGGCCTTGGTGGTTACGGCTGTCAGCATCAGCACCGCGCCCCAAAGAACGCTGGACCGGGTGCTTGTTATCAGTCTGGTGTGCTCAAGTGGGAGGGAGGCCGTTTTACGACTTACACTGCCACGGCAATCATCTTGCCGACTCTCCAGCGCACCATGATCATACTGGCCGGGTATGCTGCGATGAGGAAGCCAAAGTAGTATGTGCTGTTTGCCCATGAAAAGTCTGTGCCGCTCAGGTGCAGATCCTCGCGGAGTCCAAGGATGGCTGTGAATCCGATGGCCGATGTGCCCAGGAACTGGAACATGTACGAAGCCGCCATGATGGGCAACAGACTATTCAGTCATGTCAGCTTTTGAAATGCAGACGGGTTCTTGGCGGCAACGAATAATTAGGGACATACTACAAGTCGATCCTGCGGAGGAGTCTCTTGTTCTCTTCTGGGGTGAGCTCTTCTGTAGCTGCAACGTCATTGTCGGCATGGTTGGACTTGAGCTCGGTTGCGTCTACTTCCTCCATTGTGGCTTGGTAAACGCCCGGTCTGGTGATATGTGTTGCGGTTTTCAGCAAAGAAAGGAAGGTTATTGCTCTGCCTTAAGATCAAAGAGATATCGACAGAGAGAACTCCAGCTGCCGGGGTGATGAGGTGGAATAGCAGGGTTGAGATGATGAAAGAGCTTACACGGCGGCGCTCTGTGTATATTTACAGTGCCGTTGCAATATACCGACTAGCCTTGGGCAAGTACTGCTTATATTTATTAGTCAACTTATACTTGTTCAAGCCCTGGGTCCAAGACAAGTATAAACAATCACTGGCGGTGCATTGGCCTCTGTCACAGCATCATTCCCAGGATGGCATCATGGCCTAGTGTCTCATATCTGTCTTGGACAATGATTGTATGCTAGCTCGAGGTAGCTAGCTCCCTGCACCTCCATTGATCTGCTGCCCCAGGCTAATTGGCCGAGTGCTCCCGGGACAGCGGTTTCGGGTTCGAGACGAAGAAGGGCCGTTCGTGAAGCACAATGCAGACGATTACGCTTTGCGTTATACTCGTAAGCTTACCCAAGGCGTGAATGGCTGGCGCCTAGAAATCAATTCTGACATTCTTTCGGCTCCACGAGCTGGGTTTTAAGATGTTAAGAATGACAGAATGTCTACCAAGATGGTGAAAATAGAACCAAGGACCACGAGAGAATCGGCCCACCACTAGATCCAAGACATTGGAAGGCCCGGGTATACTTGAAAGGAGGTGGCAGATGACAACGTTACGAGTGCTGTGACGGCTACTGATGGTACTAGCGAGTCAACAGCTCATGGGCCTCTGAATGCCAAAAGTATCGCGAGGACAGTCGGGGATTTTCGAGCCAATGGTGCGGGTGTACTAAAGAGACACGATATTGTGGATTATGTGGAGTGAGATAACGTCTGGTGGGAACAAGACTACCGAGTCCAATCTGCCGGATATCGCTACGGCTAGCTCAGCCCACGGCAAATAAAGTTGCGCATTTGCGCCTGATCTACTCGCCTGTGCGCACAAGACTCTGCATGGAAAAGGCGCGCCCTAGATGGACATCCAGGTATCAAGGGGCGCCACTCTACAAGGACAAGTACTGCATATGTATCTACGTATTAAGTTTATGTCAACCTCTGAGTGGATATACGTAGCTCAAACCGCTTGTCAGCAGGAGAGAAGTGTGCGCTTCGGATTTATATTTTTTTTTAGATTCCATCTCCGAGAGGTCCACCGAGATCAGGCCGGCAAGTACCGGTCGCCGAATATGCCCCCGTATAATACGGAGTAGTAGCTTAAATAATAAAAGTCCTGTGCAACTGTCGGAGATGGCAAAACAAATTGTAAATCCGAAGCACGCTCGCTAGCCGGTTCTGGCCAATCAGAGATGTCGAGACGATCCTAATAGGTAATATGCATGTGGATATCCGAGAGGGGCCCCGAGCAATTCACATCCAACAGCCGGCATGGATCGATCTCTTTTTGTAAGTGCCGCCTCCCTTGTGCGCCCCAGGCCCCCAGCATTCGTCAATCACGAATCCGTCCTGTAGAGATGTGAAAATGGATACGTCGTTTATCTGGATATTTATATCAAGCTTGATATACCGGTTATCTACTATTCTCTGATTGGCTTTTTGCCCTTGTATCATGTGCTCTACAAGCTCCTAGGCACTTGCAGAGATACTGTTGAGTTTACAACAGCAATTTTGTGAAGTGGAAGATGACGAAACTTGGGACGCTTTTTAGGGTCTGAGTTGATAGCTTTTTATTGTCGATGATGGAAAATCCTCCGCATTTGACCCCGTGCCCTTTTATACATGTAGCCGGTCAGAGGCCCCTGCCCCCTTCTCTGACGATGACCCTCAAATTTGACCCAACAGATATGTGCAAGTAGCCTTAATAATCCCGTCCAATGATCCAAAATTACCCGCAATGCCGCATGTGGCCATTCCGGCGCTTCAAATGCGCTTATAACCGCTCGGATTGTCATGTGTCGTGTCCAAGGTATTCGAGCGCCCGTTGTTACACGGAAATGGGCCGGTTACATAAGGGCTACGGTCACGGGATTAAGGCAGAAGGTCCTTACTAACTTCTTATATAAATAAATATTTTTAGTCCCTTAAGGCCTTAAGAAAAACTAAGGACCTTTAATATTAAAGACTATTATTAAATAAATTAAGTAATTACTCTAAGCTAGGCCCTTGTCACACCCGTTCTATAACCCTCGCATTTAGGAGGCCATCAGCTGGTGACTCTTTCAAATGTTGGCCTTGGTGGCGGCCGTCACAGCTCTCGAAGCGGCCCAGTTTCAATTTCAGAGCACACAATAGTCCGTGAAAGCCTTTGGGGTTGCCACTGCCCAAGTCGAATCCCCAGTCAAATGCCGTCGATATCTGTTGTAAGTTAGCTTAGCTGGCTTCCTCCAAGACGCCGGTGTCATGGCCGTCTTTGCTGCTCATATCACTTAATATAACTTACTGTTTGTGAAATTATACCGAGACACTAATAAATCCATTGATATGCTCTTTGCCCTTCGTCTGATGTACTCCAGCCACTGGAATTCTTGTCTTTGTCTTTGTTGGAATAGGTTCCTTAGCCTGTCCGGCTATGCCGCATCAGGAGACCCATTATGAACGATGCTTCATGTTGTTCCCGCAACGCCATCATTCTTGTTCTTGAACTGAGCAGAAAAATCCCTACCGTTCATGTTAGTTCTCCAAGGTTCTCAGCCACGTAATAGTATCAACATGCCTGGACTTTTTATTGATCCTTTGATCACGGATACGCCTGTCGAGTTTGTAACACGTTAACTCAACCAGTAAAGCAAGGGTCTTCTTGAAAACTGACTTCCTCTGACGATCTTAGAAGGTGTGGAAAGTCAAAGAAGAACAAAGATGAACGCAAAAATGAGGTTTCGGGATAACGCATGATGCGCACTGGCGCGGGCAAATCCCTTTGCAAAAGGCTACTTGTTAGAGATTGAATTGCCAACATTTGAACGCTTGATTGATCGCCACGGCCGGGCACAAGATCTTCCAGCAATGGAAAACTCACGCCATACCATTCAATGTTTGCACAATGATCTGCCAGTGGCTGTCGATAAAACGATACCAGACTCATCTATGATCTGATACTACTACCTCTACTTTCCATATCCGTTAGTTAACCCTAACCCTAGCCAATCCTAACCGTTATATTAAGTGGGGCTGCTATCAGATGAGCACCTGCACCTAATATCACCAAACGTCTTAAATGCCCCAACCTCGATATGGCATGCGATGCTGACGCCTTACACGATAAAGGTAGGTTGATTCATGGAAAAACGTCTAGATAATCAGACCTACGATAAGCCCGGTGTATCAGACACACGGCGATGTAGCCGCGTCAAAACAAGAGACGAAGCTCCTAGACTGTGGCTATGTGAAGTTTGAACGGCTGAAGTCGTTGGGGTGACACGAAAGAAGCGAACCAATACCCTAGGTACCCGCAGGGCCATACCGTGAGACTGATTCGGCAGTATCGATACCTAGCCTGCTTCCTGCCCAACGTGAGGCCTTCCTCTTCATCCATCTTCCTGCACGGATGCCTGATGAACATTTTCCGCTCGTCGCGCCGCGTCGGCCAGTGGAAGCATCAGTGATTCTTCAAAACAAGTCAGAGATCATTATTGGCTATTTTACTACTTATTCCACGGCCTCGACTCACCTTGCGTCTGCCAAATCTCCATCCGCAATACGCAATTTCCGACGGCATCACAGATCAATTAATTCTGAGTAGCCACCACCGCCTTTGCATCGGGACGTGGTTGTAATCGCCTGCGGCTAGAACCCCGGGCTCTCTGCCCGTGTACGCGATCCATGTATGTGTTTTTACTTCACTGCCTTCGGGCGCAGTGGCCAAGACTCCAGGCTCTGATGTTGTTGACATTGCGCCTCGACGGCCACAAAAACATTGAAGCCACTCTAGGGCCGAATGTGATATGCTAACGATATATCGCGCAGGGACAGGCCTTCTCAATTCGGAGAACACGATCCCCGTCACTCGATTACAGAAGGCACATCTAACTCATCGGAAAACCTGCTAAACCGTGATGGCTTCGAGTATTTATTGCAGACAGAACCCCCTTATGACGGTCAAGACAACACCTACGCCCAGATCGCTTGCAGCGTGGGTGGGTTTGACGGTTGGGGACAAGACACAGGCAGCGGCAGGGCTTGGCCGTCTAGAGACGAAAACAGAGATCGAGATTGGAGAAAGTCGCGAGACTTTAGGTCTCGTCGCTCACCGCCTAGAGGAAGACGGAGTCGAACACCCTCACAGTGTTTTTACGACAGAGACAGAGATGAGCTTTTATCAGATGGTCCCGGACCTCATGATATATCCCCGGGGTTACGTTCAAATCCTCCTCAAGGTACCCCGCTCAACTATAGGCTGCCCGACGCCTTACGTATAAATTCTCCCCAACCACTCCCGTTAGACTATGAGCCGCCGTTTGTAATGCAGACTTTTGAACACAGTGGTGGCTTCAGCATTGGGGTACGAGAAAGAGAGAGTGATGATCGTTACGGCGACCGATATCCTCGAACTCGATCTGAAGAGGCTCAATGGAATCAGGAGAACCGTGTCCCCGGAGATAGAGGCTCCCCAGGGGCAGACACAATCAGGCGCAGTCCCTGGGAGGGCCACGAACGCAACCACCCTCCAATGTCTCAAGAGCCGTCAGCCCAAGACCGAGCCGTCTCTCCGCCTCCTGTTGCACCCTCGGCTCCGGCATTTGGATCTGTTCCAAGTCACACTGGGAGTAACTCTGCCTTTATCCCTGCCCAAGTGTGTCACGGCTTTAACCTGCACCATTTTCCAACAATTCCTCCATTTGTAAACCCCGCCCAAGCACAGCAGTCGGAGCCCACGATGTACAAGCCTAAATTATCCTATAATTGTGCCGTGTCGACTTTCCACTATAACGATAATATAGGAATGCCTCATGAGTTTGAGCTTAAGCAGCCGATTACAACAGCTTCAGAAAACGGCACTTTATACACGACACAGTGGGATGACATTCTCTTACCAGAAATCCTCATAAAAGCTGATCGTGATGGTAGAGAAGGAGATCAAGAGTTTGAGAAGTGGCGGCCTTTCAATAATGACGAGGACTCTAATTCACGAGGATCCAGCAATGGGGCACGATCAAACTACAGTGCTAACTCAGAACAGGTCGAAGGTGTTTCATTTACTGGAGAATTTGGTTATGAAGCTCAATTTTCGGACGATGCAGACTCGATATACACAGCAGATCCTGATGTTCCGCTATCTAAGAAGAACGCAAATATCTGTTGGCTTGCGGACGACTTGTTTAACAAGGCCTTTACGGAGAAGCCCGATGAGGACGGCCTAGACAGAATAGAAAAATTGCTTCCTCAACTTCTAAAGACGTTTGCTATAAAGGTTGGATCTGGTGGTTCAACGCAGATATATAGAGACGTGATGGTATTTGTGCGAAGGCACAGAAGGTGAGTAGGGTTTATCCACCAATGTATCGTTGCCCGGGCTCTAATTTTACAACACATAGTGAAATTACCAAGGCCATGAGGGATAGGTATAATGAGGAGAATAACCTCCGCTCCGATGTTCTCGGGAATAATGTTACAAGAATAGATCCGGGAGATCTTGTCAGGCATTGGCGTCAGCACACAGATACATTAGAAGATCTGAATATTGCTCCTAATGAGATCTCGGGAGATATAAGCGATTATATCTATTACGAGGATCTTGAAGAAGCCGACCCAGCCGCTGATTCTCTGCCAGAGCTTTCTGTTTACAAAGATTTTATATCGAAACTCCCCGAGTACAAATGGCTTTTGGAGCGCATCCAGGGAGCCCTGTACATGGATAATGCTGGAAATGTGCAGACTAATATCAGGGACGCAATTTTACAGTGCCTGCCCAGAGCCAAAAGAATCAGCAGAGGAGCAGCACCACAAACGCATAATTTGACCTTTACTGCAGACTGGGACCTATGTGAATTTCTACAAGAACAAGGATACCTAGACAGCCCTGAGAGAGCAGTGGAACGGGCTATTACAATTACTGGATCGGAAACAGATGCTCAAGCAGCAACGACGGCACAGTATCTAAGTCAGACGTGGCCATCATCTGGCATTCACCTTTTACATGTCGTGAAGCGTGTGGTGCAGGATACTTGCACCGTACCATATCCTCGTGCGTAAACAACATATAAACCTGTTTTTTTGGTGTGCTAACCCTATCTCAAGATAATCTACCAGATGGGACACGATTAATTGTGTGGTCTCTAGGGCCGTGGTTTACGCTTGAAGTCATTGGGGTAGCAGACTCCATTGTAGAGATCGGAGAGCAGCTCGCTTGGCTCGGTTCGGCTCTCCGTGTATCCCCCTACCAGACGGGAGTTGCTGTCGTCAATGCATTTGTGAGCAGAATGTGGATAAGTCCAGCCAGTGAGGTGACCCAAGGATCCAGTTCAAATTTCTTCTGCAATATCAATTTTAACCTCGACGCCGTCGATAGCACTGGCGAAATACCGAATGGCCAGTGCTGGCATGACTTATTCCGAAATCCAGTTATAGTGAATGGCTATCCCATTCCGCGGAGGCCACTATCCAATATGGGACTTGAAATCAGTCTAGATACTATGGCGCACTTGGCAGGAACACGTCATATCCACCTCTTCAACAACAAGATATTCATCAAGGCCTTTTCGACCATGCTGGTTCCAACGCGACATTCTGACAATATCTTTGTTTGGCACTTGTTCTCTAAGAAGAATGGAGATCGCATCTCATATCTGGACAGCGATGGCTCCCACGTTGAAGAAACTAATCTTAATGATTTGGAAACAAGTCGGCATATTCTTGGTTGGTCCTCAAGTGTAAGATATATTACAGGTAAGAGTTCCATGCGACAGTGTAGCTTATTATCCGATGTTGACCTGTTTCAGGAGCTGCCGATGCAAATTATGTGATTGAAAGTTCCTGGTTGAGATGCCTTCATGAGAATTGCAACTTGAATGGGAAGGTGGTAACCCCAGGCCTATTGATTAAATCTGATCACGCAGCAGCCCTGGGGAAAAGAGACGTGTCACTACGAGTCTCTGGCGATACGTACAGGAAAAAGCTATATGCCCTGTCTAATGAGTACGTGGTGCTTTGGGACGTGGAGTGCAAACGTGGATGGTTGGTGAATGGAGTGAATGCATTGCTCCATCTCCTGCGAGCATCTCTTGAGTTTAACAAATCAGATGATTTCTCATTTAGATTTCTCTTCAAGTCTGACAAGTTTAGGGAAGCAAAGAACCCTTATACCGTCTCCGCAGCGCTTGAGGTTCTTATGAATGCCTCAAATCTCGACATGGAACTTTATGAGGAAGATGAGAAGGACGAATCAAACGCAAGCATCAAGTATCGAATTCGTGATCGCGTCAATGATTTGTACGGGACCCTTGAAAAACTCATTGATTACCAAAGAAGTATAACATCTGAGCGGTTCAAATCTTCTCCGCGGAAGGACCTTGAGGGCTGGGACTTCAAAGACATTGCAATAAACAGCGAAAATGCTATCTATCCGTGTCTCGCAAAGTTGAAAACGGTCGGCAAGGGATGGGTGGATTTTATCCGAGCTCTCAAGGCTGTCACAGTGTTTGGCAGAAACTTTGGTGCTTTACTTGACCACGTACCAGAAACTGGCAGGTGCAGGTACTGGAAGACATTACCATCAAACAAGTATTATCTGGCTGCTGGTATGGAGGATCTGAGCAGGATAATGAGCCGCTTGGGGGATCCAAGAGCGAATCCCCCACTATTGATAGGCTCAATTGCGTGGTATCCATCCGAGATCGCCACGAGATGTGCGTGCAGCGCCGGCACAGTGAAGCATAGCGAGCTTGCTCAAGTTCTATGGCCATCACATATGAGGGAGAGACTGCGAAAGAGCACCTCCTTTCCGCTGAACAAGATTGGCGCTGTGGTATTTGGTCACAATGCAGACATTAACTATATATGGAAAGATATCGGAGACCCTGACAAAGGAGAGCCTCCGTTATCGGGTGAAGAGTCAGATGATGACCCTGCAGATAGCGGGATTGGCTCGAGTGTTCGTTTGCCCACCGAACCTGAGTCACAAGGTCATTCACCCACGAGCTCCAGTTCCGGTATTCGTGCTCTTCAACACGAGCACTATATGATCGGAATAATTTGTGCCTTACCCGAGGAGTTGAAGGCCGTGAGGACCCTGCTCGACAGCCATCATCAAGATCTACCAAAGCGACACAAAGACATGAATACATATGTCCTTGGCTGCTTAGGAGGCCAGAACATCGTTGCTGCTTGTCTTCCATATGAAGATTACGGTACGAATGCCGCTTCCAAAGTCGCCTCAGACATGGAGAAAAGTTTCACTAATCTGAAATGGTATTTCGTCGTTGGAATTGGAGGAGGAATACCTTCAGAAAGGCATAATATTCGACTGGGTGATGTCGTGGTCGGCACCGGTGTCATTCAGCACGATATGGGCAAAGCGATGCAAAAGGACACCAAGTTTCTAAGCACAGGAATCTTTAAGCCCACGGCCACTGAACTACGGACTGTAATCAGTCTCGTTGAGTCTGAGCAAGAAGGCTGTCAAGTTTTCATGGAAACTTGTATAGAATTCATGTCCAGCAAGTCTGATGCCTATAAACAACCTGCGCAGGACCACGATAAGCTGTTTGAACCTCATTCTATACATGAAGATGGCCAAAAAACATGTGGAAACTGCAAGGGCTCATACTCTTCCAGGGGAACCCAGGAGCCCGGGCCGCGAATTCATTACGGTCGCATTGCCTCTGGAAACCAGGTTGTAAAAGATGCAATGATGCGGGATCGTATTCGCGCACAAACCGGAGCTTTATGCTTTGAAATGGAAGGCGCTGGCGTCATGACAACTGAACAATGCTTGATTGTTCGAGGAATATGTGATTATGCGGACTCGCATAAGAATGACGAGTGGCGTAATTATGCAGCGGCGACTGCTGCTGCTTATACCAAGTACTTTCTCCTCCGCATGGGCAGCTCTGCCGTGTACAATCTCGAATCGGGTCAGCGAAAGAAGCGAACGACCTCGGCTTTAGACGATGAGGGTTGCCGAAGGACCAGATTTCGGCTTGGTGAGGATTGAAATAGAAGACGGACGCTCCATCTCTACCTCCGCTGGCCTATTTACTGCCACTTGCAAGAACTGTCACCTTCAAACACCAACTTATTATATATAAGTCATAGTCGGTGGTAAGTTTCGTAAACGTTTCCAAATTCGTGCACGGGGAATGTCATTCAAGCGGACTAGTCTTGCTCACCGAGACATGCGATGACGGATAGTCCTTTCTCTATTCTTTCTGGAGATTCTACCTGTCTCCTGGTCTAGCATACATTATTGGCTGGCTCTGGGTCAAACGTACAGGCGCCTTTGCTCACACAGTCGTCCTTTTCGCTGGCACACCTCACATAGAGCGACTTGAACTTCCAGCCTTCGGTCCACATCTTACGACGTGTGTCTCTGCTGGTATATTCGTCGCCGAACCACTTGCCAGTGCAGCCCAGTTGCTCCCAGTAACTGATTTGTATTTGGCCGTCTGGGCAGATACCTTGTGGGATCGCCTTGACAGGCCCTACCCGGCAGTTCGTGTTGATACACGCACCTTCCTGGTGCATCTGAACGCTTTGGATATTGGTGTCGGTGGCGTCGTGACGGCATCAGGAACACGAACGCAATACCAGTAGCCGATCCACATATTGGTACATTCTATCACGGGTCTGTTAGGCTACTTTGGATACCATTACATTATTTGCTTCATACGGTGAGAATAAATGACCTACGGGTGTTGATGGAAGGGTTCCAAGCATAAAAGTGAGCCGAGCTCACGCCAAATTCGGCCTCGATACTACCGCACTGGCCACCCGATAACACGAGATAAAGCTTGTCACGGTTGGGGACCAAACCAGGCTGCATAGAGGAGTGTGGAGACGACGAAATTGTCAATGTCGATGTCGATTTGGTTGTGGTTGTCCTGACCGAGGTGGAGGATTGGGTCGTGACGTCTGTCCTGTCGAGACGTCGCCAGGCCGTAACGAAAAGCGACTTGAGATGCATGGTTTCTTCTGGTGCAAAAGAAAATAAGGAGTATCAAGACACAGGGGATGGGGGCATGCCGGATAGTTGGCTGTAAATAGCATGTTGATGGCAGCCCAGGTTATATGCTTTCGTCAATGGCCACATGTGAGATTGGTTCCAGAAACTGACTCTTCTACTCCGTGCACCATGTAACAGTACATCAATATTCGCAACGCACTGTTTTGTTGGTTGCCTAAGATCGCTTGCACATTGAGGCAGGGCCATGCGGCATTGGTCCTGATCCTTGCACGTGACTACCTACATATGGTAATCGCGATACGATTATGGGGTTAGTTCCCGTTTATGATGTGCAATTTCCGAATCGGATTCATATTTGGTTGGCTGGCGGCCTACTCGGCTGCACCCGAACCGTCACAGTCCGGGGCTCGGGCCGCCTTGGGTCGGGCGAATGACCGGCACACGGCCATCAGGATTCAGGAGCCTGGACGTGCTTGGCGAAGAAGGGCTGGGCTATTGGGTGGCCGGAAAATCCCCCTGCCTCAGTTTCCCAAAGGCCAATAAATACACCCCATACTTGCACCTGTTCTTGCGCCAACATGCCTGCCGCGCTTGCACAAGACACGATAGCTTCTCTCCTCGCTTCGGTCTCCTCTACCTGTTGAACATGACCACTTTCGCTCGGACAATTATCCACATTGGCCGGCTGTTTCTCCTTCTGGCCTCCTGTGGCTGGGCAGCCGTGGATGTCGCCGGACAGTCGAAAGTGCCCGAGACGGTCGAGGTGGACTTGGTCTTCCCTCACAACGACACGTATGCACCAGTCGCGTTGATGCCGTTGGTCTTTGCTATTCAGAATTTCCCTACTAGTCGCCCGCTATTCCTACAGATTGACTTTGACATCTTCCACACTCCGTCGTGGAATACAACTGTACAACAGGGCATCATTTTCCTGAATCATGCCAACTACTCCAACAATGCCAGCACTATACATTTTGTCTACGACTGGACTACTCGGCTCAATAATACCGAGGGGAGCTGGGCAATGTGTTGGGGAGTTTATTCAGCAAACTGTACCGATACGGGCCTGGCACCTGGTCCTCTGAAACTCGATCCGAACTACCGGCGGAATCTCGTCCACTTCTCTACCAAACATGGTGCCCAGCAGCCCGATCTCGTTGCTGCTTCCAAAGACGGTGTATGCGACGAGACAACCGGAGTCATTTTCAACATTACTGAGGTGAAGGAAGTGTCGTGGTTCAATAGACATTCCGTGGACCATGACGTTTGCCCGATTCTTGCGCCGGAAGCCCCGAAGCCAAACCCTTGCTTGGCCAAGGTCAACACTAATTTTTTAATACTCGAACTCCTTATATATATACTTGAATAATTTACAACACATATATTTATTTACCCTTACTTATATTATAATATATTTACTCAATAATTAATACTTGGCAAGGCGTAAGCGCTTGTATTAAAAAGAGTAAGCCTGCTAAGTAATTTACTTTTTTCTTTCATTTCTTTTAGTTGTCCTCCATTCCTCCTTTTTCCAACCAAACAATCAGCTTAGAGCGGACAAGAATTCCGCTACCTTTTCAGAAGGGTTTATGCTGCCAAGCTGCGAAAAGAGCCAAATAGAAGAAATACGTGGACTGGTTCTGTATTTGTTCATCGGAGTACTTGTACCTGAGCAGAACTTCTTGCCTTTTATTACATCGGCCACAATGGCGCTGTTCAGCAGTGCTCCGAGAAGTGATGGCTCTGTTTGTAGAGGTGTAGAGTGGCGGCTTCGCATCCTGGCCTGAATCCGAGTATCAAGTAGATCCAAAAATTCCTTCCTGGCAAAGGCACTTATTGACACATACTGCACGAATTTGATTCGAAATCTTCCAAACCATGTATTTCTCTCCCGTATACGCTTAGGCTTCAAAACTCACAGACTATGGGAGCACCATCTCCCCCTTTTAGCCACATAGTCTCAGTCATCATATATGATGCCCGAGCCCTCGGTGACAGCACTGTTGATCTGGCTATCTACAGTTAAGCTGGTATCTGAAGGCGCCACCAAGACAGTCAAAGCGGACTGGAAGTCAGTCCTTCCCAGCAGCAACTGGCCATCTAGCTCATTGTTCGCCGCAACAAGAACCGTCTTTTCCTTCTCAGTAAGCTCATCTAGAACAATGAACAAGTTGTAATTCATCTCTGATCCACCCGGGAAGCGACTGCGCACAATGGCATCGCATTCAACGGCCGAGGCTCCAAATAGGACGGATGGCACTTTAGGCGCTGAATCTAGGTGCGTGTCTGCTTTACCCGAGTGAAATGGTGCTTCGCTGATGGAAGTAACAAAGGCCATGGAGGGTCCTGCGATGTCTTCGTCGCCCCAGTCCTGGTCACAAGTCTCTTTGAGGAATTGGTTTAGAGTCTAAGGAATTATCCCAGTCAGCTATAGAGCGGTGGTGATGAATATGCCAACAACTCACCTCGAGGCTGATTTCTGCGGTTTGGAAGATGGGAAAGTAGGGAATGTCCGTGTCTGGATTTTCTGGCCCGCTACCTCCGTCCCAGTTTTCATGGGGAGGGTAGTCGCCGACATTTATACGGTTGGGTCTGGATCGAAACTCATCCACCCGTTGCTTGCTCCAAACTCCGCCAACCATTGCGGCTTCATTTCGCAGGTCGCGTATAACTTTTTTGAGCTGATTTTCTGAAGCTGCTTCGATGGCTGCGAGGCCGTGGGTGGCGGATGCTAGTTCACACCGGAAAGCAATTTGGATTTCATTACTCTGCTCGTCTTCTCGTCCATCTACTGCGATTTGGCAAGTTTTCCCATCTTCCGCTGTCGTCTCGTCAAGAATGACGAACGATTTATGGCTAATGTCGCCATGTTGTCTCGACTTGGCTGCGTCCATAAATTCACCGAGTGAATCGTAGGCATCTGGGAGATCTGCGGTGAAGGGAGTTGCGAACGAGTCAAGCTTATCGTCATCTCGGTTCGATATCAGCTCTGATAGATCCCTTTTGGCTACCAGTACGAGTACATCGTGGGAGAGGAGGTCCCTCAAGGCCTGGTAACGGTTAGACTCAGACTGAACTTGAGGTGCTCAGTGCGACAAACTTGGGAATCGATGTCTGCAGTGCAGACAATCGGGAACTTGACGTCTCGGGAGGACCGGCTGCGCAATGTAACACCCATGATCAAGGAGGTACGAGAAAAGATTGTCCGTGTGATTACTTTTCCAATAGAATCGGATCGGTATTGGATGGCGATTTCGTTTGTTGGATGATGTTTCGCTGAGTTGCGTTGGTTGACTTGACATTTGTTGTACGAGCCGCAGAGCGGAAAGCGGCGGCGCAAAGACCATTTTATACACTGTGCACAGTGGACCATTGATTATGTTGCATTTATGATTTATGCAAGACAAATACACCACGTCATACGCCTTTGTTCATCTTGAATAAATGTGGAGAAGCATGTCTGCTGAAAGTCGCGAGCGACATGATGACAATCTTGTTGCACAACCAGCCCCCAAGTGGCTGCACCCAACATAGGACACACTGTCTCCTTCGTTCCTGGGTCTCGGTCATACCAAAGGATTTAGATCGACCTGCAAACTGGGGTAACTAAATGGTTGGTTGCGCTGTCACCGGCGTCTCACTTGTGACGTGTGTCACGGCTGAAGCTGAAGCTGACTGTGCTGTAAGCATTGATGTGGCACCATGATCGAGATCGTCAAATAAAAATAATTGCTCATTGTTGACACATCAATGGATGTGGTGTTTGACCCTTGCATACTTGTAGTCCGTCATCGTCTCTGTTCCTTGGGGGCCGACTGGAAATCAAGCATGAGTAGTAGATCGAGAACGAAGGTTCAACTTACTTCAAGCCAACATCCAAGTTAATCCGCCTTCAGTCTACTGAACCTACCTACATCCCGCCATCTTACTTGAACTTGACATGTATGAGCTTTTGAGAAGCATCATTGAAGTACTAGTTGCGCACGGAATTTATAAACTCACAAAACGAATATGCGCAACTAGTCCCCTTGTATTCCATTGGTATATGACAGCCATTGCTTATTTTATCTCGATAATGGAAGTTCGATTCAAAAATGAGGTTGCACTACTGCAAAGAAGAAAAATACACCCAGCTAAGTGTTTTTAGCTCAAGTAGGTGATGAGAAACGAACCACCTGTTGCTTGCCGTTTCAACAGGCCTGACACTCTTGGCTGGCCATTCTAAGAGCCTGTATCAAAACAAGTTCTGGTAGAGTTCATTGTCTATTCATCGTCCTCAATCTCGAGGTCATCCTCTCCATCAACATCTCGAGCCTCCACCTCACCATCATCCTCGTCAAAGTCCTCCGGAAGTTCAACATCGTCAGGAATATCACGGCTTGAGACCCAAGCGCTATCCCCATCTTCAGAATACGACCCGATGTCACGAACAACCTTGGGGCTGGCAGCCAACGTCCAAGGGCCATTAGGGCCGCCAGACACAAACTGGTGACCATCGTTCTGGCACTTGGGCTTTGGACCACACCAGTCTTCGGAGAGCTTGCTGATCTTGTCCCACTTTGTGTTCCATTGCTCCCCGTTCTTACTAGTAGCAATACCTCTAACCTTGCGTCCTTGTCCTGTAACGCCGCATTAGCTTCACACTTGCGTACATGGTGAGAGGGATGGCAGGTTCTCACTCTGCTGCTCTTTACCAGGCACGCATCGAAGAGCAACCTTCTTGGCGAAGTCACTTTGACCTCCCTCTTTGGAGGATGCATAAGGATACTCGTCAGGGGAGTTGCCTCCCTTCCAAGCCCAACCCTTCTTCTTGCAAGGGTCCTTATCGTAACCCCATTTCTTGCGGTTACCATCACCGTACTTTTTGGCATTAGCCTTGGTTTGACCTCCGCCGTGGAGGGTTGCAGAGTTCTTTTGACATTTGATTGCCCAGCAGGTATTGAGACAAATTTGCGGTGTCTTTTCACAGTCGTAGACTACGCCTTTAGCGGCGGCTGAGCCGACAAGGAGAATAACTGCTGCAGCGAAAGGGACGTGCATTGTGAATATGGGCAGATTTCGAATGAGCAAAAACTTGTAATGGCTTGGGTTGAGTGTCTGGATACGCAGAAGGCAAGTTTTGGGGATTTAAGACGATTAAATACTTTTACGACTTGCAAGACAATAAAGCACTTTAGCCATGAGATACCTGTCCCATAAGATAAGTCTTACTTGCATATACTGAGTCAGAAAACAGCCAAGGCGCAAACATACCTCGATTATTTTTGTATGATCTGCAAGCGATGGCTGACTGAGCATTTATTAAGGGCTTGAAGCTGCGGTCTTTAGCCTATGAGGATATTCTATTGGCCGGGATTCTCAAACATGAATGCTGTGGGATTGAAAGGAATCCCTTGAATCCTTTTCTGGTTACTTGGGGGCGAGCTGCAAGTCCAGGTAGTGCAAGATCGAAGACCTATTGACACCATCGATGAGTTGCACGCATCTACAGCTCTGACGTATTAGGTCTGAAGCTTAACTATTAGGTGGTCTTATGCTCTCTTACAGAAAAATTAATCTTTTCAGCAAAGATGGTATCAGGAGTCATCACGAATCAACATTTTACCTTTCAAAAACCAGATATTCCTGGCGCCGAAAAATCGCTCATCCTCCATGCGGTCGCCATTCGTAACACGAAACTGATCACGCAGTCCCGCATTGTAAATCTCACGTGCATTAGTGGCTATGCATGTAAGCTGCATAACCTGTAAGACCCTATTTTCAGATTACTTCATGAGGTTGACTGATTTAGAGAAATGATGCAGAGGGGGGAATATTTAGACCAACTGCAACAACGGTTCTGATATGATCAAGTACGTCATACCCTGGCGCCATATTGTAATGGCCACTGCGGTAGCATCAGTAAGCCTCATAGCTCAAAACAAAGTCATCATTGCCATGACTGAGTGCCAGCATCACATAGGCAAATGATTATCGGCGGATCATCGCTCCCGCCCAGGTACAGCTTTCTGGCCCCCGAATCCCACAGTCAGCGACGATCACAGGATCGAGTCGAATTCCCAACTGAGGAGACTATCATGGCATGTTTGTTGCGCTGAAACAGCATGGAAATTAAAATTCAAGGGTCATGACACGAGTGATAAATAACTTCCAAATACGGCGATGATTTACTTCCCTCCAGCAGAGCTTGTCAGCCTTGTCTTTTAAAAGCAGAAACGTCGTACCTCAGGGAAAGTAGCCCAGCTGAGGAGCATTCAGCTCTGCCGGCACGCCGAACCGAGTTGCTGCATAGGAAATTCCTCCCCGTCATAAAACGGATATCCAGCACGTTGGGAACCGTAACTAACCACGCAATACACCATGAACCTCCTTTTATTATAACAAACTTATAATTCGCTCATGAAGCCTCCGAGTCTCTTGCCATTTTATTTCCGTCGAATTTTATAAATTATCAGGCCATATCCAACGAAAAAGGACCGCATTATTAGATCCAGCGTCTGGTGGCAAACAACCAAGCCGTATGTTTATAGAACACTTCTCAAGCATCGGCTAAATTACATTCCTGAGTAGAATAAGGTAATTGGAGGACGCTGTCGATGGTCCCTTTCAGCTGTGGCTACCCCCTTCGGCTCGGACCCCATCCATCACCGACGCCGACCTGCCTCAATTCTTGATGTCGGACGGCTCGGCCGCCGAAACTATGCAGTAATCACCTCACGCCCGAATAGAACTCTCTGCATTTGGAGACTAAGCATCCCTGGTTCCCCTAAAACAACTCCTTGGCACTGGCAGCGACAAAGTGGACGGAATAGACGAGCGATCCAGCCACCGAGTAATTCGTCCGCCCGCCGGCAGATCCGCTTGCTCATGCACCGGAATTTTGTCTATCATCATTTACCGTATGGTTATCGCCGCCAAGAACGGTACATGATTCGTGGTCTAATCCATAGAATGACGGCCACGGCTTACTCGGACAAGTTATGATTCTGTGCCGCAGTCCGATTGGAGAGGTTACTGCCACCTCACTGAACAGACATGAATGGCAGGCGATTAGCTACTACGTGCATGTCGACGTATTTCAGAATTCGTAGACAGCTGCCAACTCATTAAAGGGGCCCTGCCGCCGAGTATAATAGGGTTACCTTGCCACCACTGAAGACAGTTTCTCAGACTCATCGTAGAGCTTTGTTTGCAAGATTACATATCCACCATGCGCCTTTTCGTCAGTGCTACGCTCTTCGCCGTTGCGGCTGCTCGTGCTTGTCCCGGGCGGATTAGTTGTTACTCACCGCCACCCGGAGATGTGAACATCTCGTCATTTCAACTGTATCCGGAAAACGCATGCTTTGACCCAAAAAGATGCGTCGCATATTTGAGGTAGGGCCGAGTTTCTGAGACGTACCACGCACGTATTAATGTTCGCAGCGTTCTATTCAACGCTTCAGTCGCAGTCTATGATCCAGCCAAGAATGACGTGACAAACGTTATTACCTTCCCGGGTCTAACTGGCAACCCTGCTTTGCATGCCACTGGAGTACGAGTCGATCCACTGGATCGTCTCTCTGTGGTGATTAACGCTGGAGCCGCGTTTGACACCCTCGGGAAAGATATATCCGGCGATAGCTTCCTCGTCAAGTACGACTTGAAGACGAGGCAGACAGTCTTTAAGGCAAACTTGACAGCCGTTTCACACGGCTTATACGGCGGGTTCCAAGACGTTGAACACAATAAGGAGGGAGACTCGTTTGTGTTGGGAACCTACGGCAGCAGCATAATCCGAGTGAGCACCGATGGCAAGCACATCGTCCCATGGTTCGTCGGTACCACTCCAACTTCCAACGTTGGCTTTACTGGTCTCGCCACAAGCGGCCACAACCTCTTTGTTGCAGACCAGACGGACGGGCAACTGTACCGCTTCGACACTCGTCGTGAAAGGGGAGAGCCGGTCCGAATTCCCCTCGGCCATGGTAATGAGACTATTGGGAAGGACCTTGACGCCGTCTACATGCCGCCGCGGTATAATGGCAGAATCATCCTTGTCTCTGATCTTAATCTCGGCACTGTCGTGCTTCGTTCGCGAGACGCGAGCTGGAATTCTGCCGAGAGGCTGGGGAGCATTCCAAGTCCTTATCACGACCAGGGTGGGATTTCGGTTGCTACGGTGCAGATTGGAGACAGGATTTACTCTTTGAATTTGTTCTTGGGTGAAACAAATACGGTCCCTGATGGAGACGACACAAACAGGACAGACAATCCATTGCAAGACATCTCGGCCGAAGTCGAGAGGCTGTCTTTGTTGTGATGCCGGTTTTTCTTGTCCAACAGCGGCGGTTTTTGCGGGTAGTATATGGCTTAGTTGCCGTACAAGGCTACTTCTGTTGCTTCAATACGCGGATTCGACAGAATTGCTGGATATTATTGAATCCCTGTGACCAGATGTTGGAAAGGCTAGCCAGCCACACTGCTGACATTGGGTGGCTATGAAACCATTTTTAATCGATTTCTCGCAGGATAGAAGTAGGAGTAATAATACATCTGTGGGAAAAGCTTACTTAGTTGGTAGCAAGTCTCACAACGTCACATCAGTCTCCAAACACCATTAGAAACCAAATCGTAGAGAAAAGACCCGTGGTGTGACAAGGGTTCAACAAGAAATGCTTGGAGCAATAGCTAAATTCATCTAATAACAGTCTTTGGTATCAAAGGTCCTTGGTTTCCCTCAAGGCCTCGCTGACCAAAGACGTGTTTAAGTACAAGAAGTCAGTGATGGACTTTTCCCTAGGTCCCGTGATCGTAGCCTTTGTGTAACCGTGTGACATTAGGCCATTTCTGTGTGACACGTGGCTTGAAAACCCGTGAGGTTACCGGCAGCTACCTGCCCACATACCCTTTAACGGAGAAAATCCGTCTCAACACGGTACCTTTCATCTCCTTTCCACTCAAACACCACACTGGTCTTACCCCCTGGCACAAATTTACGAGATCCCAGGGAACTCGGACAGAGGAATATTCATCTCATCGAGTAAGTTGTTCCAGATGGAAATGGGCAGAAAACCGCTTTCCTCGTACAAACTTTGCATGCCAATCTGATCATCTAATCCGCCTTGGACACCAATAGTTCCGCGACTATCGCTCTGTGTAGAAGGAGAGGCCCCATCTAGTGCCAGGTTTCTATTCGAAACAGATCCCCTCATTGCCTCAGCATTCTTCTTGAGCCGCTGAAGAACAATATATTTCGTGTTGGAGCCCGACCCCCCTTCTCTAAGCGTCGATTCCTCAATCTCGAAAAGCCTGTAGACATTCTCCCACGCTCTGTCGGCGTTGGGTCCATCCGGCCGGACATACAGGTGCCACAAGACGTATAAAAGTACATGGTACTGTGGATAACTGCGAAGCCACCATCTATATTGAAGCAGGAGCTCGTCTGCCCAGAGCCCCATGTATATCTCTAAACACCGGCACGCCGTCACGATATTTTCTTCCGTGGTCATCACGTCTCTCTGCCCGGGATGGTCCATGTTGACCAGCTGCTGGCGTGTGACAAGGTCCACCTTGTGAACCATCAACAGCGCCAGTTGCATCGTCATCTTGTGCAACGGGATAGACGAAGAGCAAGAACTCGTATAGGCATGGACGGTGTCTCTCATGCGGTCCATCATATCCCGTCTAGCAAGCTCCTTGCTGTTCGAATCGCTCGCCGATGTAAACAAACTGTCCAGACGGTGAACTGTTTGTGTGATTTCCATATTGACAAGGTGGAGGCTCATCCTTGTCCACCCAGCCTGCGGCGGTGGCAGTTCCCTCATGTCAGGATGTAAGTCGTCGTCGTGTATGTTTAGAGGCAACTTTGTGTCGGAAGGCGGCAGCCAGCATGACGAACTGATGCCGTGGTCTTCCGCGGCCCGGTTGTCTCGGGCAAGCATGTGCCACCAAAGGCGCCGTCGGACCTCTGCCTCGAAGGGGCGTAACCCCAGGTTAGATCCGTCTCTGTGCAACCCTATTGACTGGGCGATTCTGAGGGCAAGCCCGTTCAGGATCCAGGAGCTTCGTCCGTGGCTGTGTGTTCTGCTCGCTGTCTGCAGGGCACTAGTCAGCTTCGTTGCGTGTTTGTTGCCAGTGGGCGATAAGATACATACCAGATATATTGCCAATCCCTGCAAAAGGAGCAACGTGGGGTGTTCCAAGATATTAGCTGCGGATAAGCTCCGCTGAAACTGATGTCTGAAATGACGCAAGGCTGTGAATCGATTCAAGCCGAGGACATGCTGGACCTCGTGGTCCTCTAGTGTTGATGTAGCGGCGAAATACACTGCCCCAAGAACAACTGAAGCATCTTTGGAGACGGCCTTGGGTTCTCGAATGGCCTCAAAAAACAAGACTTCAGCTGTTGGAATATGTAGTATCTTGATGGAGGGGTCGACATTTTGCGTAAATATTCGCCATAGCTCCACGGCTCCTCGAGTCAACAGCTGCCAACTGGTATTCGTGGCATCTGCTGCGATAGGAATCGACGGGGTGCCCATTAGACCAAGCAGTGTATCGCTTGCTTCTACTTGGTTTTCATGTTCACTCCTCGGCAAAAGCGACGGCTGGTCCTGATCCTTGCACAGCATTAGCCACACAGCCCAGATGCATCAGTCCAGTTCCCATTTACCTCCTCTATCGCACGAGTTGTGAATAGATCATCAAAGTACTGGCTTGAATTGTGGTTGTGGAGCAAGATTTTCGGTGACTGGCGCTCCTTGGGCCGCGGCTCATGGTCTGCAAAGGCCCGGCCTGGCTCCGACGGCTGCGTAGATGGGGTGGTGTCTATTGTTGCAGCCGTGATGGTCTTCTCCAAGCTGGACAGGCGGGACGCGACATCAGAAATGGTCGTCTTACGAACGCGGCCAACTGCCTGGTTGGAAGGTGGATATGCGCACAACGAGCCGTTTCGCGTACACGCCGAGCAAGGTGACCGTCTGTCGCATCGGACTTTTCTCCGGTGGCACACGACGCAAGACCGATCGTGTCGTCGGGGCGGACGCGCCGAGGTTGGCATGTGGTGCGGCGGCTGCGGCTCGGCCGTCCCATCCGTCACTCGGCCAGGGAACGAAACCATGCCGAGGGTGATGACAAAAATACATCACTGCAATGAGTGACTACGACATGGAGTGCTTGGCCGAGTGGCATCTTTGTATCGTGAACAGAGGTCGGGCTCGGCCAAGAATAGAGCCCGAGCCGAAGTGGATGACCAATACTGTTTCGGCACAGGTGGGAGGCGGTCGGATGACAAGCGGATATTCCAACATGGATGATATTGCTGTGAATTCCCGGCTAACTACTCTAGTTCTGGTGGACAAAAAAGCCATAAAGAGAGGAAGAGGACATGACTCGTAACGTCTCGTAGGTTGCCGACGACCAAACGAGATGCATGTAAATTGGGATGTATGGACACCACCTTGTCCACGATGAAGTTTCATCAAGGGAGGGGGGCGGGTGCCAACTGTAAACTCAATGGACTCGAGAGAATCATGTCCAAGAGTGGAACCTTTGACTTGTCCAATGTGACTGGACGCCCTTTGTCTTAGACATCTGCGCCCATTTGGTCCGCCTTGGATCCGGAAGTGGATCGCCGAAGCGGCCCCACAAGATGCGCATGTCGGACTCGGCGCCGGAAGGTGCGCCGACACCGAGGCATATGCCTGCTATAAAAAACAGCTGACTATACGGCTGTGCTTGGCAGCGCACGCACTGCTACAAATTTCGTTGGTACTCCATGGTAGTTCGGCGGCCGAAGCCTACAAGTTGGACAGTATTCCCAGTGCTACACACGTATGAGATTCACAGTTGCCTCGACACACGTGCCCCTCTCATTTCGTAGCCGACGACTGACATAAAACGTTCCTGCGGTTACTGGAAGAAGCGAAATAAGCTATTAAGTAGGTACTCAATGGCACAGGCTTACGTGCCACGGCCTCTGTAACAAAACTAGCTGACAACAAGAAGAAAATGGTCCCAGTGACAACGGTTATTCAAGATATCGACGCCCCGATTGGGGAGGTTTGGGCTATTGTTTCAGCATGGGGCTCAGAGAGGCTTTGGTTTCCAAACATTATGACGTCAAGTGTTGAAGGCTTTGGAATTGGAGCAGTGCGCACATTGACATTTAAACCGGGAGAATTCACAGTCTCGGAGAGACTGGAAAGCGTCGACCCCCTCACACATACGATTTCCTACGCTCTTGTACGAAACCCCGACCACCATAGGGCTAGGAATCCTAGGGGGAGGATTGTTTTGGACAGCCTTGCGGCTACGAAAACAAGATGCACATGGTCCTCCGAGGCGGAATGGGTTAGCGAGGACTTCAAGGCTGACTTTGCCAAATTTATTCACAGCATGTACAGTGAGGCTATTGATTCCATTGGCAGACTGCTAGCTACTTGATAGCATGGATGTCGGCCGGTATCATCACGTGCATAAGATAGGCGCATTGGCTGAATCTTTTGTTCATGAGCTCAAAACTCTCAAGAGAAACTGTGAATTTGCTAGGGCTGCTGTAAAAGAAGTCTTATTTGTCTGTTGATATATTAGCGTACAGAAATGTATTTCATAATTCGCAGGATATGGGATTCTAGCTCATTCCCTTGAATAATATCGATGTGCAGCACAAGTTATTGAAAACACAGGGGATAAGGCAAGGCACCATAACATTAGGAAATTACAACACGCACACTAAAACTAGACAAGGCGATGAGGTTTTCCGACTCGCCACTCCCCTATCCTCTCAAGCATTTCTTACAGCCGAGGGTGTATGCAATCTTTGCCGGGAACTTGTGCGCGTCTCCGGACGACACCAAAACCCGGTCGTCACGTCTCCAAAGTCTATCCAGAACCCCACGAGGAATAAATCGTCGCGTCATGTGCAAGCAGTAGCAACCACAGCCGCGGGGGGTCATTCCACTCTGCGCGGGCTTTGGCATGGAACTGGCTATCGTATTTAGCCTCTCAAAATCCAGCTGTAGATGTAAGCCAAGTCGAAAAAAGACGCAATGGAGTCAACCGACGCCAATATTCGATTACTCGATACAACGACCGACGCCCATTCTAGCACATATCTCAACGTATCTAATATCCCACGGCCAACCCTTATGACTGTTCTCTCCCCTCACATTCCGCAAGTGCTCGTAGAATCTCGTCTCTGGACTACATATAGTCTCGTATTAGCCCCGGCCTGTCTGGTGGCAACCATCGCAACGGCATGCTTACCGTGTACTGGGACGCGATGACAATCGACCAGTTTGGTTTGGTACCAATTGGTTTCTTTGACATCCCGGGCATGTTAGCGCCTACTCCCTTGGATATTTTACAGCACAAAGAGCAGCTCACTCGTCTCTCCAGGCATCGCATAAGCTTATTCCGGACCTCCTGAATGGTATTGGCAGTGTCGGAATATCCCCTAATATCGGTCGAGCCAGCGAGTGGGTGGGCAATAGCCAGTCCCGCCATAACGGCGATGAGAGCAATTGGACTCTTCATGTTGATAGCTTGACGACCGAGATACAAGATCTGTGTGGGAGTATCGTTTACTCGGTATTAGCGTCCCAAGTCAAGTTGTTGAATACAAAGTACGTGTGTCGTGTCCACGCAAAGGTTCAAATTTGGGAGGGGCTTTGGTTCTCTTTATACGGTCCACTTGTTTTGGACAAGTGGTCTTCATTCCCATGGACTCTAGAATCTTGTTACCGGCCTCCATAAAGCGCAGAGCCTAGCCTTTGACGCGGCAAACGTACAAGTCATGTACCTGCATCTGTAGATGGCGTGAGGGCGTCCACCAATCCTGGAGCCTGGCCTGCCGTCAATGATGTTTTTTTGTAGCAGAAGCGACGATCTAGAACCTGGGTTTTACGTTGGATGGGCGCAACTCTCTGCCCATTTGACGGTCGATCCACACATCTCGTCATTATTTATTTAGCATCTGTCAACGAGTCATCAATTGCGTCTTCTACCACAAGTTGGGGCATAGTCACAGAGTTCAGACTAGGACTAGTCACGAGGGTGAAATTAGAAGCGAGCTAACAAATCTACTATGCATGATAGTAGTCCTTTACTCCTTTTTTTTTAGGAGACTACCCCGTTCTTGCAACTCGTCAGCACGCGGGCTCTACCTTGTTTAGTAACATGCAAAGGCTTCAAGTGCAGTGGGACGCAAAAGTATTCGACCTGAATCGGTGCCCAGCTATCCCATCCAAGAATGAGAAGCTATTATCTGGGAGCCCCTACGCGTTTACCCTCCCGTCGGCAACATCTTTTCTCGCGACGTGCCGGCGGGCGGTGACATGGTGACCATCTGCACTCACAGGCATTTCAGCAAGCAAGGAAGTTTTAACTCGTTTCAATGGTCAATGGTGAGTAGGTCTCATAACCGGGTCCACAACCTCAAATATAGCCCGTGACAAATATAAAGTGTTACCGCAGAAGGGAGTTTCACGTCGACTCACGAGCCATACTTGTCCAAGATTATTTAACTGTAATATACAACTACACAATAGATGTAGTGCAAGTCTCTCTAGTAGCCCGTCATCGTAATAAAGAAACCGCCAGCTTTGTCTCATCTGAGTCGACATTCTCATCTGGTTCCCATGCCATTCAATTCTCTCGCTTGCGCCAGCACATCCCTCGGCTCCTTCTACATTTCAACTCCGTAGTTTTCACAGGCAGCTCAACAGGGGCTTCAGCTTGTCCAAGACCTTCTGCTGCGCGTCCGCATCGGCCGTTGTCTTATCGCTCGCATCCCCCACACTAATCGACACGGAACAAGGCGTGCTCTGATGCACATGCAGCTCCGAAGGCAGACGCGAGCCACCACACCAATTGACGTCGGGGGTCGAAAAAATGCCCGACGTGATGCGACTAAGAACGTACTTGACGTCCGATGCCTTGGAGCAGCTCCCACCCGCCACAATCTTGGGCATGTTGACATTGAGAAAGACGTCCTTGGGCAGGTATGGCTCTCCCGCGTCGATGATGCTCTGGGTAATGTTTGCGGAAATCTCGGCAAAGACGGCGCTCTCCAGCGAAGCCGGCGTGTTCCAAGGGTGAGTGTCCGTGTTTGCCCCGGAAAATGCAATGGCAGGAATGCCAGCGTCGTGAGCGGCATAACAGGCAGCGCCGACGGTGCCAGATACCCAGTCGACCAGCCAGAGGTTTGCGCCCACGTTGGGCCCCGTGACGACGAGCTCCGGCTTCGCGCCGCTCCAGAGCTTGGGGCCGATGCTGTCGATGCCGTAGCGGGCAGAAGTGGCCGGGAAGGAGTTTACCCAGTTGAGATCTGGGCGAGTGGCGTTGGACCCAACGGGGCCAGAGTTGGCTGGGCAGCTATCGTACATGCATGGGTCTTTGCGCGGTTGAGGGTCTCTGTCCAGGGAGCCTGACGGTCGCCGTGAGCCATTAGTACACGATGGTTACGTTTGAGCGCAGGAGAGTCTGTCTGGTCTGGTGGACAAGCAGGAGTTGGCGCGGAGCAGGGGCGCGAGTCGAAACCTCAGTTACCTCTGCCTGACTGGTTCTCCGCAGGAGCGGACAAGACGACTTGATGTCCCAGGGCATTCAAGGCGTCATTGAGGACGCGAAGATTCCCCTCGGCCCAACCATCATCGTTGGTCTGGATAATGCGTATGCCGTGCGTAAAGGGGAGAGCAAAGGCCGCGAGCGGGGCCGCGATGTGTTTCAATGATCTCATGGCGACACGTGGCGTGGCCAATGTAGTAGCAGCGGACCGGGAAAGAGACACAAAAACGACAGAAGGAGCTCTTCTTGATGCGAAGCAAATAACGAGTGGACAGGAAAGGTAGAGGGCCTCTCTGATACAGGATGAAATAGGACATCAATTGATGGTGCTGATGCGTCGGGATGGAAGATGTCGATCGAGTAAGTGCTGCCCTCCCACGTGCCTGCTCTCACTAGTCTCTTTAGATACAGGCACAGACAATTGATTGGTTGCAAGAGACGAAGCGCAATTTGCCACCAATCAGGTCCGTGCCCAGACAAATTATGTACATGCGCATAAGTTATAACAGTTCTAACCACATGCCGCTCGATTATTGGATAAAGGTACTGTATATCGGCTCATTGCTAGATTTGGCTCTACTCACTTGCATAGATATGTCATGATGTATACTCTGGCTCTACTACGATTGACGTGATCATGATGGTCCCTGGATAAATGCATCTCCACCGAGCTGCTTTGACAACAGTCACCATGTCCGTGCGCTCACCTGTTTCTTCAGGTCAACTGGTCCGCAGCGTCCTGAACAAAAACCGGAGCCGTGAAAAAACCTTGGCCAGCTGCGCCGGAAAACTGTGCCGGGCTGACATTAGGAACCAGCCTCGGCCCAGCACCGCGGTTAAGGCCCGCCGTCCCTATCAAGTCTGGTCAGAGTAACTCATCGCGTCCCTAAGAATGCTTAATCAGAGTGACTCGTAGTGGTCCATAAAGTGTATCTTGACCCATGTTCTTATCAGATATATACTTGCATATATTAATATACTTGACGTATTATATTAAGGACAGTCTACTAAGATTGCATTTTAACGTTACTTGGAATGGCTCAAAGCTTTATTTACGTTGGCCGAGTATTACGCTCCGGAATAGAGGAATAAGGCTGTGTATAGAAGCTGCTTTTGTAACTGGTTTTGGTGGTTCCAACCTCACGCCGCCACTCAAGAACACACATCGCCATGGTAGTCTTGCTAATGAGTCAAGACCATATTCATCAAAAACACTTTCAAAACAAACTCCTCCTCCACCTAGATCAGCTTGGCCAAGGACCCCTTCAACAGCATGAGATTGAAAGTATTGACCTATTTCTTGGCACCAGGCCGAGGCGGAATACTCGGGTCAGAGTACGGCAAATTTGCATGGAACACAATCAATGAAGCGTGGTGGACGCTGCAATTTCTGTACAGAAAGACCTCTGCTACTGTGCCCGGACCACGTAGAGCTCCCCGTGCTGACGCAACTGCCCAAAGCCTTTGAACCGCGGCGGCACAGTCCTTCACCCTCCTATTCCATCATGTGGCACTTCTGAAACCTGTGTCTGGTGCATCTTTTACAGTCTTTGTCTTGTGGATCCTTTGAGCCTTTGTCTGCGCAATCTCTTACAATCTTCATCTCCCGTGAATCTTTGAGAGCCTTTGTCTAGACTCTAGTGGGCCTCTTGCAGTCTTCATCTACCCATTGTGCTTTTAAAACCTTTGTCTCGTCATTCTTTCAGCGTCTTGGTCCGTCAGACCTTTGTCACTATTGTCTGCTAACTCTTTTAAAACTACTGGCTTTATTCTTATGGTTTGCACATCTTTGTACGGTAGGCACCCGGTTCTGATTGTGTTTGCGTCAAGTCATGAGCGCAGTCGATTTAGGAGATCAGTCTAGAGTAGTATTTAATGGCAGGGTATCCCAGAAGAGAGCTAGCCAGAATCCAGACTATCTCTTTACTTTATACTGTCTGATATTATCGCCCTTTTATCCTCTTCGCATTCAGCAGAAACAGAAATCTAGTTTCCTGCTTGAATACACGCACCGACTCTGTGATATATTTAACGCCTGCCATAAATATCAATCCCTCGATAAACGCAAATTACAATTTTGGTATAAAGAGGAAGATGGGTACGAAGAAGAAGGAGACATTGAGAGATGTAAGCCGTTTCATTACTTTTCGATTTTTACAATAACAACCTTCAGAGTGCTAATATGCTATGGTATCGGAATAAAAGAAATGGGGACGGAGCCTTGATATCGTTATAACGACGGGTGAGGGGGGGGACAGGCACCCCATTAACTCTCTGGAAGGGTGCGAGGGCTTTGAAGACGTCTACACAACGGAAGAACAGGAGGATCAAAGTGTGACATTGAAATTGAAACCGAAAGTGCCTCCAGGTGTGAATCCTCAAGCGATGTGGCACAAAGTCGGTAAACATCTGAAGGAGAAAGGCTATGCACCCGATTATGGGGTTGAGTACGGTAACAAATTCGTCTTTGCAGGAGAAGACTACAAAAAAAATAGAATGTCTATACGCTGATGGAAAAGGCGATTTGGATGCCACACGGACAATCGATTGCGGAAATGGCGCGGAAGGTGGACGAGGCTATCTGGTGGAATTTTGAGATGGCTTTGAACAAGAGCAGAGATTCAAGGTACAATGTGGAATCTTGTTCTGGGCCTATCGCGGATCTCTGTTCTTAAACATGCCAAGGCGGACGGTAAGGCGGGCCTCTACCACCACCGACAATGTGTTGTATCTTACTCTCTCACGACTATGGCGTTGTTGTGGCTAGATGCATAGGTAATCAGCCAGATAAATAACCTACCTGACATCTTCAATCGCTAATCTCCAACAACAATTCCCAGTAATGGTCAAGGCTCAGCGGTAATAAAGTCAGTACAATTCCTAACAAATGTCATGGAGCAGTCAAAGGTTAGTAGTAGCTATTTGTGCGGGCCAAATCAAGTGAAAGGGGCTAAACATGTTGGCCATGGCGTGGTATTCCTCAAGGAGAAGGGTGAGGTACTTCTCCCTCGCGGCCGTCATGGTCAGGATGATAGCCTCGCCGGCCGACCCGTAGATAACACCGCCTCGCTGCTTCGCTCCGGTGCTGTGAAAGCACTCTGGTAGCCTTGGGGCCTTGGCAACCCAGTCCAGAACGACACTCTTGAGCTCCGTGGCGGTCTATCGGCGCCGAGTCCGGCAAGAGCTCACCGAGGTGGCCTGGTTTAACGGGAGACACGACTCGACGACTCTCGATGGAGTCGGCATAGTCGGCCACTCTGAGGAGAGAGACGCGGCGTGACTGGCCAGCATGATCAAACAAAGGCACACCTGCCGCAATCTTTCTTGTTAGTGTCTAGCATCAGCATCATGACCAATTCAAATGGACATGTCCGCCCTTCCCCCCTAAGAGAGTGGCACACCACACGGCAGACTCCACGATGGCATCGCAGGGTTCAAGACCTTGTGCCGTGCTTGCCGCCGTTTTGCACACACGACTGCGTCGGAGTGGAAGCTTCGAGAAATATAGTCATCTGCATGGACCTTGGGCACGTCCGGTCCTTTCCAAGACTATTAGTCCCTACTAATCACGACTTGCGAAGCAGCGGCTACTTAGTCGAGGTTCGAGTGCGGAGCGTGTGGGGTTTAGGTAAATAAACTAGGCGCGTTAGAACTGAAGAAGTATACTCACGGAACGCTCGCGGGTTAGAGAACTAGTTGACATAATAATTACTCCTCATCTCTGGACATTTTCTCCTTCTACTTCTTCTTTGATTATAGCTAGTTGGTAGAGAAATCTAAATAGGGCAGTTGTATACTTATAGTACTTGTGTATTCTAAAATTGATAACTGTACCTTGCTAAAGCCTATTTGTCTTAGTCTTTTAATTTCTGCTCTTGTCCGCTTATTCTCTTTGCTACGATTTCTCGTGTGTGGATGTATTACTAACTTTTGTGCAAAATTAGCTTCATCTTGATAGTAAACAGCTAGGGGCTAGCTAGTTGAGTCAACTCGCTAGAGGCCTTTCACAGGAATTAAAATCGGCACTAGATAAAGGACTATTTTTAACCCATCTCAACCTTATCAGATCTTCTTTACATAAAAGTCAAAGTTATTATCACGGGGCGGCGTTGCATCCTCAAGGTGCAGCGTTACAACTCCCATCTCAAGAATAGGATAGATATTCACTTTTCCGTCAACAATATCGTTCTCCGGTTGGTTCTCAAGCGAATGCTTTGAGCGATGTACTTTCTTCTCTTGACAGCAAGCTGGGAAACTCTTTATCACTATAGAACCACCATTGTCTTGGTTAGGTATTGAAATACTCACTAATACTTTAGTTTGGAGCTTTGTCGGAAAGTCGCCCGAGGGCGGCGGCTTGGCCTCTTCGGGCTTCTTGCTCACTCGGGCTACCTGGAGACTCAATTAGGGTCGCTTTTCAATCATAGACAAGAGCTCTGATACGCACCCAGTTTCTGTAGAGCTGCAGCTGGGTGATGACTTTGTTGTTTAGCTTATCTCGGTCGCTTGGACCATTTGTATAGTGATCCGAGTCGACTAGGTGGGAAATTTAGCTGAATACCTGGTACATTCGTGAAATTGGTGCCATCATACTTGCTCGAAGCATATTCTGAACAACGAGACACTTGGTAAAATCGTTAAAAACAGCCCAGCTCTTCATGGAATAAGTCAGCGAAAAGATGAGTTGGAGCTGAATTCTTTCAAATACGTACCCGATCTTTAGCTTCCGTCTTCAATTTCTACAGTCTCTTATAATCGGCGCTCTTGATTCAAGTCTTACAACACAATTCACACACTCTCTCCACCAGCATGGCCTACAAACAATGGATTGGCATCAAGAACCGCAGTCGCCTGCGCAGGAGTGACATTCGCATCAAGGACGCCAAGCTCGAATCGTAAGCAGCTCTTCCCCATCATCAATCTTAGCCTTTATGTGACCCAATTGAGCCTTTGCAGCGGCAAATTCTATCGCGGCAACAAGGACAACGGGATCGGCCCGAGCGAGATCAACAAGATAGTCATCGCGCCGCAGTCCGAGGCCTCGGTACATTCATGCGGGCGGTCGGACGCGGACATCGGTACCGAGGGCCAGTACACGCTGGACGAATGGAACGTCACGCACGAGACCAAGATCTACCGGGTGTATTGGAGCGCGCCATGGGGTGCGCACTCTAACGTGCTCAGCATCCTGGACTGGGACCCCAACACGTCTGATTACTCCGTTATCAAAGATGATGTGCAGCAGGACTCGACGATTGGAAATGTCGAGGTTGTGATGGCCAAGTTGGCATGAGATGGAACGTTCATGGGACCCGACTTGAGTTGGATCGTGGCTGGCTCATGGTGGAATAGATGAATAAACGATGAGAGGTGAGAGCGCAGCCAAGCCATTTTTGGGCCTATCCAGTTATAATATTAATAAACTTTACCGAGTCTGGTAAAATTTTCTTCTTATGAAATTTACTTTTTATAAAATTTACTTCTTTAAAAACTTACTTTTTACAAAATTCACTTCTTATAAAATTTACTTTTACAGTAACCTTAATATATGATAAAGCATAGCAATGAATCTCTACACGTAATAGTATAATTTGACGAATTTACTCTCTTGGTTATAACTATCAGACTCGTACTCGTACTCCAGCAGCCGCAAAAGCACCCTTGCCGTCCAGGGAACCTTGCATAGTATTTGACATATAAAGAGACTACCCCATGCGATACGAGTTTGTTTGGCAAATGCAAAGCTTACTGCAGATATAATCGGATGAAAATGATGACCATATCTCAACTTCTCAGCAGCTTGTTCTTTTTTTCAGCGTTTCTCGGATGGCCCCTTTCTATTCAAGCTCGATCGATAGAGCGGGCTGCCTCTGGTGACCATGTCGAGAAGGAAAAGATTCTCCAACAGACGTTTGACAGCCCCCGACCATTTTTTGCTATTGCTCACCGAGTCCTCATGGACTACGGCGTTCGAGACGCTCTCAACCACAGCGCTAATGCCCTTGAAATCGACATGACGGCTTGGAGTAGCCAGTGGTATGCCGATCACGATGGGACGCTTACCTCTCGAGGCGACACAGCAGAACACATGTTTAGTGCCATTGCACAAGAGCGGCGTGCTGGCAAAACCGCCATATTTGTCTGGTTTGATCTCAAGAATCCCGACTACTGCGACGACCGCTATCCGGCGTGCAATATCGAAGCGCTGAGAAACCTAGCCCGGGATATTCTACAGCCTGCCGGAGTGAAGGTGTTGTATGGGTTTTACAGCTCGCAGACTAGCGGGCGGGCATACCAGGTCATCAGCCAGGGCTTAAACAGCAATGAGGCAATTGGTATCGACGGGAACGTGGCTGATGCCAACCAAGTTTTTAATAGTAAAGGTCCGGCCTCTATCAAGAACCGAGTCTATACCAAAGGACTTTTTGATCCGGCGTGGAACTTTGGCAACTGCGAAAGTAGTGGCAATCAGATTTGTCCACAGCTCCGCGAGGGTGCTCAGTCGAAAAACTTTGGCAAAGTTTTTGGATGGACGATTGCGGAAAACAACGGAAAACAGGCAGACCAACTGATGGGCGTTGGTGTGGACGGTCTCATCTACGGATTCGTGGCCACGCATTACTACGATCATGCTGACACGAGGGCTGCAAGGAAGATTCTTGCAGATTGGCTTTCTAAGAACCAAGACAAAGCCTATCTTGCAACCCTGACGGACCAACCTTGGTGAGTTCTATGATGAGTTCTGCTGCACAACTTGCAAGGAGATGGAAGTCATACAATTTGGGTTTAGAGACAAGGCGTTTGTACTTGAATGAAGTAGTGCAAAACGGCAAGCTGCCTAATGACATGTAGTCATGCTCTGTCCAAGTCTGTCAAGATCAGGTCGCAGCCCAAGCTGTACCATACAATGGTGCTGTGCGACACACCTGCCAAGTTTTCTGCCCGGTATTTCGCCTGGGACGTCATAAAGGCCGCTGTAAAGTTTGTTTCCATGACCTAATTCATCTCCCTTGTGGAGTCTGGTACTTTTGCTGTATATATATAGCCTTGTTGCACCTCAAATCCGTAAGCATCCGTGAGTGTATCAGTCAACTTAGGGGAACACAACCACTCGTCTTTAACATGTTGGGGAAAAAAAGAGACGTGTACATGAAACTGAAACAAGCTTGGATTCAACTAACTAGACTACAAGTTAAGCTATCAACAGCAAGGTCCAGATAGGTATTCAAAACACCTGCATCGTTTCCACCGTCCACAACTAAGCTACGCAAAGATGCCCAACTCGAGATGGCGCAGGAGATGCACAGCTTCTCCCCCTTCAGCTCGTGCTTCCCGGCATCACGGCCGCATCCGCATCCGCCCCGTCCGTCTTGGGGAGAGCCTTGGCTGCGCACGCCCAGATAACTTGGATTCTGGACTTGGGCCACGTCCCGCCGCAAGATCTCAAGGCGCGGGTACACTCGCGAGGGCCGGGGAACTTGCTACACAGTTCTCGCTGCTTGGTTCGCATCTTTCGCCCGGCTTCCTCGTCGGGCAGGAACGCATCACGTATGCATTCAGAGGCAAAGCCGTCCGACGTGTCATCGGCAGAGTAGCAACTCTCGACAACGTGTCTACAGGTTTCTGTCTTCGACCCATTCTCCTCGACGCAACTCTTCAGGTGCTTGTTCAGGAACTCTTCAGGTGTAGGGGGACCGCCAACGTCTCGCTGGGAAATCTTCTTCAGAACCGCCTGCATTGCCTTGAATCTCTGTTGCATTGCTTCCCAGTTCTTTGACCGGGTTTCCGCCAAGCTGTCCCTCAGATACTGCGCCATGTCGTCGTTCAATTGACTGTCGCGGACGACCTCCAAGAGCCCGATGGCCAGACTTACCAGAAGCTTATGCTTTCGGGGTTTTAGGGCCGTAAGGGGAGGAATGGACGGATTCGTAAAGTCCGGGTGTGCGGTAGGGTGACGACCCATGGAGTCTCTGCCGAGAACCTTGTCCATATGCTCAATCTTTTCGGCTTCGTGTATCTTGCCAAACTTCATGGCAGCGAGGAGTCGAAGTCCCTTGAGCAAAGCGGGATGATCAACGGGGAAGACAGAGTCATCAAACTCCTCTTCCTTGAGACGACCCTGGAGGAATAGTGCGGTCTGGTGCGTGTGCCGGATAAGGATTAAGTCTCGGTAAAGATGCGGTATGTCCTCGACCAATGCCTCCCTTACCTCCGTGTCAAAGTAAGAGCGCAAGTCCAGCGTCTCATTCTGAGCAAACGCCATTCCCTTGGACTGGCCGAGGACAAAGGCAACATTCAACGCCTGTGGCAGTGGTGGAAGGGACTCGCTGAGACGTCTGCCAACCTCCTTCATCTGCGTGCGAGCCTCGGAGTAATGGTCAATGGGTTTAACGGATGGACCGCCGGCGAACACAGCGTCAGCAATATCGTCCAGTCGGCTTTGATCGCGGAAATTCTCGATAAACTTATCCGAATTAATGTGCTCGATAAACCCATCATTGACCTTCTTGGACAACTCTGACAGCGAGAAGGCTGTGCCATTCGCAAACTCTTGTGGTATGTCCAGGAGGAACTCGCGCTGCCGGCGGGCAACCACATTCCACCTATCTGCACGGATCTTGTGAATAGCCTGCAGGGTTCCTTTTTCGAGCACGGCCAGGTCGACTGTCTCTCCCTCGCCCAACGCACTGGGATGGTAGAGATCGGGCGAGCCGCTCGCATTCAACGCGCCAATTCTCCCGGCGGCCTCGGACAGCACGCTCACGGCATCAATGGCAAAGACGCTCTCCAACTTGGCGGCAAAAGACTGCGTCGGGTCTGTGCGACTGTTCGAGTAGACGGTTCCGTACACCTTGCTAAGCGCCTCGGCCCAGGAATCATCGCGACTCTCCCGCATCTCCTCAAATTTCGGCGGCTCGGGAGGATGGGGGAAGAAGCTCATGACGAATCGGACAAAGTGAAGCGCGAAGCCAAACGGGGCCAAGGGACCGAAAAGAAGGACATCCGCGATGCCGCACAAGACGGCGTCTACGGTGACGAGATCGATATCGTGGCCCTTCTCGGCGCCGGCGGCCGTGGTGACGCCACAGCCTATAAAGGGGACGATGGCTGTGAAGGCGGCGGCCTTGTCCAAGTCGGTGCTGTTCGTCCGGAAGGCCTGGACGATGCCATTCACCCACAGGGCACCCCCGGCGGCTCCGGCCAGCTTTCCAAGAGTGCCGGAGAGCTTTCCGCCGCGGCCGGGGACCAGGTCCGCCGAGGTCGGCTCCATGGGCTTGTATCCGATCTGCTCTCGGGCCTCGTGGAACGTCTTGACCCCGTTCTTCAACCACGAGTCTGGTATCTTGGGCAGGCGCTCTCCAATGGCCGTTTCAAACTCCTCCGACGACACCTGGTTGGCCCTGTTGGCCCTTTCGACGAAGCGGCCAGTCGCAAGAGTCTCGGCATCGATCACGCCTTCGGACCCTTCCGCAACCGGCGGGAGGTCGATAATTTCCTTGATCTCGGGGAATTCCCAGGAGAAGCAAGCATTGACGCCCTGCCGCTTGTCCAGTCTTGCGACCTCTCGCTTGCGAGCTTTGGACGTGGCGCACACGAGCGGCTCAATGCTTTCGAGCGCCGTGTTGAGCTCCTTGATGTTTGTTTGGTGGTTGCCCCGGACACTGTGTAGATATTTCTTCTTGAACCAAGACGCCTTCATCCAAGGATTCTCCTCAACGGCGGTTTTGAACGTCTCCTCCAGGTTTATCTGCCCCTCGGCATTTTCCCTGATGGTAGGCGTGTACTCGGCCAGGGGTTTGAACTCGGCCACGATTTTTTCCGTAACCTGCCGGCCTCCAAGATGCTGGTCCCAAAGTTCCTGGAGCTTCTCTTTTGTAATGCTTCCCTTGTTCTCGGCGACGGTTTGGTCAAAGTCGATGGCCGTGGCCCCATTCGTTACCACTTTCAAACCTTCGTACGGCTTGAAGCTGTCAATCGTGGCCCGCACACGGCCGTCGAACACGCGCTTCATGGATAGCACAATGTTTGCTCTGACTTCCCGGAGCGTGTCTTCGAGCGCCTGCCCGTTGAGCGTGCCGTGCTTGAATCCCTGCGTCTTTTGCAGGATGCCGGAGAGATTGGTTCCCAGCTTCTTGAAGAGGTCTGGGTAATCCTTTGCGTTGCTTATGATGCGGGACTCTGCTATCGTGCCCGTCTTGCCTGCCTTCACAAGCAGCTCGACGGTTGGCTCGATTGGGGGGAACTCTTCAGACGTGATCTTGACGGTGGCTTCGCTGGGGCCGCGGCCCTCGATGAAGTGGACAAACTGGTCAAAACTGCAGCCGCTTTCGGGCCCTGGGCACCCGCCGGCAATGGTTTTGCCGCCGCCCATGTTGTCTAGCTTGTAGGCATAGTAGTACAAGAGTCGCTCGTAGGCGCCGGGCGTGGAGTAGGCGGCTGCTATTAGAGCAGAGCCAAAAATGGCTAGGAAATGTTTGAACCGCATGTTGCGGGCGTATCGGCCAAGGGAGTGTTCTTGCAACGAATAAATGAAACTATGGAATGAGTGAATGAGTGAGATGATGGATGATTAGGACAGGAGAGGACGGCGTAGATGTATTTATTCATACTTGTTGATTTACCGGCATATGGTATTCTGCGTCATCAGCCAGGACTTGGAACAAAGTTTCTGATTCCCCATTGCCTAGCCTCGCATGACAGCTGATCCATTTCTGAAGCCGATGCATAAACGCGAAGCTTGAATCAGGTGGTGGAATGATGCCAAACCATCCGTGTAATCGCGCGTGAACAGTACTCTGCATTAAGCGAGGTCGTATTTTCTATGGATCCAAACTTCTTCGTCTTGAATTGTAGCATGTCGGGCTGCGGCTTCGTGGGGGTGCGTTTGCCATGTCTGATGCCACATGACCCTATTTGCTCGGGTATCTCGAGAGTCACGATGTACGGCATTGACCGTGATGGGCCGTTCAAAACTCAGTTACTAATTTTTCGGGATGAGTTATATATTCCACTGGCGACTATTGGGATCCCTGTGAAGCTGATGTAAAAGTAGGAGACCTGATGAAGGGTTTTGAATCATGCTACTTCTCGGGAAGTGGCAGGAATTTCTCACGAGAAGAGACCCTTGGGATATGAACTTCTCGGGAAGTGGCAGGTAGTTCTCACGAGAAAAGACCCTTGGGATATAATATACATGGAGGTTTAGTCATGCAGAGCAAGTTTTTTCGTTTTTCCTTGTCAGGTAGCCCAGTATGATATCATTTCGGAATCACAATAGACCGAGTGGGTGGGCCGAGGCAATATGGGAGACCCCAGAAATGCAAGATCTTCGGGGAATTGAAATATGTACCTCCTTTGACGGCTTTCCACTGCAGCTCGTACGGTCATTTTCACACTGCAAAGTCTCCACTCAAGTCAAACAGACGCTGCATCGGCATGATGCTCATCTCCTTTGGCCCATATAACAAGGTCTAGATTAAACTACCGACCAATTCGGTAGTCGGCAACGTACAGTACCGGTCCAATAATCGGGGTTAACGCTATGACACCTGCGCTAAGAGTCTGTTGAACAATGTTCGTATGGTTATTGAAGGAACGGGATTGCTGAATTCGACCCCCGACTATATCACAGCCTCCATTATGCCCGTCATGTGATAGTCATGCCTACCACTAACAACCAGAGGCACGGTGGCGGATACGGGCTTGATTTGTGTATGGGGATCCTTCTTGTCTGAGAAATTATATAAGTCTCTGCCCAAGTCGGTGGAATAAAGTGTTGGTGCATCCCATGATTCGCACATCGATCCGTCTGCCATCTTCCTTCTCACAACCATCCACAAAGCTCACCACCGAAACCTGAATACCAAAATGGTTCGCATTGCAGCTGCTGCTCTGGCCTGTAAGTCAAAATATGCCAATTCCCGATATTTGAAGCCGGGCCTGACTGACTTGGCGGGCGGCAGTCGCCGCATCCTTGATGGCCGTCTCGGCGAGCGCCAATGCACCCGGCCATGTCGCGACGCAAAACCTCAACCGGCGTCAAGAGGCAGAGTCTGTGCCGTCCGGCGGCATGAACCAGGAAGAGGACTTAAACGCGCTGTTGAAAGAGCTCAAAGAACTTGGTGGTACCATCCAGAGCTTTGCAGACGAAATGATGAACCATTCCGATCAAGTCTAGTCAGAATTTGGTGGTCTCCGAATAGTCTTCTCTGCGACTTTGAGTTGTGTATCTTTTGCTTTAGGCGCCATGAAAAATGTGCGACACATTTATAGGCATTTACAAGCGATATAAATTACAACCTGGCCTCTGTACCATGATGCGCGCTGTGATGGTAATAAGAAATGTTTGTGAAGTTGACATTCAAGGGTCAAGCCGAACGGGCTCAGACCCACCTATATCCGCACTGCGAGTCGTGCTAATTGGGTGACTAAAGATGGCCCTTGTCATGTTATCGGCTCCCGCGCCCACTCGCTTTTAAGCTTAAACTAGGTCATGACATGGACCAACAAAATTAAGCCCCTCAGCTGGAGTGGGGCCCGGAAAAGGGGTAGCGAGATCAATTGATGGCTCAACACCATAAAAGGGAGCCCACGATGGCAATATCTAGCTTTTAATACCATCGACTTTTATCAGTCATTTTCACCTTTTATTTGTACTAAACCCTTATACTGGGTTTCCCGCAATACAAATTTGGTGATTTCACCCAGGCAGTCATCTCGCGATATGTAATATCATGAGAGGCCTCTCAGGGGCACCGAACCTTCTACAGTCATACCCCTAGCTACTTGATTGCAGGCCCGGTTATGCAACGACCTTCCGGATGACCTTTGCCTTCATCCTTGAATTCATTTATAGCCATCACAGCCCGAACCCGGCTGCTAGCCTCCAAAGCCATCGACAATTGAAGAGGTCAACGGTCTAGCCGACCGACCGATATAAAGCTTCCAATACAGCCGACTATCCGACCGAAGCCCTTACGAGGCTGTGTTAAATCGGAGAGGCAGAATCGCCCCAATCTATCGGTCTTGCAAGACCTTCCAACAAAACTTACAGGCTTTTATAAGCTTAAGGTCTTCACAGGCCCGACGATTCGAAGCTGCGTAACTGAACCAATTGATCAAGGCTAGCTACTGTTGCAGACTGCTGCCAATGGATGCAGGCTGCTGCCCATGAAAGCCAGTTGCCTTTAGATACTAGCCATCGTTGAAAGCTGCTACTAGATGCAGTCTGTTGCCGATGGATGCAAGCTATCTAGTTGAACCATTTAATCAGAGCCCCGTTGGCTGTTATGTTTGTAGTAATTTATTAGTATATTTACCGTTTTCACCGTCTTTTGTATCTTTTCTTTTGCGGGTTTTCCTGCTACAAACTATTACACGTAGTAAGATTCTAAGCTTTATAATACAAATATACGACTTGAAAACCTGGAAACAACAGAAATAACGGGGGGGATATGTAAGGGAAAATCTCCACCTTGAGATCTAGATGGCATGAGTCAGCTCTTCCTTTGGAACCTCGTAGTGCTCTCTTTACATAATCGCTTTGTCCAAGTCGCTGTGACGGAACAAGTGCACGAGCAAAGTCAAATGCGACTCGGATAAAGCGATTACTCACAAAGAGAGTCAGAGCTTCCTCGGTCGAGCTATTCAAGTCCTAAAGCAAAGGGGTTCCCTTGTACCGTCACAGAACCGTCACAGAATAATCACGTAATACCGCAGGTGGGTTCCAACCATGGCTAGATGAAGGGTCCCGTCCACCAAGGTTACACAACAACAAATCAAGGTATCGCGAGAGTCAACTAGGCCTTGAAGAAACCAAGGACCTTGACTACCAAAGACTGTTATTCGACGAGTTGGGTCATGATGCCCCAAGCCTTGAGCCCTTGTCGCGGTGGCGTTGGGGGTTAATACATGGCACTGTGCACTGTGCAGTTAATCGGTGCACAACCAGCTTCTCTGTAGCAGCAGCAGCCTTACAAAAGTTTTTTTGTCTGGGAGCCATGGCCATCTGTAAGAAGATGATGTGGTTCTTCGGACAGATGTCGGTTGCACAAAGGGTGTTGCATGAGAGACCAGCATGGACCGTACAGACATGACTATTATGCAGCTGGTCCGTCCAAGCACTTGCACAATCCAACCCCTGTAAGTTTGGCTAGCAGTATCTTTTGGTAGAGCGAACAGGAGCCAGGGGCCTGATAAAGCGTTTATAAAAAATATTATATATATAAAGCAGAGTAAAGGTACTAGAAAATTACTATACTTTGTATTACTTTGATAGGATTAAATTTCTCGGCTAAGCTCTTGAAAATAATAGCCAATAGCTTATAACCTCACAGCCGGCCCCATCTACTAATATCACACATGGCTAAACTTGCAGGGGGGTTATATTGTACTGCCAGTTATTCAGCTCGCTTCAGCTCGCGCCAAAGACGTCTGGTGGGTCCGTCGCTTCTTCCCACTCGGAAGACGCCGTCCACGGCCCCGCTCTGGTCCAGAACAGCGGCCATGGTTGCTCAGACACCGAGTCCCGACGAAAAACCATCCATGTCTACCATGGCAGACAATTTGACCGTAGCCACCTGTTTTTTGAATCTTGCCCGCATAGTATCAAGATGAAGATGAGGGCCGCTCATCATTTTCTGCATTAAAACATCAAGAAATCGCCCTAGGCAACATGACCAATGTAATAGTCGCAAATTGCAATATTGTTCCAACGTGCAACGGTTGGCATAGAGGTTTATAGTACTTGGCCTGGATACAAGACCGCTATCCCTGAGGGCTTCAACGATGCGCTGTTTATAGTCTGCATAGTCGCACAGATGTAGGCAACTTGGACGAAATTTATATAAAACTGCTCTTAACCTGGATCGAAGTCAATACTATTTTTCTTGAAGCTTACATGGCCTTACCGCCGCAAGTATAACGCCAAGTCTTGTAAACAGTCGGCAACATGACAGTTCCTTTTATTCTACTATACCTACTCGTCTGGTCTTTGCACAGTCAAACCCTCGGCGTCCCAAATGTGCGGACTGACCATGACCCAACTTGGGACCCATCACCGTAGGCTCAATCCGAAAAGGTCCTGGAATACGGAGAGGCACGACTCGCTCTTCTTAACAGTGACGACCCCGGCATTGACGCGGATCGATTCGTCATTAACCGATATGATTTGCACCAAGGGAAAATTATAGACCAGCCCAGGGGTGCTTCTCTCCCTTGCAAACGGGCGGGCGTCCCCTGCGTCGCCGTCAACACCAATGCCAAGGACGCGGAAAGTAAGGGGCCTACCGTCGAAAAGACGCAAGACGGCGAACTCATAGCGGAAACCAGCAAGAAATCTAAAGAAAGCTTTAATTGTCTTTTAGAAGAGTACAATTTTAGCAGCGTGGCCAAGCAGGATAAGCTGTATACTAAGCTGAGTACACGACTGCCAGAGTTTACCGCGCCGCGGGTTGACAGAATCGCCGGTTTTACCAACAAGATTGCCAGAGGTGCCCTAGCTGTAGCCGGCCTCGCCCTCTACGGCAAAGCCGTGGCAGACGTCTTCTCCAGCGATGCCAGCGTCTTAGATAAAGCCGGCCATCGTGGCATCCATCCTGCCCGGAATTGGCTTCGCCGTATAGCTCGCCGCCGACGAGGTAGAACGGGGACACGCCTCCGCCACCCACGCCGCGCTGTGCTTTGCCCAAGACGCCCTCCTCGTCGCCGGGTTTTAGGAAGCCGCCCTAGTCATGCAAGTAGGCGAAGCGCTCGGCACCTGGATCAAGGCAGAAAACGAGCGTAGCAAATTCTGGGACGGCGACGTCCTCGCCTAAAAAGGCGCAGAGGGCTGGCGTCGCAACCTGGACGGGCTGCTTGCCCATCTTAAAGGAGACGAGTTCTTGGCCAACGCGACTACCCAGTTCGCCACGCCACGTACCAGATACTCACCTTGTTCCAGGCGTCGCAGCTCACGGGCGATTTGCACGCCGCGCACAGGGTCCTGTCGGAAAACGCGACAATTTCTGCCGCGGCACAGCAGGACCAAGGTAATGCTGATGTCGGCGCCCATGTGCGGCCGGAGCTGAAGCGGCAAATCTGTGCCACGATAGCAGAAGCCAAGCATCAGCTACATGTGAAGCTTGAGGGCATAGCGCTTAATTACACGGTCAAGTTAGGGCGCGAATTCAAAAAGCAGTTCCTTGACGAGTGGTTCGGGCACCTCCCCTGCGCCCATCTTGGGCGTGACTATCCCCGAATTGCCCCATGTTACAAAACACTCCAAGAGCAGGTTAACAAGGCGAGAAACACACCCCTGCCTCTGTATGAAGAGCAAGTCAAGGCGGCCGTCAAGGAGGCGATGGAGCGCCTAGCAGCTCCCGCTCCGTGCCAATGCGAGCAGGGCAGAAAGAAAGGCAAGTGCGAATTCGGGGACTGTCAGGGTCCCAAACTTGAAGGTCACCCCCGGGATGCGGGCGGCAGGGTATACATAACCGACGTGCCGTCTCTGGAAATGGCCAGGAGAGTGTCTATATCAGAGAGCTGCCAGGCCGTCTTCACGACATCTCATGGTCCAGGCTCGGCGGGTGAAACGGGCAGGCCCCTGTGGTGCACGCCGGGCTAAGACGTCTCGTCATTGATCACAGTTGTACCAGCTGACATATTCACCAGACCCTCGGCCGAGGTGCGTCCCGCAAGTCCCCATGTAGCAGTTTCAATATTCTTATACAAAGACGCGGCGTGGACTGCTTGCATCCCGCCCTGCCTATTCTAAACACCTAAACCCGATGCATCGTCAAGCATGACCCCGTGCCAAAAAGAAAATGGAAATGCCAGTATTCGCTGTTTATTTCAGCTACCTACCCCCGCTGCCTCAAGCACAGCGTGGTATTCCAACTCCGCCACCCATTTTATATGTCGAGGTATCATTAAGCGTAGCATACAAAAACTTTTTTTTTTCCGAAAAGGGACACCCACTAGCTCGCATTGACTTCGTTGCCCTGCGTCACACCGGGTCCACTGGTTATCGTGCTCCGAATCGCTTCATCCACAGCCAACAGCATCTTCACCACGCCGTCTTGCGGGCGACCAGCTGCGCCCGTGGAGAGGCCGAGCCAATTGTCGCCTCGTTTTTTCCAGATCGGTTGCAAGGCTGTGGAAACCCTGTCGTCGGCGTTTGGTTCGGCGTCGGATCGCCAAACGTGCCACCACGCCTGGCTGCGGCGGGGCTGCATTTGTACTTGCAGCCGGATAGGGTTCTTGAGTGTCTTGGCGTCTGACGCCATGGTGTATTCGACGCTCATCCAGGCCACCGTCTTCATGGAGAATTCTATACGGCCCTGCCCGGCAGCCTGAATTGGTTCCCATTCCGTTTCCATCTTGTCGATGGCCTGGAGCGCCGGCAGCGACGCAGGGAGCCACGCAGTCAAGACCCCAATGCCGCCATCACTATTGACCAGCTGTCTCATCAAATCGAGGACCCGGAGATGGGGATTACCCTTCTCAATTTCGATGTCAATGTCGTCCTTGGACAGATCCAAAACCACACGCCAACGCTTGCGCGAGTCTTCCATGACCTGGTCCGCATCGTTGCTGCTCTGTTTGGTCTGAAGTTCGCTGTAATAAAATGTTATTTGCCGTAGAGTCACTGACTCGGTGGTAATGGTGCCATTGGCACTCTCCAATGCTTCCAAAAAGTTGACGAATCGGTCAATGGCCTTGATTCGTGACTTGAGCGTATCGAGTATAGGCCTGCCTACTGCGCGTTGTATACGCAGGGCGAACTCGCCTCGTTTAGGATTGTAAGATACATCACGGTCCGCGAGACCGTCGAGCGAAGCAAACTTGGAAGGTTTCCTAACCTTGAGGATTGCTTCCGATGTACAAATAAGCTCGTTTTCTTTGCTTCCATCATCAGCATTTTCAGCCTTTGATAGGCATCTGATGCCCCTGAAAGTAATGCTGACAATGTTGTCTGCCCACGCCTTCTTTCGCACCAGGACAGCACCGGACGCCTGCTGGATAAGTGACAGAAGCTCCAAGTTACTGAGTTGCCCTTCGCTGTTTGACAAAGCGTCCTCCTCTGGCTTGCTCTGGTCAAAGACCATGGAGGGAAACAATGCAGAAAGTGCCACATCGGTTGATGGCAGTCGCACTGTCTGAGGTGTCGACAAGCTAATTCTATTACTTGACCTGCTCTTAATTTTCTGTCGGTGCAATTCTCGGAGGTCGACTGATTGGGCAATAACTCCGGTGGTAAAGAATGCCAGATTCTCCCAGAAAACATCTGACAAGTCGGGGTGGCCGTTGTTGAAGGGTAGTTTTGCCTTGAATCTAAGTGTTTTGCTTGCCTGGTTGGGATTTCTATAATCCAGATTAGCCTTCGGGAATAGGTCACAGGGCACACTGGTGGGGGAAGATAAGGCTTACGACTCGAGCAGCCACCACTCGTCACCATTCAAGCTCAACACAACAACCACAAACCAATTCGAACCCCACCCATCCTTCTGCAAACAGATGACCCGAGTCCAGTCTCGCACCTTGATTGCCGATTTCAGTTCTTCCGCCGCCATTGGTGGTTTTCTAACAAACCATCCCATCAAAGTCGCCCGACAGTGCAGCTCATCCTCCATGACTGCACAGCGAAGAACTTCCAAGCAGTTGAGACCATCTTCCGCGGGGTTTTTTCCCATGTTAAGCTGGTGCTCTGGCTGTATAGTAAACCTCGAAGGTGGTTTTAAAGCGAATACGCCCGTCATAGGTTCGAGGAGCATCGAGGCTTCTCCGCTGTGTCCTACTTGTGTCGTCAAACTGGAAAACGCAGGGTCGGTCCTCGATACTCGAAGAGCCATACTGGCTTCGTGATTCTTGAACCGCGCCACTGTCAAAAGCTTGTCGTGTATGCTGGTGAGGATGTGCTCTACGTGCCGAGCAATGACATTTGTTAACAAAGCTTCTGCAGAGAGCTCGTTCACATTGAACTCAATCTCTACACCTTTCACCTCCTTATTGTCTCGGTACCAGTTTACCACCAATTGGCTTGTCGATGAGGCGGCCTCTTTGCCGTTTCCTGAGCGATTGCTGTTGACTGCCACTATAACCCAGCTCTTGGACCCCATGGTTGTAGACCGTCCCGTCCAGTACTGGATTGAAAGCGCCCGGTTCAGTGGTTCCACATTCAATGTCCCTGTCCAAGAGGTGCGACTTAGTTGCATGGCCTGTCTTTTCAACTCATGAATCTTGGTCGTGAGGACAAGCTCGTGGAGAAACTGGTAGCAGCCCAGTAGACCTTCTTTCCCAAGAACATCATTCACACAGTTTTCCAGGTAATTTCTTAATGATTCGGAAATTGACGAGGCTGCTGGCGTAAAAGCGTATCGGAAGTCGATGAACCAGAACTGCTTCTCAAAATCCTCATCCGCGATGGTCAAATCAACCTCAAATTCGCCTTCAACCTTAAATGTAACTCGTCCGGAACTGATCTCGTAGTTGCGAAAATGATACGGAATCTTGTCGAAGTCGTCAAGGTTAAGTCTCAGTGATAGCAGTGTGTTCAACTCGTTTATCCACTTCAGCTGCAACTCTGGTGTTAGGGTGGGCGGTTCGATATATCCAAGCTATCAAACCCAATTAGCACCTTCATGACAGATCTCATGAATCAAACATTGCTGTCACTTACATCGGGCATCCAAGGAGCGTTTCCGGTAGAAAGCACTTGGAGAGCAGTCTTTAAATCCGGGCTTGGCATACGGGCAAATGTCAGGTCCCTTTTCACATTAACCATCTCGTCGAGGGCGGTGTCGTAAAGGATCCTTTGTTGATCTATGTGAAACTTGAGGTCAATAAGCTTGCTGACCAAATGAGCCTTCCTGCTCCATTCTGCAATGACGAGGGCCTTGAGCCACTTTCCATGCCATTCTTGTGCAAAGTTAGTCAGTGCCCCCTTCTTCCTCAAGTTATCTGCCGAGCTATCGTCTGGTCCGCTGGATGAATACGATGAACTGCCGTTTGCCGCCGCCGCTGGTAAAGGCATCTTGGCCATCTCGGCGACTTTGTCCTGAAGGGCATTATGTGAGGTCTGTGCTAGGCGCGTAAGAAGAAGTGATAAAGGAACAAATCCTTGAGTAATGTGTACGATTTCGTCTGGGAGGTCGTTCATGCGGCTTATAACTCTTTCGGCTTCTCCGTTTTGATTCGATTCTTGCGATCGTGATTCGTCGTTGCCGTTAATAGCTTTGGCACTACCATCTGTCGCTGTTGCAGCAGAAGCTTTCTCCTTTGGAAATCCTGAGTCCTGCGGGGTGCCATTGGCACCGTTAACACCGTTCATGGAGGAATCCCTATCATGATCGGTGCGCGTGCCATTGTGGCCGCTCGATTCCATGGTGATGACGCCGGGCATTTACCCTCCTCCAACGGCCCGCCTCTCCAGAAACAGATTCCACAACCGTCGCCCCTGACAACTTCGTTCGGCAAACGGCGGTGGTTCTATGTCGTGAAAGGATGATTTTGCCAACCATGGGAGCCTGAATTCGGTTCTTCCAGAGGTTAGCGCAAGAGGCGCATGCTCTCTGGGACTCCCGTCCGCCGTGTCCAGCGAAAGGCGCTAAAGCACGTGGAGGCGTCGCATGAACCAGATCAAGAGCCCTTTGGCTACTGATTATTCTGATGTCGAGAAGAAGGAAAGCGGTCTCCGGCGGCTGTGCGGACTGTGTTCGCGTGTCGGGGACGAGAGCCAGAAACAAAGACCTTGTCTCGAAGACTTTGGACAGTGTCAAGGGGAAATCGACGTGACTAGAGGATGGGGACCGTACGAGGTTGTGGTACTGATAATGATACAAATGTAAGTGATCTGTCGACGCTAGCATTCACTTCTCTGAGAGATGCAACGCGCGATTGCAGTGATTCTGATGAACGGAGTGGTGATTGCGATCCATTGCTGCTGTGGTTCCACGCCTCTTGGATAAGGCCGGGTCATGTGAGTGCAGACGCACGGGCCATATTTTCCATTCTTGGGCGCTTGGCTCATTACATAATCAGCCCCCTTCGGCAGCATGTGGGGACGGTTCGCCCGTCGGCAAACTAGGCGTAATGGAGTATCGCGGAGGCAATTAATCCCGTTACAATTTAAGAGAGGCACTCATTTCAACACACAACATCTAGTCCAAAAGTCTACATTTGAGACATTTTTGTTGCGCCAAACTACCATAAGCTGAAATTGAAAATGTTTTTGCTCTATTTATCCGGCCGCGTTCCCTATCCGCTGATGGACATTAATAATCAATAAGCGTCACCTGGCGCTCCTTTTCTTGTATTGGCCGTCATGGAACGACTTCAATATACCGACTCGCCAACAGCAAGTCACTCCCATGATCCATCTAATCAATTTGCATGGGTGTTACCGTTTAGCTGACATGGAGTTAGCTTGCAATTTTATTGAACCAAAAACGTTTCCAAAATAGTACAGACATGGTCAATAATAACAGCGACAACTTACAACTTGTTTGGTGGTGCAGCCGTAGTCGTGGGCCACTGATAGCCGGCGGCATCGCTGAACTTATAGCCGTACGAAGCAGTGAAATCATCGAGAACAGCAGGGCCGCGCGAACCTAAAACACAATGAACATCAGTCTGCCTAGCCCCAGCAGGGAGTCTTGGGGCTCAACATACCATATGGATACTCCATAGGGATAATTTCCTTATTGTCATCCAGGTAGTGGAGCAGGGGAGTAAAGACGCGCCAGCTGGCATCGAGCTCGTCGTCACGAACAAAATTGGAGTGGTCGCCCTTGAGGCAGTCCAGGACGAGAGACTCGTAAGCCTCAGGAATCTTCAGATCCGAAAATCGTCGTCGGTAAGTAAGATCGAGCTCAGTAACCACAGTCTGCATGCTCAGGCCAGGCAGCTTCGAGTTCATCTTAATGTACACACTCTCGTTGGGCTGGATGCGCATAACCAGCTCGTTTCGCGGGATGTCCTTGAAAATACCCGAAGTGACATCCTTGAACTGGATTCGAATCTCTGTCTTTTGCTCGTTCAGGGCCTTGCCAGCCTTCATGATGAAAGGAACACCGTCCCAGCGCTCGTTCTTGATGTACGCAACCAAGGCACAAAAAGTGGGGCATCTCGAATCTTTGGGGACGGTGTCGTCTTCCTTGTATGAAGGCTTGCTGCCGTCCAGCGACTTTCCGTATTGTCCAATAATAACATTCTTGGGCTCTATGGCAGGGATAGCACGCAGGACGCGCACCTTCTCATCACGGATATCTTCCGAGTCGAACGAAATGGGTCGCTCCATGGCCAGGAGAGTCAAAACCTGCAGCAGGTGGTTCTGCATGACGTCTCGAATAATGCCAAACTCATCAAAATATCCTCCACGTCCCTCTGTTCCGAATGGCTCCTTGAATGTGATTTGAACATTATCAATGTGGTGTCGATTCCAAGTTGCGCCGAGGAAGGAGTTACCAAATCTGAGAATGAGAATATTCTTGACCATTTCCTTACCAAGGTAATGGTCAATACGGAACAGCTCTTCTTCCTTCCAGTCAGGCTCGAGTGACTTTTGGAGTTCACGGGAGCTTGCGAGATCCTTGCCGAAAGGTTTCTCAACCTGAAACAACACCAGTTAGCAGGCCATGTGGTGTACTTGGCGGGCAATAGAGAATGGCTCAAGGGACACGTCGACGCACAATAACCCTGGCGATACCCTTGGGAGGGTAGCAGCACTTCTTCAAATGCTGCGAAACAATTGTGAAGACGCTGGGAGGAAGAGCCATGTAAAACAACCGGTGAGTCTCGGGGCGGCCCTTTTCAATTTCGGCCAAGTGGTTGTTGAGAACCTCGAAGGACTCATCCTTGTCGTACTGGCCCGAGATGTACGAGCAGAGACCCAAGAAGCTCTCGAGCTGCTGCTCAATCTCCTTGGTAGGGGTTTTGATGTACGACTTGATACGCTTGAGGTACTCCTCGTGGTCCATCTTGGTGCGCGCATACCCGATGATTCTCACATCTTTGGGCAGGAATTGATTTCGATACTGGTAGCGGTTAGAACAACAGATGCTGGCGATTCGATTGAGCTGGGCGGCCTCGGCTGACAGCTCGGAAGGGTATTCCTGCTCACCAATCCAAAAAGCGCCGGGTACTAAAGGACAGGGCAAGCAGCTTTGTTAGCGCAAACGTGATGGCAGAAAACAGTTGCACGGGGGACAAGGTGAGGCCGTACTGTCTTCTTCTTGGCCAGATCGCCTGAGGCGCCCAGCACGACAATGGACGTATTCTCCTTCAGCTCCATGGTTCTGCTGTATGTCGACGACTAGGATCAGCACGAGGCGCGCGATAAGAGGGATTATGAAGCTCGGGGTCAACGAGAGTCTTGATCAAGTCCTCCCCCACCCAAAAACCCGAGCTTCCCAGCAATGGTGGGGTAGAATGTGCTGGCTGGGGGCCAAAGGGCTGGACGTACGCTGCCTGGGTGTGGTCCATGATGAGGTCTGCAAATCGCACCGGGCGACAAGATTGGATGCCTGCGAGGATAGAGTCGAAAGGGATAGGACAACGGTCGTGGGATCAACCTATGTTCGATAGGAGGGGCGCGGGTGAAAGAAAGAAGGAGATACGAAGCAAGTGTTTTCGAGGAATGATGAAAGGTGTTGGGCAGTGGACTCGGGCTACAGAGGGCCGGATAAGCTGGGACGGAGTTAATAATGACCTCAGGACGGGCGTGTTTCGTGGGCAGCGAGCCCCAGTCTATTCCCCGAGCTGCAATGCACCTTGTGCCAGTATGTGCTAAGTAGTCAGTACTTAGTAATGAAGCTACTAAGTAGGTAGCACTGTCTGGCGGGAAAATTCGAGCTCCCAGCTGCCCGTGTTGGAGGTAAACACATTGAGCCGAAAGCAACCAGACAGCACCAGCACCAGTCGGGAACTGAGGGGCAGTGATTTGAGGAGGGGCAAGGCTTGGAGCCGGCGTCGACGGTGACTGCCTTGGGGGGGCGCTGGGTTCTGGTTTCCACCAGCCTGGCACACCAAGTACGTCGTAGCTGGCTTACGGCTCCATGACACAGCAATTGCGCATCATCACTTCATCAACGGTGGAAAACCTTGTCGACGAGCAGTCCACGTCCGCTCCGCTTCCGGTCCTTGGGTGCTGTCTCCTGTCTCACGCAGTGCTTGAGGTGCTGATCACGGACAAGGCGGGGCAGCATCGTAGACTTGGTACTCCGTAGTAGTCAAGTCCTTCAGAGCTCAAGTCTCAGGACAGGCCATCAAGTCTCATCGGTTTTCCCGCGTCGCCAATGCTCCAGCCAATAAATGCTTCGCAGGCCTGTTCGTTGGCCGTCACTGCCGCTCACGCAAGGACGCTGTGACGCATGCGCACGCATGGAAGTACGCAGCTCTCATGCAGGTAGCTAATGTGAATGTCTGCATGCTCAAGAAATGCTTGGATAAGCTTCTGCCACTTCCCTGCTGGCGCCATGCAACCCACGGTGAGTGCGGCGCCTCGTTAGAGACATGGATATTGATATCGATTGATGCTTCTGCCCGTGCCCGCCTGGTGCCTGTCCAGCTTGTCCGAGCCTTCCGCCTCCCAACGCCACTCGCATTCAGATCTTTCAATGAGATTCGCTTGAATGAATGCGTGGGTGTGTTTGCCGTCTATGGTTCAACCAACAATCTCAAAAAAAAATTGGCTGTGAGTAGATGGCTAATACAGATTTCAACTCCCATCTCCCGAGCAACCAGGTTGTTCACCCATCTCGGCATTTGTTCATTTGCATGCTGTGCATGTAAAGACCTACTGGCTCCTGCAGATGTCGGTCCTTCTTTCCAGGGTTTTTCTCGCTCAGTCGACTCTTTTGTTTTCCTAGTGCTGGCTTGACAAAGAACCCTAACCCAGAGCCTCAGACGTGAATTGCTCGGCGGGCCTACTCTTCTTACTAGGTGCGCTCACGCAAATAAATATGTTTTATTATAAATCACTTAAATTCCTAAGTAATACGGCGCGAGCGCACCTAGTAAAAAGAGTAGGCCCGCCGAGCAGTTCACCCTCCGACAGCCAAAAGTTCACGGCTTTCTTGCAGCAACCTCTCGTCCCTGGCGTGGCTTGACCTCCGCGGCCAACATACTATCTGCGAATAGCCATAGCCAGACCAAGGCGGATGTCAAATTCGCCCAGAGTACTGCACATTTCTTCGCCACAGTCGCTCAAACGCAGCCGAGGTGCAACATAACTTGACCTCGTCCATATTCGGAGTTAATGTATGCGGCAATTCCGGATCCCATTGCTCTCGCACGCCATTGTGGGACAGACGTCAATGTTGCCTGCAAGTGCTGATAAATGAACGGTGGAGCGTGCAGTCGTCCCGGACATCTAGGACATCCTAT